CCCATGTCCAAATTGATAGAAGGGGGGGGGGGTACAAAAATCGTTCTCTAGGAATATACCTTACATTTGTATAAGACCATAATAATTTTCATGTATATGAATTTATTCTTTTTAATTTACTCCATTCGACCATTTTGCATTGCATTAATTTGCACACAATGTATGTCGACACACTTCGAATTTATTTACATATTCGAATATTTCAGATAAATTGAAGTATATATCGATATCAAATTTTTCGAAGATATCACATTAATATAATTAGATATCTTGCTTTAGCTCGTGACGACAGAGGTCGAAGAAGGGCTCGAAATAGAGAGGACATCCAGATGGAAACGAGCACTGACAGGATTTCAAGACCTCGGAAAAGAACTCGTGAACCATCTCCCTATTCCGCTCCTAAGCGGAGACGATCTAGATCAGACGAATCACGTCGAGACCTGAGACATGAAGATCCACAAGATGCAGATAGATTTGAGGTCCGATACTCGCGGAAACATGACTCAAGGTCAGCGAACTACGACAAGCATTATGAGGATAGAGAATTGACGAGACGGGACGGAAGTAGAAACAGACGAGATCAGAGATATAGTAGGGATGAAAGGTATTGTGGTCCAGACCAATCTTATCGCGGAGAATCGCGTAGAAAAGAAAGATATCCGGAGAACAGAAGGGATTCCCGTCGTCTACAGTCGCGGGACTTAGAGAGACGAAACGACTATGATGAACGGCATAGAGAGGAAGATTATTCGCGGAGAACAGAGCGAAAAGGATCGAATGGTCAGGACAAGAGTAGAAATTTTAAGAGGTCCCGTAGTCGATCTTACAGGTTGGTTAAATCAGATAATTTGAAAATTTATAATTATAACTTAACTAAACACAGTCTATATTTTAGAGGCAATACGAAACGAAGCAAGCGTGACTCTCGTCCTCTAGTCGAAGATGATGAAGAAGGCCATCTTATATTTAAAAAAGGAGATATAATTCAGGGCAGGTAATCAGCTAACTGGCTAAATTAAACTTTTATCAAACATTTTAGACTTTATTTGAAATCTTATTAAATCTTTCTAGGTATAAGATTCTGGATGAGTTGGGTGAAGGAACTTTTGGCAAGGTAGTCAAGTGTGACGATATGAGTAGAAAGAAAATACTTGCGATTAAAATCATAAAGAATGTGAAGAAGTATCGGGACGCTGCTAAGCTTGAGATCAATGTGTTGAATAAGCTGGCTGAGAAGGACCCGGATAGTAGGTTTAAGTGTGTCCAGATGTACGACTGGTTTGATTATCACGGACACAAATGCATCGCATTCCAGCTTCTCGGTAATTAAAGTCACACGACAAAAGGCCTAATTTATAAAAATTATTAAAAATCTAAGCTTATAGACTGATTTGGTTAGTAAGGAGCTTCGATTCCCTACTCATTTATTTTATTCTTTCCTTTTGTAAGTCGTCTCCTTAAAAACTTTTGTTCAGGAAAGAGTGTGTTTGATTTCCTTAAGGATAACAACTATGAACCCTATCCTCTGGAGCATGTGAGAAGTATTGCTTACGAACTCTGCCTTTCCGTCAACTTTATTCACACTCAAAGGAAAATTTCTTCATTCTAAAAATCAGAGACGATAACCTCAAAGGAAAACAATTGCTACAGGATTTAATCTTTTTCATTCAACTCCTACGATAGACGAAAAGAGTTAATTGCATTGATAACATAAATGTTTATACATTTTCAGGGGTATATATTTTCTTGACATCCCCCCATCTTAGGTGAGGTTTTGCTTAACGCGAAAAGATCTTAGGGTTTATTCGCTGAATTGCGGGGAAATAGGTGATTTAAGAGAAAATTTATAAATTCGTGGTGAAACGTATTAAAATTGGAGGAAGAAACATACCTGTTAATGTCCAAGTTATCAAAACATCGCAAATCAACTCCCTTTCCCTCAGTGTGGGAGGGGGGGGGGGGTAATATTTACACCCTGTATATTTTGAACCATGGGTGTATATTTTTCTGTTTATTCTGTAAGAGCTCTATTAAGGGTTTGGGGGAAATTAAGATTAAAAGTAAAAAGGGGGAAGAGGGAAGGAATAAAGAAGGAATTTGTTTATTATCTGATAGTTTTGGCTCCCACAGGAAAATATGCAAAACCTTATATGGGAAAAAATATCATATTTTTTCCTCAATAGCAATATCATATTTTCTTTCATTTGCCTCATCACATGAAATCCACAAAATTTCATGAAAAACATTAATAGAAATGCTTGGTTAGGGCTTTAATAATTAAGAATTTTAATAGAATTTTTGTGGGGAACTTGGTTATTGACCGTGCTAGGGAATGTTAAACTAAAGCAAATCGATTATTGACCTTGCTAGGGAATGTTAAACTGAAGAAAATCATAATCCAGGTTAACGCACACAGATCTCAAACCTGAGAATATTCTGTTCTATGACAGCAGTAAAACCAAGAAGGATAAAAAGACAAAACGAGATATCCTGCTCAACCCGGAGATCAGGTTCGGGTCCTCATTCACTCACATTCATAATACTAGATTACATGATTTAGTATTGTTTTTATTTTAGATTAATTGATTTCGGTAGTGCAACATTTGAACATGAACACCACTCATCTATTATCCAAACACGACATTACAGAGCTCCGGAGGTTATTCTCAAACTAGGTAAATACAATAGGTTGAAAATATTTAAGGGGAATAAAAGAAAGTTTCCCAACACAATAAGAAGCAGAACATCAAATCACTTTCTGGGAGAACAGTCCCCTAATTTATTTTACTTTCATGTTTAGGTTTACACGTGACTTTACCTTTGCATTTTGATATCAAAAGAATATTTTTTAGGTTGGAATCATTCTTGTGACATTTGGTCTGTTGGGTGTATTGTTTTCGAACTTGCCCTTGGATTCATGTTGTTTGACACCCATAGCAGCCAGGAGCATCTTGCCATGATGGAACGTATACTCGGAACTATACCACAGCAGCTAGCAGCAAATTCAGGGTCCCCATACTTCAAGAAAGGAGTACTAGAATGGAACCCTGAGTCTAAGGAAGGAAGATACGTGAGGTAACATAAAATACTATAATTTACCCCGGTAACAAGGCTTTCATCTTGTAAGTAACGAATACTCTTTCTGGATCAATGTTTCCTTTTCTTTTGTAAAATCTTGTTAACTTCGCGGTTGATAGTATTTTCTTTCTTTAAAATTAAACTAGGCGCGCCAATCTTCTATTTCAACTTTTAATTGTGGCTTTATCTGTGAGCATCTTCTCTTTGAACAGAATAAAACAAAAACAAAAAAGTTTGCTGATTTCATAATATTTTTCAAAATTTCACAAAATTAAAAATTTTTGATCATATATAAACCTTCCCTGGGGTCACGTGAGGTCCTATACAAAATTTGGGCCCGATCGGTTCAGCCGTTTTGACGTTTATTGGTTACTAACAAACAGACAAATAGACAGACAGACAAGCTAAAGTTATATATATATAAGCCTTGAGGTAGAGTATAAATGATGCGTGTCCATGTTTTTTTGTTTTTAAAATGTGAGGTGGAGGAAGTTATTTTGAATGTATTCTTGAATTTCCATACATGAATCTATATTCAAATTTTTTATTTAATTCTCTCTCAATCTATAATATCAAAATTTCTGGTTTTAGGAGGAAGGTAAAACCTTTGGAGCGGTATATTCCTCGTGAGTTCAGAGAGAACAGAGATTGGAACGATATGTTTGATCTGATCAAGAGGATGCTAGAATACGATCCTGTACATAGAATCACACTCCCACAAGCTATGGAGCATCCATTTCTTGAAAAAATTGCTCTTAGAAAACCCTCTCGGTCTAGTAGTGGATACGCCTCCAGATAATTGATGCATCTCTTTTCTTCATATAAAAAAACTGTTCAGCTGTAAATACTTTTCTAGAAATTTTATGTTTCTAAATATTAAACACATTTTAAAAACGTGTTTAGAACGTGAATTTATTTCTAGATTTAAATACATTTTTGTTATCGCATACTCTATTTAAAAATGATCAATTGCATTACTTGAAATATTAAGTTCATGCTATTTTTACTTATTATTTTCGTACACTGGGAAGGAAATACACATTAAGATAATTATTATATTTCTAGATGGATATAAACTTTGCATATATACATCTAGTTGATGATGAAATATCTAGCGACTTAACAAAAATCTCCAAATAATATACTGAACAATATGTATCAAGTGGTATCATTCAATTATTTTCTAATATTTAAACCCTAAATCCTAGAAAAAGAACAAAGTTACTTTAACAAATCTAGATTTATGTTTGATAAACTTCATGAAAATAAGGATAATTTTTATTATATCGTATTTTATCTCAAAATAAGGACTTTTTCTATTTAAAAAGATAAAATGTCTTGTCAGTTACCAACTTACACTTTTATTGACAAATTACATTTAACAGACCTTGAAAACGAAAAGGAATATACTACTTATGGTTTGTATTTCATGAATACCATAAATACTGCCCCACGGGCCCACAGGATTTAACATGCATGCAATACGGAACCTGAAACTAGTTAAGGACTTTTAAATTGATCTTAATGTTTTTTTACTATTCTAAATTGAATTATAAAAATGAATTTCTGAACAAGTTTTGCCTCTCGCTTTAAAAGCTTAAGTTGTTTTCTGAATTTCGCTAAAAGTTTTATTCCTTGAGTCCTTGAATGCCTCTCTCTTCTCACGGGGGCAGTAAAAGAACAACTGGACAATAAAATAAAATAAAAATAGACGCGTCGGACGATGATCCATGAATGCTAAAACTCTTAACAATGATGGAAGTATCCTAATTTTAAGTTTCATTGACTGAATCATTCTATTCCAGTTTTCTCTCATAGAATTCTGAATCTTCTTAATATGTCTCTTATACTGTTAGGAAATACTTCTGCTGTGTATTGTACATTCTACAATTTCTTACGTCAAAATTAATTTGAGTAATGGATTCAATTTAAACCATACATTGCTTATGTACATTGGATGTAAAAATTGTACAAAAACATTGAAGCATCCTATGTTTTTTTTTTTAATATATTTCGTACGTTGTTTATTTTTCCTCTACACAATGTGCTTATCGGCGTTGCATTGAATATTGAAAGAAAAACTAATTAAAAACGTTTTCTTGCATATTTTTTACATATTTGAACTGGAGTTAGGGAAACTAATAATTCTTAGTTTATAGTTGAAAAAAGTATCCTTTAAAATATAAACCTATTATTGTACATCAATTTCAAGATTATTTTTATGTTCTAAAATTTCGATTAAAATTATTAAGATGCTCGACATTATTTTAACAATAAATACCCTGAAGTTAGTATTAAACTTTTTTTTCAGATCATAAATAAAATGTGTGCGGCAACCAACACTGCAGGGTTGGTTGGCAAGTTCGGAGAAGCTTCTTTCATGTCTATATCTACCAGTAGACAGGATCCAAGAGTACCTCCGAAATACCCAAAAGTTTCTAAATTCTTCAAGAGTAGGAATTTAATGGACGTTGAAAATATTATTGAAGAAAATGACGAGGAGGTCGTGGAGGATACAGAGACAACGGAGAAGCGGAATGATTTAGAAGATCAATTTGAAGAGCCATCATCTCCTAGTCAGACGAGGTAATTATCATCATTTTGACTTCAGTGGTAAGAGGGTATATCCATACAAAAGTGTTTTCTGAATTAGTGTTATAATTCAAAGGCTAACATATATTTAAGTACAGTATCCGGTATTGAAATTCTACATAATAAACGACATTTTTTCACGACATAATTCCCGCACAGATTTGATTTGAGGTGTGTCTGTAGACATGTTTTGATGCATATTTTTTTTACTCGGGATGTCTTCTGTTGCGTAAATGTCATCGAAGACTTCAAAAATCAGAAATGATGTCTAAAACATTTTTAATGCATTTTCAGGCAACATAGAAAAAATATTGAATTTTTGGAGTGACTCATAAGCTAAGGCATCAAATTCAGAAATTATACCATTTTGAGAAAAGTTAATTATTTGATTGATTGATATTGATTGATTGATATTCAGGTTTGATTGGTTTGTCATTCTTTCTTGCTTTTAAGTGTTTTAAATAATAATATGCAAGTACATAGTCTTTAAAAAAAATAAGATATCTTACTTGTTAAGATAAATAACAAAACTATAAGAATAAAAGAGCATAAACTCGGAAAGTAAAATTGTTTCATAATTATTTAATGTAAAGTACTGCAGAATATAGAACATACTATATACAGGACACTGCACTGTAGTCCATAAGACAATTAATTAACTTTGATGGCATAGCTTCTGAGTCACCTGAGGGCCTTCCTAACAACATCTAGTTGACAGAACCATAGGGATTATTCGTTCAATTAATTGTTTTTAACTAAACTGTGAACCATTAGTTTGAAAACAATATTTTTCTCTAAAGAATTACCAATAAAACAGCTCACTTATTTTATTTATGTGGATCCCATTTAAGTGGTATTTTCAGATTTAAATAAAACTATTCTTAGTGCCCTATCTTTGGACTCAACCATGATCAGTCAGCAGAATATGAACTCAGAACAAGCAACCAGCGGGGTAACCCCTAGACAGAAAACTACAAAAGGATTATCTCCTAACTCACATCTGGATAGTTCCCAACCTGATCACTCTCTCCTGTTCCAAGGTGCAGCAACACCCTTGCCTTTAAAACCCAAGAACAAAGATTCTCATATAAACGTTGCTGTTCGAGTCCGACCAATCCTACAACATGAGCTGGACAGAACTCAGCCTGAGGTTTCGGTCATAGACACACACAAGGACTTGGTAGTTGTCGGTCTTACTAAATCCTTCCGGTTTGACAAGATATTTGACAGTGATTCAACACAGGAGCATGTGTATTCTTCTTTTATCGAGCCATTAGTTGATCAGGTAAAGGTTGTATGATTCATCATGATTTGTAATGAATAGCTATAGTAAATATTTTTATCAAAACTGCCAGCAGTAAATATTTTACAAAAAAATCATTCGTCCCACTTAAAGATATTGCTATGCAAACATTTTGTTTAAGTTGATATATTGGGGAATGTTAGGTTCCCCAATTCACAATCACACGATAATATACCCGAGATAATTTGAACAAATACATTCTTTTTTACACCATGCAGGTTCTGGAAGAATATAACGGTTGTGTGTTTGCCTACGGACAAACTGGGACAGGAAAAACCTATAGTATGGGTACTTGCAACCAACCCGTTCAAGCTGGAAATAATCAGAGTGGGATTATACCCAGAGCAGTAAACCAGATCTTTGATGCAGATCCAGACCTAAAAGTAAAGGTTAGTTTACTGTCTTTTAATATTTGGCTTATCAGTGTTTCTGTTTGCATTTTATTGCCAATGAGTTTTTTTTCTGGTTTTTGACAAAATAAACCATGGATAATGTATTGTATACATATACTCAGACAACCCTTTTTCAACATAGACTAGCTTCGTACTACTAATAAACAGAAGTAGAAATAATCGGAATTTTGAATTGATTTGTTTAAAAGTGGGATGGAATCCATTATCTGATTTTCACCTTATTTTATTTTGTTAAAGGTGTTTTTTTATTAAGGGTTCTTCTACGGGCACTATGCACATGTATATTATTGGCACTGAAATTCGGGCGAATTAAAAATACAATTTGTAGAGAAAATGCCCAAGATGCAAATAATTTTTTCCCGGTATGAATGTAATAAGTTGCTTTTAAAACCAAAAATAAAAACTCTTACATGTGTTACTGTTCTTTTTATGAAGAAACCCCCATTGTGTAAAGACTAACGGCGGCGTCGTAGTAAGAAATAAAAATGTTTATTTCAGAAATGATAAGATTTACAATTGATATTCCATGCGTAGGTTTCCTTCTTTGAGATATTGAACGAACAGGTTTACGACCTTATCAATCCAAGCAGGCAGAGAGTTCCCCTGTCAGTTAGGGAACCTAGACGAGGAGTTTTCAATATTCCTCAACTTACGGAAATACAGGTACAAACACAAGTTTAATAGCATTATTTGCAAATAAATCATGAAGGGCTGGGGAATCTTTTTTTCGGGAAAATTATGAACTTTCTAAACCTTCTTTACGTAGTACATATTTATACAGGCCGTACACAGTTAGACTGGTTTTTAGTAATGAAGGGGGGGGGGGCATGTTTTGCCATTTCGATTTTAGTAAATATTTCCTCTATACCGCATTTGGTATATTAACAGATTTTTAGCTCAGCTGAGGCTAGTCTTATTTTTTTCAGGTTGATGATGCATCTAGTGCTCTTCAGTACCTTGAGCAGGGCCTAAGTCTCCGATCTACTGAAACCACAAAACTAAATAATGGGTCATCTAGATCTCACGCTTTGTTTACACTGCACCTTACTTCAGAGAATACCGAGGGAAAAATCGTTAAAAGGTCAGAAGGTCACACTAAAAGAGTGGTTTCAGGATCGCAATTTTCACCCTCTGTCATGCAAAAAAAGTACAATTTAAAACCAATTTCCCCTTTTCCCCTGTGTTGTATTGCAATAAAATATGAAATGAAAGTTTAATGTACGGATACCTCGCCAGTCTCCATCCCTCAATAATAGTATAGAATTAAATTAATGCTTGATTTTCTACTCCCCTGATTTTTTTAGATGGGAGGCTAGAAGTGGGAATAATTAAAAAATTGCGCGAAATTTCAATTCACGTGGGACTTATAAGTTTTATTATTTATTTTAGGACATACCCCTAAAGGTTCCTTTTTCGGTTTGATTCCCGAAAGAGATAAATATTTATGTAGTAATGAATAAGTACCGCAGGAATAACTTTTTTAAATCCATTTTTAAAAACCATATCAAAGGAGCCAGAATAAGAGGACCCCCTATCCCTAGCTGCCTCCCAAACTTTTCCCACCCCCTGTCGGCCCCACTACCTTGTATTTAAAATACTGCTTCAATGTACTAATTGTATAGTATTGCTAAAAATGATACAGAAAATTACAATTTACTATACTCCCCTTAACCTAGCCTAACCTCTCACTCCCTCTGTATTGCAAAGAAAAATTATTAAATCAACACACAAGTTATGAATTTGCTTTATAAAGGTCACCAAGGTCAAAGAGTCCTTCTGAACACATTCATTTTATCACTTTCCTAAATATTTATGGTTTTCANAGATCTTCCAGTCAATGAATTGATAATATTTATATTTGTTACTTGTCTATTGTGTAAGGTATGGATGACTTTTATTTAAAAATTTATTCAGGAAACTTAGCCTGGTAGATCTAGCGGGTTCAGAGTCGGCTAAGAAAACTGATTCCACCGGAGCTAGGTTTTCAGAGGGAGTTAATATAAATACATGTCTTCTTCATCTTGGCAACGTCATTCGCGCTCTTATTCATAAAAATGTGCACGTTCCTTTCCGTGATACCGTTTTAACTAAAGTTCTGAAAGAATCTCTGGAAGGGTCAGCATTTATCTCTATGATAGCCTGCATCAGTCCCACCAGCTCGGATATGCTGGAAACTGTTAACACGCTCAAGTTTGCCAATAAGGCCAAATCTCTTTCCACTAATCCCATTCCTGCGTTCTTGTTGGAATCCTCTGGGTTGTCAGCTGCAAAGAAACGGAAGTTTGGAGAAACTATTCCAAAGACTCCAGGTGTTTGGAATAAAACAATATCAACTCCTACTCCTTCTAAGATTGTAAAGAAGATCAGCTCCAGGAGACATCTTAATGCAACAATCGGGACCCCTGGAAAAAGAGCTCGCGGAGAAGATTTTTTAACTCCACTTGGAGTGTCTAACTCTGCTGTGACATCAACAGTGCTAAGGCGTCCTAGAGAGTTATCTCCAGATTCGCCTAACTTTTCAAATCTTTCTGGAGTTTCTATGATTCAATATCCCGATAATTCAAGAATGGAGGATGCAGATAACGATGTTGAAGACCGTTCGAGGATGGAATCCAAGACTTTTAGCATTCATGAGATTACTTCAGTATTGTCTCCTTACATGCGGAAATATGAAGAAACGATGAGCCGCCAACTTTCTCATTTAGCCCAGGAACTATTAAAAAAGCAGAGTAATGTTACACCCCGGAGACCTCATAAACCAAGAATGACAAGTTCTCCGCTGAGATCAACTGTTCCTGAGAACCAACCCCTCTTTCATGCAAACTCTGCTGACTCTACTGAGGAGGGACTTAGCCCTAGTGAAACGATCATATCCGGAAGTGACAAAGAATTACCGCTCAGGGAAATAACCAATTACCGTCGGCAATCTGTAATTGATTCTGGTTCACCTGTATTCTCAAAGAAGAGGTCCTCCGTTAATATTCCAGTTTATGATTCCCCAGCTTCCACTGCTACACTTCCCGGATCACCTACTATGGAAGAGATGGAGAGATCTCTAGGAATCGGACCCGAGAGTCCGTGTGCGTTATTCTGTGCTCCAACCATAACGGCTCCGCGACGGGAACGACAAGAATCGAGAGCACGAACATCTAGAAGAACAACAATGCTCGGAAGTGAGATTGAAACTTCCTTAAGATCTCTCCGAGAGAAGTCGTTTTATAGAAGAGAATCAGCACGTCCAGTTCGTGCAGCTGCCCTTGGAGTCTTTTATGGATCTCCGAATAAGGAGTGTTTAAAAAAATCAAATCCCATATCGGTAATATTTCTGACATTTTAAAAAAATCTAATTTTCGATTCTTTTTCTAAACTTAGTTAATTCAGACATTATTGATGTTTAGGAAGATGAGGGGTTTAAACATCCATTGCTGGCGACGAGGACTAGGATTAGTCCCAGAAAGCAGAAGCAATACAACGACATGACCCTCAGTATTCTAAACATGGGAACTTTGAAACAGCTGTCAAGTCTGACGGCGGTAGGTCCTAAAGCTGCTCTTAAGATTCACACCTACAGGGATTTGAACAATGGAATTCTCTCCATTCAGGTGATTTAGTTTGTCTTCCTTCATTCAATCTCACGGGAGGTTTGTCAGATAAAAAAGATCAAAATCCTTTTTTTCTCTAAAACTGCGGGGCGAAAAATAAACTCAATTTTATACTATCCTATAAGAAAAAGGTATAACTTAGTTCTGGTATTTTTTTAGGAACTGGAGAACATCCCCGGATTAGGAGCGAAGTTCTACAAAAAGTTTTTACTTCATAACCAGATTGTTTTCAGCGATGATTCATCAGCCTCCTAAATACTTAATATTCAGCGAGCATGTTTCGAGCAAAGTTTTTTTTGTGTTTATCATCGGTATTCAGTTTTAATTTTTATGTTTAACGTATAGTTTAAGCCTCGTCCATTTTAAATTATCAAAACTATTTTCCGTCTTGACGACCCAAAAGTGTTTGCAGCCTCATATTTACTTGTTTTACTTGAAGTCTTGAATCAAGCGCCCCACTGATAGGGACATTGTAGATACACCTTTTAGATCTTCCAGTCTGGTACATTCATTCTTTCATTCAGTTTCCTTCTTTTTAATCCTCAGACTGGCGGATTCTAAGCATTTCTCGTAGTTCATTTTATCATAAATGCTGAATAAAGTTAAGTATTATTATTGGAATATTAAAATCTGCCTAGTAGGGCCACTAAACAGGGAGGTTTTTTAGATATCTTTCCTGATATTCCTGAGGGCACTAGTCAACTCAGTCAACCATTGCTTTAAGCATTGTCTTGCTTCCTAAGTGTTCCTTCATCTAGAGCTAGAATTTTCCCTTATTACTCCTTATGGCCTTTGGGACTTTGCTCGAACCCATAAGGCCCCTAACACTAACAGTGCCTTTCAGTTCCTGTTGCCTATTGATTTTGAATTTGATGATTATCCCTCCAACTTCTATCCTAATACCCCCACATCCTGTTCATCCAGTGGCCGAATTTAGTGAATTTGAGCGGCGGTTTAAATTTAAGCCGCGGTTTAAATATGGTTGGTTCCACTTAAAATTGTATCAAATGTTTCAAGATTTAAGCCGGCGCTTAATTTAAGCTTTGGCGGATATAAACCGCGGCTCAAATTCTTTAAATTCGGCCACAGAGCTGGGAACTTTAGAATGGTGGATATCGAGATCAATACTTGATCCTCTCTTTTTCTTAATCTCGAGACTAATCTAATCTTTTACTTGTATCCTGAAAAGTGTATAAAATTCAACTAATCAGAGTCGCGTTTCAGTAGCCGGGAAATCTGAATTTTTGCGCGCCATTTAAGATTACTATACAGAAACGGGAGGGACTCTCTAATTTTGAAAAACCGGTTTTTAATTTTTCTGTACTTTATCCAAAAAAGAGTGGATTGAGCAAGAAATTGAAAGTGTCCACATTGGATATTTGGATAAAGCAGTCGGGATTAAAGGTATCCCATTCTAAAGTTCCCAGCTCAGGATTGTTTTCCAAGTCTTCTCAACATTTCAGAGGGTTTTCAGGAATCTGTATTAGTAGATTTGTGACCGAATTTAAAGAATTTGAGCCGCGGCTTAAATTTAAGCCGTGGCTCAAATATGATTGATTCCACTTAAAATTGTATTATCTTTTTTCAAGATTTAAGTCGGCGCTCAATTAAAACCGGTTTTTGACAGAAATAAGCCGCGGCTCAAATTCATTAAATTCGGACACTGGTGACATACGACAAATTTGCTTGTTGGAGTATTTACCTGCTTGAAGTATGGGAACTTGATATGAAAAATAGTTTACTTTTTTCTTAAGTCTTGGTTTTATACAGCCTTTTTTACCCAATCTTCGCCCGGTATCGTGCGCCGGTTCATCTCCCCTATTATTATTTTAACCATTTCAACACAAAAGTAACAAAATCATCTATATACAAAAAAAAATATTAATTGTTTGTAAATTTCAAAGAAAAACGACATTTGAGAGGAAATAATCGTTTTGTCCTTTTATAATAAATTTTATAGCTAAATACGCACTCGTGTATTTTATTTAATATTTTTGTCAAACTTTGGTATTAAAATGGTTAAAACACTATGGGAGATGATCCTACGCACGACACCGGTTTTATGATCTTGGTCAGTTTTTTTGGAGACCTCAAAGTTATCCTGTCCCTGGTACAGAAATAAAAATATTTGTATTTTTATTAACAATGGGCATGACATGCCTAATTTTCCACTGGTCCAGTGAATTTAATTTATAACACAAAATCATATGATAATTGTTCGGACCGTTATTACCACTAATTACGAATTGAAAATAAAGCAAATATAAGTACCGTTTCTACACAAAAAAAACGATTTTTTGCAAACACTTTCGCAATGTTAATAAAAGATTTATTTTAAAGGTTTTATATTTGCCTCCCCTCTCATCTGAATTTCTGCATACTTGAAGTTGATTAACGAACTATGGTTAATTACTATCTTAGTATTAGTTTCTTATTAAAGTTATCAAGAGCGAGTAAACGATGGACGAGGCTATTATATATGTGTCCTTCTTCGTTCCTATCCAATTTTAAAATATATTATATTAAGGGTATCAAAAAGAAATACATGTATATGTATTACTGAGATATTTATCTAAATTAATTGTGACATTTTGAGATGTGTATTTTAAATTCCTATGTTCTAATTACATTGTAATTATGATAATCGAAAATTTCTTGCAATATATAGAAAAATAATATATATGTTTAAATTAACTCGTTAGGAGTAAGCTAGTATTTTTAATGTTCATTTTTATATCTTTTCTATATACGAAGGTTAGGTTCACATTTTTAGACTTCATAGACCTAAACAACGCATTTAGAAACAACCTTGATCTTAATTTTAGAAATTCTCGACAGAAAATATATATGTATACTAAAGTTTTTATCTTTTGCTTATGTCAACGTATTGCAAACAGCACTTGGATCTCGGTCAATAAAACATCTTAAGCTCGCCTAAATTAAGCCTTTAAGCCCTCAACTATTTTTGCTTTGTCTCTTGGATTAATTATATTCGATTGTGAATAAATAATAAAGAATAAATGAGACTAAATTAAACTTTCTATTCAGCAAAATGTTAAAATCATTTAAAACATGCGGATCCGGATCCAATAGAAAGTAATTGGATCTTAAGCACTGTGATTCAGACTTCTTTTTAATAAAGGCAAATAAACAAGTCTATAAAATACAGATATAGTTGATTGTTTTAGAATAAATTTTAAAAACTTGTGCGGGGAAAATGGGTTTACCAAACTTGAACACCATGGAGCAGTGCTTAGGATCAATTTAATTTTGATGCTGATCCGGATCCGGTTCCTGGATCCGCACTGGAAAAAAATGGATCCGGATCCAGGTCATTTCTTCAAGATTTACTGAATTTTTTTAACAAAAATTAATTTTTAAATTTTTTGTTTTATTTTTTCGCTTGTTTTTATCTTAAAACTTGAGAAACCATTCAGAAATGAGGAAATTTTTATAAACGCTCTTTTTTTAAAAGTTCAGAAATGGGGTTTAGTAGTAAAAAAGTTTTTTGTTAATATTTTACCCCTTGGTTCCGGATCCGTAGATCCGCATATTTTTGCGGATCAGGATCCGGATCCAGGAAGCCAAAATCTTGCGGATACAACGGATCAGGATCCGGACCCTAAGCACTGATTTTATTTATATTTTCAGATGGAACCTCCTCCAAAGATTTCCAATCGTGAAATCCAGGATCACAAATATGGGAAAGAAATTAAACTGAGAATGGAAAAGTCTGGAAAGAAAAAGAATGTAGATAAAAGTCTTGTGGACAAGGTTGTGTTGGGAGAAAGATTGGATTTGGCTGATATTATTTGCCCGATTTGTATGTGTGTCCTGATAAGTCCAGTTCAGATGCCTTGTCAACATGTTCTATGCCTTCCTTGCTTTCAGGTAAAAAAAAATTGAGTCCTGTAACCACTTAGAACTAGCAAAGTAAAACCTTCTTATGTGGTCAATACTAAATTTTAAGAACATACCAGAGATATAGTAGAACTGGGTACCAGATATATAGTAGAACTGGGTACCAGAGATATAGTATAACTGGGTACCAGAGATATAGTAGAACTGGGTACGCCTTGTTGAAACTATTATCTGTTAGGTAGTTTACAATCTCTTGGTTAAAACAAAGCAGGATTTGTTTTTGTTATTCTATAAATTTTGTTTAAAATGTTATATGAATATATGTTAAATGAATATAAATTAGATACTATAAAATCCCTCATTAAGGATTGTAATGCAACCATTCAAATATTAGGAATTTAAATGTTAAATTTATTTCAAAGTTTTAAAAATGACTTATCTTTTCATTTTACATTCAATTACATCACGTAAGGGAATGGGATACAATAATATGAGAAGAGAAAATTAAACAGCCTTAGCTTCCGTAGACCTTTTTGGGTCATATTGCATCCTTTGCTACGCTCGAGATGCTCGCGGGCAGTGTCTTCAAATGCCTCGGCAATATAATATTCCCTCCCATATTTATTTCATATCTTTTGTCTCTCTGTAATTAAGAGATGAATATATTAAATAAAACTCTTCGATCAAATAAATACCACCGGCCATGTTTATTAACTGAAGAGGAGCAATCCCAAACAATTTGTATTAATAAATATGAAAACTGAGAAGCTGCTCTGATTACAAGAATACTTTTGACGTTTAAGCATATATATATTAATCAGAGCAGCTTCTCAGTTTTCATATTTATTAATACAAATTGTTTGGGATTTTGTATATATATATACCTACTAGTTAATAAATCTTCGTAATCTCATCTTTTTATCGTAATTATCAGTTATATTCCCAAATCAATATGCTTGCTTAAACGTCAAAAGTATTCTTGTAAACATGAAATAAAAAGATATAAGAACTACCGTCAAGGAAAAATTTGCTCAAACAAAACTTGAACAATCAAATAAATATATTTAATGTATAAGAATTATAAAGATTAAATAGCAATCACATTGTATTTAATTGTTTAGGAGACAGTTACTCACTCTAACACCTGCTGTCCGATCTGCCGAACTCGGCTATCTACCTGGTGCCGTAAAGCTACAAAAGACAAAACGTTAATCTCTCTCCCTCTGTGGCGATATATTCAGGTATATTTCTACGTCCCGTGTGTGTTAATCTGAACCAGGTAATGAATGTTTGTTATCAGAAAACATTTTTAAAGTAAATGTCTTAAACAAATGATAAGATTTTTTAATGCTTGAACCAAGTTGAAGTTTTTGGATGCACGTTAATATTTTTTGTTCATTAATTACTTTTAAGATAAGCGCATAAAAAGAGCATTTCTCGTACAATAGTAAGATTTAGGAAGAAATAAGATCCGGAGAGAGGTTGTAAAAATAAGTAAACCCTGTTGGTTCTAGGAAACGTACCCCGGGGAAGTTTCTGCACGACAAGGTGGAGAAGATAAGACTGACCCTGATGAGATGTTTCCTTGTGTGCCAAACCATCAGTTTGCCATAGAGGTTAATTTTTATAAAATTGAAGTTGATAACAGAAAAGTGATATTTACTCAAAAAAGGAAATTGGAGGAATAGCGCGGGGAGTGTTTGATGTTTTTTAGAATCCCCCTCCTAAAAGAAATACTAAATTCGGGGATACAACAAATTTTGATGAAGGGAAAGAATAACATTTACATTATGATAATTCAATCAATAATGATGCACTTTCAATTTCAGGGTGAAATAAAATCTGAATTTGAAGCTGTAATGGAGCGAGAAAGAAAAGAAAAAGAGCAGAGGGATCAAGAGGAGGAGTTGAGGAGTAAAGAGCTTATCTTGAGATTGCAAGAGGAGGAATATGAAGAAGAACGAGTCAGAACCCGACAGGATGAAGAATTTGCCCGAAAACTGATGAACACGGTATCGCCGGGGAAAGAGAATCTCGGCTTACAAACCCGGAGAAGGAAGGGGTCCATTGAACATTTTCTAAATATATCCAACGATAAAGGTTCTAAAAATAATATTATTCACCATCATAATGCAACCAAAGCCAGTCATTTCTCTTGTGAAAATAAAAATAGAGAAAAGGTAATTACTACTCCCTCCAGACCCTCCTCGTCATCCTCCAGTACTCCCTCCAGACCCTCCTCGTCATCCTCCAGTACTCCCTCCAGACCCTCCTCGTCATCCTCCAGTAGAACCAAGATGTTCAGTCCAACAAACATAGCTTTGTTTAGAAAAGAAAATAATATCACCGAACCTTTTTCTAAGTGTGAAACTGCGGTTTCTGGTTCCCTCCTAGAAACTGGTAAGTCGGGTGCTCTTCATGAAACTTGTGTGTCAGGATCTCTCCTAGAATCTGGTATGTCAGGTTCCCTCCTAGAATCTGGCGTGTCAAGTGCCTTCCAAGAATCTGGTGGGTCCGGTTCCCTACCAGAATCTAGTATGTCGGGTGCTTTCCAAGAATCTCCAAATTCTGGTGGTTTCCTAGAAACTACAATGTCGGGTACTTCACAAGATTCATCTTTTCAGAACCTGAAACTAATTAACATAAAAAAGAAAAACATATTTACAAATGTAAAAATGAGATCAGCCACATCTTCGAATGAATTAATTGATTCGGTTTCTAATGAAGGGAATGAATTATCCGATCTACTTATCGAGTCTCAGGGGTCACAAAGCTTACTTTGCCGAACTGTCGAGGTCAATACAGCTTCAGAAACTAGAAAAAAAGAAAAATCCCAGTCCAGTCTAGGATCCCTATATAACTTGGAAACTTGCTGTAATAAAATAGGGAATTCTTCAATCAAGAAATCGTTAAACTGTAACCTGCAAGTAAATGACCAATCTCAACCTCTCTTGGAATCGAAACCTACAAAATCTGACTCATTTAACAGTGCTGATAAAGTCCTAATCAAGGATAATTTTCAATCTGAAAAGCTTCAATTTGGAGAAGTTACGACCGAGTTCATGCTCAACTCGAAATTACTTAATGAGAGAGACATTAACGAGAACAACGCACTTTCTAGCGCAGATACACAAACTCTTCTAGATGCATTTAGTTCAGGTATAATGATTAAGTCATTAATTTACTTACTTAATTTAGTGTTAAGTGTGTATTAACTTTGCTTCTGATAGATACTGAGTTTGATGAGCGTTTGATAGAAGAACAAAGAAGGATTGAGATGAGGTTGGAGCAAGAACGGATTGATTTAGATCTTGCTCAGAAACTACAGGATCAGATAAACAAGGAGTCCAGGTTATTGTTTATTTATCAAACATTAATAACGTTGGTAATAGATGTGCGTTTTAATATGGGATTTTAATAGATCAGTCGATCGGAGAAAAGGAAGTGAGGATGAATACAGATTAAGAGCTGTTACTCCGTCATCCCAGTCAACTAAAAGACGGAGGGCTAGCGGAGCTTCAAGCTCAGGATCAAGCAGAAAATCATCAGAGACGGGAAAGAAAAGACGTCAAATGTCTTTACAGGAATCTTTCAAGAGAACCAAGTTGACCTTTACTCAAGACTCAGAAGAGTTCTAATAGATATCAATCTAAAAATTAAGTTTATTTACCCAAGAACTTGATTTTACCACAAATACTATTACAGAAAATTCTTGATTTTACCTTTTTTATCTAATTTGTTTTTTTACCGCGATTGTTCTGCTATTGTTAATTCACACAGAAATCTTACTTAATTTGAGCATTGTTGGATAAAAACCGCATTACAAATATAGAGTAAATATTTCTCCGACTGCAACACACTGAACTGACTAAATTTATGGGTTCTTAACCTCATTGGATCATTTAATTAAAAATTCCACAAATAAGATAGTCATCACTAAACTATAAATTATCAACAAAATGTAAATTATGAGTGGACTACAAATATCTTCTTAAACTGAAATGTTTTGACCTGATCGAACCACTGTATATTTACTTCATAATGTGATATATGTGTTGAGTTTTAACTTCTTTTAGTAATATTGTAAAGTTACATTACAAAACTTTAATAAATTAAAATAATAGACGAAATTTTAATTATAGTGATGATCGTCATTTAAGTTAACTTAACTGGCTCAGCATTTTAGAGATGGAAATTAGATATCCACGAAAATTCTTACTGTATTTTAGTCATTAATTTTTGTCAGTTAAATCGAATTGAACTGACTAGTTTTAAATATTAGTTATCCGAATCGTTTTACAGATTTACGGATTAAAGTAATTCCTCTAGAATATTCTGAGGTAAAAACTTTTTTTTAAATTCAGTGATGGTGATGGACCTAACCTCTGTAGAGTAAAAAGAGTAGATGTTTGTTCCACATTTATTGAAAATATATTTCGGTCTGGGTTGATCTTTGTCAGTTCTAACGATATAATAACCATCAAAATCGATAAAAAATGTAAAAAGATAAACAAACAAAAAAGATTATTCAAAATAAAAATTTGGACTGTCAAGTGGACATAAGGGAAACGAACTCAGATTATGAAATGGAAAAGAGATAATTTGCAAATATTCACTTTAAAAAAAATGTTTTGAGACAATTATTATTCCTTGAGATTGTTTCTTCACTAAGATTAAAACAAACTGTGTAGATGTAAAAACTTTTGTATATCTAAATTAACTGCGAAAACTTTTATAATTTAGGATATTAAATACATCCGACGGCAATAGATACGCATAACAACACAGGGAAGAACATGCAGAGGTATTTGTTCTTCTCGATTTATCCCGTTTTCCCCCCGTTTATTTTACCCTCAGGTATTAGGTATGTGTGTGATTATAGACTTTTTTGTTCTATTTGCTCCATTTTTGGTTAAAAATACTCAATGAGGGAAGAAAAACTTGCCAGTTGATGGTCCAATATTATTAGACAAAAAATATGTAATTTCCCGACTGCTCCCGGGGGGCGGGGGGGGGGGGGGGAAGGGTCATACTTGAAAACATACCCCTGAGAAGATAATATGGGGTGGTTGCATGGGGCGGAAACGTCATGTGTGTGTGTGTCTGTACAGAGCGTCCCATATCATATTAGATTATCTCTAATCTTTAACGACAAAATAATCCCTTAATAATCGAAAAACTTATCATTTTCCGCAAGAAAATTCTTATATAAGCCTTATGTTATTTTTCAAATTGATTTATTCTAATTAAATTTTCTTATTAGTCCCGAAAATCGCAATTTATACCCGTTGACGGTCTAATATGATGTGGGACACCCTGTACCAGAAGAGTGTGTGTAAGATTTACCGAACCGAAGGTGTGTACTGTGGTATATACAGTGCATAAGAATCTCGGTATTTGTAGTCTAGGAGAGTACATTTGTTTCTTGTTGATTGTTTACTTAAAAATAAGTTTAATATACATTTAAGTATATATGCCAAATTTAAATGCAAAGAATAAAATTTGATTGAAGTTTACAATAAACTACCTGTTATTCAAGCTCAATTATAATTGACGACATTGTTCTGCAATTTCCTTGACTGTAGTCATGTTGTGTGTCTGTACCAAAAGAGTGTGTGTAAGGTTTACCGAACTTGTCTGCAAAGCAGTGCCACTGGCTTTCTCATGCCAGACCGGCGCCATTTCCTTTCACTTTATTTCTATTCCCTGGGTGGTTGTTAGTGCGGCATTGAAAGAAGTATTGAACATTATAATTTTTAAAAAAAATTTAAAAACATTTTATTCAACAACTCATCGTGAAAATCACAAACGTCAAATATGTATGTACAAGTATCACAGTGAAGATTTGGTAGATTGTTCTCAACAGATCACACCTAAAACATGAAAATCTAGTTTAATGCTTTGGATTGCAAAATATGTTATAACCGCTTGACCACGTATATTATAGCGATAAAAAATAATAGAGATCTTTATTTTGATACTATCTGCCTCAAAAAGTGAAACAAATCCAAATCTAGCTACCAAACAAATTAGGGGGAATTAAAAACAGCTCTTTGCGATGAAAAATTTAATTGTAAAATATTGTATTGCAATTTTGGTTTTCAGCTAACGAAAACTTTCGCGATTTTTTTTTCTCGAATTTACGGAAACTATGCGGAAATTCGTTGAAGAAAGATATGCGACAATTTCACATTAATCTGTTCCGCGAAAAAAACGAAATTTTTGCGAAACAACAAATGCGAAATTTTACGAAAAAAGCAAAAATGTTCGGATTTTTTATTGAAATCTTTGCGAAAAATGCGATTTTCCCATTTCGTTGGAAACCCTAATTGCAATTACTTGATTATTAGGATTTTTTAATATTTCTCACTGTTCTGCTGCACTGACATCATTCAGTATATTTTACTGCCTGATATGTATCAAATTATATATTTTTTTATGACTAAACTAGCATGCAACCTTATTCTGGATTTCGGAATCCACCTTAGAAGAGTTGGTTTTGAGTGCCTGCGCTATAGCCATCTCCTTTTGTCGAACAAGCGCAAAGGCAGCACTACCCAAGAGCACCACTGCGTTGCTGAACCACCACCAGGCGGATTTAATCTAAAAGATGGTTTTAAACTTTAGCTAATTCTCAATGATGACCCCCCCCCCCCAAAGAAAATAAAACATTGTTATTATTTGTCTACCTCGGAGAACCAGTATGTTGCAAGAACAGTTTGTGCTGCAGCCTTAGCAGTTCCCGAGATATTATGGGTGAGAGGAGAGGTAACCTTAAATAGTTTTGATAATAAGACTGTTGATGAACACAATAGTAAATCATATAAACGAATACATTGACATTAGATATAGTCTTTTTATCTGGCATGGAATAAATCTCGGTCAGTTTCTTAAAAGCCTTTGATCTAGAAATCCATATTTTTGCGTTCTAGGACAAAATCGGAAAGAAAAAAAAGAATAAAACTGGATATAAATTGGAAGATTTGTACAACCCTTTTGATACTTTTAACATAAAAAATCATACATTTTCCACAGTTCAGCATATAAAACCTAAAATTTAAGCATACCTAGCATATTGGTAAACAAATTTTCCAAAAAAGTACATGCATAAGGATGGATACAGATCAAATACATCACTTAAAATTACGCCGATAATATTCCTTTACCTTAATCTGTAAACCAGTGACGTATCCTATAGCAAAGCCAAAAACTCCTCCGATTGTCATCATTATCCAGAACTACATAAAGAAATGTTCTTACGATTTTAAGTACTTTTTGTCTAGTATAATAATGATTTTAAAGAAAATTACTACAAAAGATATTAGATTAGATACCTGGAGACTGGTTTTGTGCTCAAATTGAACGAGAACTGAAAATTCATCAAAGATAAGCATGAGAGGCAGGAAAAGGATACAGGCATTCACATTGTTGTAAAAGGTTAGAGACCAAATATTTCCCTAAACAATTTATTTTATTACTATGTCTGCCGTAGATGATAAATATATATGATCAAGTAAGTCTTACATCAACGACAGGAAGAACTTTCTTTGTGTAGATGGCGAAAAGTGAAACGAAAAGTGAAGCGAGGATTCCGTAAAGAGTTCCGGAGAGGGAGAAGGATCCTAAAATAGATAAAAGATTTAGTGCTAGTCACAAAACTTATGTTCTGAGCAGCCTTTTATTCATGGTTGGAAAAAGCCCATTTTTTTCAAAAAGACCCAGTTGGTTTTATTGTATTTTTTTTGGGGATTTTTTTGGGTTTTTAAAATTAAAAGTAGTTAAAACCTACTGATCTTCATACAAAGTCATTACAATAAGACTATTTAATCAATAGGTAAACTTTATTGTAATGAAAAATAATAATGTTGTTGTGATGATAGGCTATAATCATATATAAATACTCTTCAAATACAATAATATCAACTGCCTTCTTCATCAAATCAAATCAAATCATGAGTGTTAGGGAAAGCTTTAGGCTCCACTCTACAGCCTAGAGTTTCAAGTCCTGACTGAGAGATGGGTTTTCAGCCCGGATATTTTAATGTTTAACCGTTAATGAATCAATTGTTTAAGTTTAGCGAAATAATCCCAGCAACACGACCAAGTTTGAGCCATGCAACCATTTTTAGCTCCCTTTCACTCATGTATGATCATCTATGTGTTAAATATGTATGAGTGAAGGGGAGCCCATAGGGGGAATACTGCAATTTTTTTATGTTATTTCTTTGAATTTCAGACTAGTCCTATTTCCTCACTTGGATACATATTTCTGATTGGGGTGGGGCTACTTGATATTGCTCAAGAAAGAAGACCACTGTTGGATTTGACTGGTCTAAAACCAGAAAACGTCTTGAAGTCAAGAGTGACATGGTTGACTAATTTGATTAATTCAAATTTTTTTTAAATAACTCAATATACGAACAATATTAATTTTCTTAAGATCATTGGTCTTAGGAAATGAATAAGTGTGTCAGTTTTAGTGCTGTAAACTCCTAAAAATCTGTTTAAAAGAGATGTTTTTGTCCCCAGGACATAATCGGGCTGTTACGATCGAATTTCGGAATTTTTCTATTGCGAAAGTTTGGTGTTGTAGGGGGTTTGTATTGATAACTGTTTTTTTATTCTAAAGGTGATAAATGCTCTTCATGGTTTGACCTGCAGCATCCTCTTGATCAACTCCGAGGTAGAATCCACCAACAATGACTCCACAGCATGCAATAGCTGCTAACGATGTTTTCTGTCCGAGGATAAAGAAGGTCATGAGAACATTAAATACCGTTGTTAAACTCCTAAAACAAAATAAAAATATGAAAAAAATCAGGTATTTCGAACGATTTTTAAGATGGTAATTGTACAATACATCTTTGAATAATCTAACTGTATTTTTATCAACCTTTTTTGTCACAATTTAGCCTCTGAGCAACATCAAATTGACACGAATATATTTACTGACTTTTTCATGTTTTAGTCTTTGTTCATAGGTGAAAACTTCTGTTTGATGAATCTTGAGATCAACCATTAATGCGTATCTTGTGTAGATCTACGTAAATTAATTCCTCTAGATATCCCCGGCTGGTTGTACCCCGAGGTTGTGATTTTTTCCTGGCCCTAACAGCGCACGGCGCAATAAATATTATTCTCCTGCCAAATGACATGCATGGATTATTACTAATTTTAAAATTAACTTACAATCAGATACTACCTGCCAATATAATAGAAGGATATTCCAACATGCTTCAAACAAAGATTGTTGAAAGTAATCATACCAACAAATACAATAGAGAGTGGCAAAACCTTAAAGTAAATTTGTTTTAAATTTTATATTGGGATATTTTTTCAATTATTTGTGATGTTGTAAAATAAATACTTACTTGCTTCATTATATTGATATCTAGTGAAAGGTCTGGAAATTCTACTTTATCTGGTATTAAGCGAGCAAGAAATCTAGAAAGTAATAATTGTAACTATTGAGAAAATAGACAGCTTTTAATACTTCATAAAAAATGTTAAAATGAAATTATTTATGAATTGTCACATATTCCAAAGGGGTTTATATTTTGTTGAAAATCTTAGTCCCCTCTTTAAAAATATTTTTTTTTCTCGAATGTTTTTTTTCTTTGGCTGAAAAGGGGAATTTATATAAAAATTGTCAAATAGGGATCAAATTTTGTAAGTTGATGTCAAATTTGTCATCCCAATCTTTGAAAACCATTTCGAGGGGAAATTCTTATTAAAATATATTAATGAAGAGGTGCAAATTAAGCCGACTTAATAATTTTTAAGGAGGATTTTTAAACCACTCAAAGATCCGAATTTAAACATTTTCTAGCTGTGATTTACCAGCGATTTCCCAGGCTAGCTAGGTGAGAAAGTCGCAGCTAAATCGGAACTAGAAAATGTTTAACGAATCCATTAAAGGTTTGGTAAGAAGTCCTGTAAGTCTACCTGAGAACGTAACATGCTGCAACTGTAACAATACACTGGTAACAGGTAACGAATAATGGTGCATCTAATTTCTCTCCTCCGCTCAGCAGGGATTTATTTACAAAAACTAGGGTTATCGACACAAACCTAAATTATTTAGATAGGTTACAGCTAAATCATGTTAATCTTGAAATTAATATTGGAGCAAAAAGTTGATATTAGAATCCAACAATTTCTTACCAATAAACAGAAACTACAATAAATATCTGGACATATCTCTGAATTAATGTCTTTTCTACCATTTTCCCTCTGAAAAAAACGTTATCTCTCATTATCTTTAATTTTAAACTACAAACTTATTTATCTATTATTTGAAATTCTTATATCAGGGAATGGGGTCTATCCAAGACCTCCCTCCTGTCAATTTTGTACATGACCACTTTTTCCCCAGAAATTATTATTTATTTTTGGCTTTGGTTAGGTTAAGACAACTTCTGGGCCGAGCGTTGAGGCAGGGGCCGAGAACTGCGGCTAGGACAGGCTAGGGGGCCGAGCGTCACGGCTAGAACAAGATAGGGAACGCTGTGGCAACATGACCATTTATATCCATGTGTTACATAAGAGATCCATGTACAAAATTAATAGGAGGGGGGGGGGTCCAAAAATCGTTCTCTAAGAAATTACTTGGAAATGAAAAAACTGCTACACCTCAGTATCTTTCATTCTTTCTTCAAGAAATCTGCTAATAAAATAAGTGAATTTCTAGAATTTTGAGGGGGATTAGGATAAAATTTAGAAATTTGGAAAATATCAGGTTATTGTCTAATATTTGCCTGTTTTTATCCCTTTTCCACTCTCATGGAAGCTAGGAAGGGCACGCCCTTCAATAGTTGGGCGTCATTATAAATTGTACAATTCATATTCGATAGATGTTGAGTCTAACTAAGACAGAGTAGACACACAACTAACCTTCACCTGTATTCCTTGTGTGTAAAACACTTGAACATTCAATTGATTTTTGAAACATATGTTCAGAAACAACTACGTCTACTTATGAAGGATCGAATGGATGTTTATACGTTCAACTTAAATTGTAACTAGATGCATGGTAAACAAACAAAACATTCTATTTATTGACGCGCCTGGCCACGTTTGCCACTTAATGTACCAAATTATTAATTTACAGGTATTGGTTTACCAAAATCAAATTCACCTAGATCACTCAGTACACCTGTCTGTTGACAATTTCCAAGCGTATTAGGGGGGGGGGGTTTAAGAGAGAAAAATATTTCTTTTTTCGTTAAATACTTGAATATTGTTTTTGAGAATATGTCAAAAATAAAAAGATACATATATTTTGTATATACTTTATTTAGAACAGAATTCGAATCAATAGATTTTTCAACTAAATTTTAGGAAAGGATATAACTTATGGTTGATTTTGTTTAACTGTTTAGTTTATTAAATAACGATTTCTTTATTGGTTGGATTGTTTGCGACTACAGAGATTCTGATTGGTTAATACAGTTTCTTCATGGTATGGTAACACTACTTTCTACACACACAAATCATACATCAGCTGTATTCTTGTAGTTCACTACTGCAAAAACGTTAATATTGTGAATTCATGGGCGTACGAGGGGGGTTACGCCTTTGATTATGATTGTCAATTTTTACATTTAAGGGGCTCGCTTTAGATGCACATTGCACATAGAAATAAGCGTTAATCAGTCAATCAACTAACTTTTAAAAGATTTACAATACACAAATTTTATGATAACGACAGATAATTGATTGAATTACTTTTAAGAATGGGGCGAAAAGTTTTTCTCTGCACTACTTCTTCTTGATTTTTCTTTAATAATGTATTCAAAATTTCAGATAAAATGTGTCCACTTCTAATCTTTTTGCTTATTTGTAGTGGGGTGGAAAGTATCCGCCCCCGAGGGGTCAGGGTTGAGCTTGCAAGCTTTTACAACCCGGCCGACGAATTTTCTTGTCTAGACGGCAGCGGAACCATCCCATTCATTCAAGTGAACGACGACTACTGTGATTGCGATGTAAAATATTTAGTATTTACATTTATTCTTTATAATTTTACTCTAGAGTCCGATTCTTTCCCATTTGATCAGAGAAGGTCTCCTCTGAGAACGTCCTTATCTAGATAACATGAGACAAAAATTACCAAAATATTATTGTTGTTAGGACGGACTTGAGTCTGACAAGAATCGGGCTCTGCCCTTATATTTGAATAATAAAAAAATAAGTGGTCTAATCTCAGTTGCTTTTTAAGTTTTTTATCGTTTCTTCTAAATAAGTATTCTTTAATAAAACTTGACAAGGAATTAAGCAATAGGTGCTGAGCTTTAAATATTTGCACAGGATGGATCTGATGAGCCTGGAACATCAGCATGTCCTAATGGAAAGTTTTATTGTGATAATAAAGGTCACAATCCTTTATTGATCCCGTCCTCACGTGTAAACGACGGTATCTGTGACTGCTGTGACGGATCTGATGAATGGGAAGCTGGTTCTGCTTGTGAGGTAGGATTATATTTATAGGAATTAAAGGATCAGTAACGTTATGTATATAAAGTACGTTTTCGTATAGTGCACTGTAGATAAGTAACATTTATTAACAAATTCTATGTAGTCAAGGTTTAACCTTTTTCATAAAGAATCATTAAAAAAAGTAGAGATATATTTTTAAGAAAATCGCGACATTCTTATCCATGTCTTTGATTAAACTTACTAAGTCTACTTGCGGTAAGTGTGCTATTGGACGAATTGGACCTGAGCAAATATTGGGGTTGCGCCAAAGTTCTCTCACATAAGTCCAGGGCTGCTTAGCATTGTAGTTACATCTTCAGCGCTGTGGCTTAGTGAGTAACGTCATTAGTTACAGTACTGTGGGCGGGGGTTCAAACCTTAAACCATTGTTCCAAAATTGCAAAATCGCAATCTAGGAATTAACATCTTGCTTGCTCCCAGCATTCCGACCGATGGTATTAAATTACAGTAGTTGTCGGAGGTCATTACGTCGAATGACATAACATGCAAACCTGCCAACACTCAAATCGGCCAGGGTGATGTAATAATTGAGTAGGTTCGATGAAGTATGCGGGGTCCATGAGACAGTTGTGATAAATTTAACTAGTGCGCGAACCTCACCCCTTTCAGTTTGTGGCCAAAAAAAAACTTCACTTATTTCCATATCCTTGTACGGCCCTCTGGAAGAAGAAACTGCAATTTTACCCTGGCAAAGATTCCGAAATTTTATCTTATACAGTCATAATCAGAAGACCCGGAATTAATTGACAGTTAATCAGGCGATTTTACATATATATATATATATATCTGGCGATTTTAAATGCTCAAATAAAGCAGACCACATTTTGGTAATGACAGGACTAAGGGTATTTTGCAGGGGCGGATACAGGATTAAGTGAGGGGGGTGCTAGATTTATTTCAGAACAAAAACATCCTGATTTAGGAACAAATTTTTTTAAGATAGATTTTTTCCTGTTTTGAACTTTAGGTTTTCTTTCCCTTAAGTGCTATTGAGGAGCTATTCTGAAATCTCAGGGGGTGCGAAGGTCCTGCCCCCCCCCCCCCTGTATCCGCCCCTGGTATTTTGTGATAATCGTTTCATCAATCATGTTTGTAAAATTAGATTGTAAAGTCGTGTGATCAATTATAAATTTATTCCGGGTCTTTCTGATTAGGACTAAATGATGGAAGAGCAGATACCAGATAAATTCATAAACACTCCATCTTAAATCCAGGATAAATAAAAGGAATCTGACTCTGGTCTGCAGAATAACTTGGGATTTTACCAAGAATTACCCAAAGTGTTTCCTGTAAGAAATTCACCTACACCCGATCTTATTTACAGAAAATATTGCCATACGAAATGTTACCTACAACAAAGTGTACTTTGCGAAAATGTATAACCTACCCGAAATGTTACTGTAGGAAAATTTACTTTACAGTTTACATAACGTCATATATGGGCCCAAATTAATATTGGGTACATTAGAAATATCAAAACTAGTTTTGTGTTTCTAACCCCCTATTGAGGTCATTACACATTGCATAATAGATTTCCCTAAAAATTATAAAGAGAAATTTGTGTAAACTTATCATCCTAGTTAAATTTTAAAAAATTGTTGGGAAAATAATATTTTCAATTTTCCGCCAATCAAAAAATGCGATCAGAATTTTTTCTATGCTTTCTGCAAAATGATTTAAACATATGATGTAGGATACCTGCCTTGAGCTGGGGCGTGCTGCTCGCGAGGAAGCTGAGGCCCAGGCCAAGATTGCTCTTCAAGGGTTCAGAATAAAGCAGGATATGATCAATGAAGGAAAAGTATTGCAGGATGAAAGGGCTGGAAAGGTGGCAGGTTATATTTCTCAGTTTATTTTAAGATGAAAAATGTTGTCCGGTGTCCATCATTGTTCAAGCGTCCACTTTGGCCCACATAAATTTATTAGAACTATTTAAACTTCTTTATACTACCGCACAGGTCAATCGTTGGAAATGCAGACAGGACAAAGCTGATACATAATAGGCTTAAATAGTAATTTGGGACCCTGTTCTAATAACAGTTAGCGTTTTAATGTTGCTTTTCATGTAGTAATCTTTTTACGACGTAACTGTAAAACTTAAATCAGTTTAGCCGTTTGTTTTTTTCTCTTAAAAGCCAAATTTGTCTATAGAAGCCGGCAGTAAGAGGAGGACGTAAAGTTCCTGATTTCTAGTGTTTACTTAATTTAGACAAGGAGATGATGAAACTTCAACTTGAATCACAAAAGGAGGCGGTCAGGTTAGAGAAGGAGGCTGCCGAGGCTCCGGAAAAAGAAGCTCTAGACTTTTACAGACAATTGGAGGAAGAAGAAAACAAAAAGAAGGTTTGATTGAATTTAGACACAAACAACTTGCTAAGCAATATCTTAAAATTAGATTCATTATTCATTTTAAGAAGCAAAGCCCACCACAAGAATTAAAATTCTCAAAAGATTAAAAAATAATCAAGACTTAAAATAAAAAATATATAATTTAAGAGATTATTGCATATTTGTTTGTGTTCAGGAAGAAGAAGATAAAAAAAAGAAGGACGAGGAAGCAGAACAGTACTTCCTTGCTCTGGATTTAGATAAGGACGGATATATCTCCAGGGTGGAGCTTCAGACAAGGACAGGGCTGGATACTAATAAGGTGACTGTTTAAAGAAAAGAGCTATTTATCTTTAAACTATTTTATTTATTTAAAATTTTAAATCAAGGATGGGGAGGTTAGCGAAGACGAGGTCAATTTCTTCCTAGCTGGTCACGAACAGTTTGATCTGGAAATTTTCAAAACCACAGGCTTTACCCTCCTTAAACCTTATCTGGACCTGGAGCAGCAAAACTCCGAACCCGAATCTGCTTCCAACACGGAAAGTTCTGATGATACAGAAAGTGTTTCCGTCCCTACCCCTGAAGATCCCCAGGTCTACGATCCATGGAGAGCAAATCAAGCGAAAGAAGAAGAGGTAACATTAAACATTATAGATTTAAATATATCAGATACTACGAATGTTTACAAAATTAATTGTTACAATTATAATGATTTATATTTATGATCCTAGGGTATTGAAGCAGGAGAAGATGAATATGATGATGATGAGGATGACAAAGATGACGTAGATTATGATATATCAGATTCTCCCCCTGCTGACTCATCTACGCACAAACCTCAGGTACTACAAACCTTATGTACTAACAGATGTAGAGATATTTATTTACAAGGGATGAAGCGACTACGTAATCGTTTACATTAATGACTCCCTGGAGCTGTAGTTTTGTCTTCTTTTTTTTGCCAAGTGCCAAATCTTAAATAGTTTATCATTGAAGTATAAGAAAGTCTAAGAATATCTAAAAATTGAGGTATTTTATTTAAGAAAACAGTTTAAATTTAACTTTCAGATTGCCATATTTCAAGAGTTTCGGTAACGTAAAAGTCTCATTCTTTGTGTGTAACTCTGTATGAATTTCTAAAATTTCTCTCCCAAAACAAAAAAAAAATCACTCGGTGGGGATATACAATATATATAAAATATAGTTTACCCCCTACCCCCCTCATATTTATTTTTGCTAACTATTGTGTATGAATAATTTAACGTTGATACCAAATAGGTGGAGGATAAATACGATGAGAAAACACGAGGACTAATAGCTGCAGCTGAAGAGATCAGAAAGAAATACCAAGATGTTGAGAGACAACTCAACGATATTGACAGAGATATTAAAAATATTAAGGAAGTGATGGAGAAGGACTTTGGTAAGTTTTTATTCATGATTTTTATAAATTTTTATTCTCTGATAAATTGACATTTTTCTCTTATGATATTTATTTTGGTTTGTTTCAGGTTATGAAAACGAGTTTGTAGTTCTCTCTGGTCAATGTTTTGAATACACAGATAACGAATACGTTTACAAAATGTGTCCTTTTGACTCCGCCTCTCAGCGGAGCAAAAACGGAGGAGGAGAAACGCGTCTTGGGAGCTGGGGAGAGTGGTTGGGTTCTCAAGAGAATAGATACACTCAGGTCATTTGGGGTTTTAAATACATTTAACTTAAAAATTAACAATTTAAACGAGTTAAACTTTATACAAATAAATTGAATATTAAGCACAAAAATCTGATGTAAAAATATGAATTTTACTCTAAGATGAAGTTTACTGGCGGAGCACAGTGTTGGAACGGACCTCAGCGTTCAGCAACTATTATTCTTCATTGTGGGACCGAGAATCAACTTACTGCGGTCTCAGAACCAAACAGGTCATATTAAAAAATACTGATTAACAATTTAACACACACAAATAGAGACGAAAGTACACATTGCAGGGTTTAGAACGCAGAATACGGGGTTTAGAATACAGATGATTGGGTTTAGAATAGAATACAGATAACACAATTTTACAAAAAGTGATTATATGGTTAAGTATACAGATTTCGGAATTTAAAACATAGATTACAGGGTTCAGAATACATATTATTAGGTTTTATTTACAAATAAGACATACTTGCTATAGAATGTAGATCATAGTGTTTAGAATACAGATGGTAGGGTTCAGACTACAGGTTATTAGGTTATTTTTAACAGACTTGCTCTTTATGTTTCGGTATCTAATTATCTCTTTGTAGATGCGAGTATGAGATGCACTTTGTAACCCCGGCAGCTTGCCATAATCCATCTTCTACTCATGACGAACTATAGATCCGAAACTACACCACCCTAGCTAAAGAAAAAGTTTTCATTTCTTACTACTTCTCAGCAAAGCATGAGCTCTAGATCTTACTATTTATCAGCAAAGCACCAGCTTGAGATTTTGCTTTTTTTGTATTAATTTTTCATGTCCAGCACGTAACTTTTTTTTAAATGAAAATTCACTAGATAGATTAGTCTTAATTGCATCTCAAGATTGTGATAATTTATTTTTAAATTTATTTATTGCAAATGCAATATCTTTAATCCTTAATAATATTTCAGAGATAAAGATGAATACTATCCCTCACTGCAGTTTGATAAATCTTACCTCTGCTCCTTCTTCATGGATTTTGGACCTTATTTTGCACCCAGAACAGTCGCCCGAGCAACAGAATACAATCCCGTTTAAAATTCAAACCAAGTACTTCAATGCTGATATTCATTTGAATCATTTTCATTACTCGGAACACTGGGAGACTGAAGATTCGGAGAAATTCAATAGAACCGAAGCCCTTCTCCTATATTGTGAGGGAACAAAGGAAAGTTTTGCGAAAGCTGAAAAGGTTTGGGAGAAAATGAAAGAGTTTTCACCTCCTGTATGTTTGTGTATCATAGATTCCACGAGAGAAGAAGTAGAACAGGAACATGAAATATCTCGAACTGGAATATTGTCCTGGTGTTTAAACAACCAGTTTGAACTGATAGAGTGTGACGAGGAGATTGATGAATGCGGAGAGATAGAAGATAAGGTTGGAAAAGATAGAATCCTGGAAGCTCTTAAATCTCACACTTGGAGTAACATGGAGTTGATCGAGAACTCTAAATCTGGTACAGGTTTCAAGTTATTTAAAATTTGAATTATAAGAATTTGAAATTTTAAGCTCCTTGTTAGATTCAAAACATATCTTAATCTGCTTAGAATCTGGTATAAAACAGTATTTTATTCCCTTGTCAAATATACCTTTATTTTTTATGAAACTTGAGACCTTGGGAAGGAAACTTTTTTCTACTTCCCTAAGAGAAATGACGTCACAATGTTTTTATGCCATCTAGAGCCAAATACCAAATTTACTTTTATTTAAATGTAGATAGAGAAGAAGAGTTTGTTACGGCAAGATTTGTTCAATTATTTTTGTTAATGGCAATTAAACGGAGAAGATTATTCGTTTTATTGTACTGTATAGTATATATATTTATCATTTATATTTGTCTAAAGCAAAATTACATTAAACAATATAAAAGTTTACAAACTAATACTCTTTTCTCTGGATATCGCATTTTAAAATTGACAGGGTTTGCCAAAAAGGTGCAATACAAGACTTTTAGCATGNTACCAGTAGGAAATAGAAGTTTGCCAAGGAATTTTTGCTCTTCTTGAAATATATTTGGAATTTCAGTTTCACCAATAGTAAAGTTTATTCTGCTAGGTACACCTGATCTGATGGAAAATGATCTACATTTTGCTGGTTTTAATCTCATTCCCATACTTTCAATCTTGGATTTTATTTCATTTTGAATTTTTTGATGTTTTCTCAGATCTGTTGTTATCAGGCAAAAATCGTCAGCATAGTGCAGAGTAATAATTTTCTCTTCATTCAGATTAAATCCACAATCATTCTTACTCTGTAGAAATTGTATAGAATTGTACTGTATAGTATATATATATAAAAACTATTGATATGAGTATTTATTAACTTAAAAATTGTGAGCTAATCGTTGATACATCAACATATCACAATAGCACCAGGATCGTAGAAATTATGTATCTTGTAAACACTGAGCTCGATATTTTCATGAAATATTGGTTTAAAGACTGTTTTAAATATGTTTCTTTTGCAGGTGCTGAGGATGAGAAACCGAAGCCTAACTTAGAAGCAAATATGGATTCATTTGAAAGCCTGTTTGCTCAATTGGCGAGTATGAAGGAGAAGTCTTCTAACCTGTCACCGGCTGATCGCAAGCTCTATGCAGAACAGGTTGCGATGTCGTTCTACGCAGCAATGGGGAGCAGTGATGACGAATTTGACGATGTAAACGATGTATAATGTTTTAGAGTTTAAAATGAACTATGAATGGCTTCATACCCTGGGTTAGAGAATCTTGGAATATCTATAAGTATCGGTTTGTTCCCTGGATTGCTCTAAATATCAATGAAAAGACCAGTAAAGTTATAAAAAAAAATGAACTGGTTCCGGAGGTAGATCTGCTCAGGTCTCTGCAGAGCTGTTTACAATCTTTCCATCAGTATACGTCTCTCAGAGATGATTTATCCCTTTACGAGGATCTTTATGTGAGAAACCAAAAGGTTTTACTCCAATCTCTTGGATTTTCGATTGTTCGTAGCAAAAGTTTAATCCCTGGAGCAGGAAAAGGTGTGTTAATTCTAAAAGGAGCAGCTTCTAGAGGTGACTCATTAATTTCTTATTTGGAAATTATTAATTACATTATTAATCAAAAACTACATGAATTAATTTTGTCCTAATTCTTAAATAATTCAAATTTTTTATTATGATTAATTGTTATAACTGAAATTTTTCTAATTTAATGTTTAGGCAATATTTAAAAAAAAAACTAGCTACAAATTATGAAATTTAGTTCGAAAAAAAATGAAAGAAAGACGATGAAAATTTGTCCACTGATTACAGATGATTATCTACTAAAATATACCTTGTTTATTTTATGTATTTTTATCATTATCACAGTTGCAGAAAACCCCGTTTTTTCTTTTTTCTTTTTGAAATGTTAATGCATTGTATCATCAATTATTCAGCTGTATGAAAGTAATTGCAAAAACACATTTTGAAGATTAAAACATAAGGGATAAATGTTAGAGTTTTAAATAATTATTTTATTATTTTCTGTGCCTAAAGCCTTAGATTTAATGTGCAATTACTGTGTAATTCGTTGATTACTTTAGGAAAGTACTCCTTTTTTAAAGGCCGTGATTTAAAAAGGCATTATATTCAAATATCCGTTTCTCTTTTTAAAAAAAATATTACTTCTTTTTAACCTACTTTATTTTACATACAATATTTACTACTTACAATTGTATAATGTATATTTGAAATAAGAGACTTGGTTGGTTATTTTGAAAAAAAGTTTAAGGAATAAAGGGAACATTGTGCCACTGAAAGGTTATCCTGAACGTGTACTCCCCTTACAGTTTCACAAACAATGCTTGTTCAATTATAGTACATTCAAATCCAGTTTACTGGCGAGGACTGAAAAATGGATAACAATTCCCCTTTTTAACCTGGAAGAGTTCTCATTTTGATTCTTGAGAGAATTCTGTTCATATATACAGCTTGTGATCGATAAGTTTTTTTTGGAAAGTTCACCACACCTATGCCGGATATATAAGGAGCGTTCTCCCGATAGAAAACCAGCTTCATTGTCACAGCAAGAAACTTTTCAGAATGGTCTTAAACTTGATCTGTCATAGTGTGTTTTAGACCCTTTCAGAGCGATCTAAAGAAAATTGAGATTTAATTGAATGTATGAAGGGCTTTTGAGAATTTTTCTGGTTTTGATTTACATTTGAGACTATAATCATTGTCATCCCCTTGGTTCTATGTTAAGTCAGAGACTTCGGGACTAATTTAGCGCAGAACTTTGTCATTGTCATATCTTGCTTTGCATTTGTTTACAATGTAAAAGCACATTTCAAACTATCTCAGAAATATACTTCAAGAAGCCCTGCTAATAAGGGTTGAACTATTTTCATATTTTTCGACCATATTGGGGAGTCTTAGTGGTCTTTTCCCGCCCAGACATGAATCCATAAAATATTTATGTTTTCTCTCTTAACCCCATTAACATATATAGTGAAAATAAGTAGAAAAATGTAGAGCTGAGACTTCTAGAAGTAGCCCTAAAAAAAGTTTTATCAAGACTTATTCATCACACCTCGTATGTTTGTTTAATTCAATGTTCTTTTTACTCAAAAGATCATTTTAAAGATATTCTTATAAAAACGCACATTCATCACTTTTAGATTTTAGATTCATTCCAAATTGACTATTGCTTATGATTATGAATTGATTAAATAATCATAATTCATCAAAACCTTAAATATTCAGTAGTTATTTGTTGTTAAATTTTCAGGAAGCATAGTTTGTCTTTACCCCGGAGTTGTATACCAACCTTACCAACCCATTCTTATTCAATCTATTCGGAACCAGTTCCTATTCCGGTGTGCTGATGGAGTTTTAGTGGATGGGAAGGATAAATCTATTTCAAGATCTATTTACAGGTCAAGTAGACAAATTGACGATTCGGATAAGGCCCATTTTTAAGTTATTTTATTAAATAAATTTTAAATGGGTGTCGTTTACATTTTCCAATAGATTTTGCGGATGGAGTGATATTCTGGAAAATGTTACCAATTTTTTTGACATTTAAAACTTATTCTAATTTCTTTTGTTTAGATCGTGTGCAGGCAGAGATCAGGTATTTTTTAAATTAAATTTCTTTCACGGGATTTATTAAAGTTTTCTGGTAAACTGTGTTGAATGTTTGAATTACAAAGCGCAAAATTAAAATTTAAAAAAATAGCAGTTTGTTTCTAATCTATATGCTAGCTCAAAACATGTTTTTACTCAAAAAAATATGAATAGAGGGCAAATTTTTGGTTTTGAAATTTTTCAATAACAAAATTAAAGTTTTCGCTGTTATTTATATTTTCAGTATTGAATTTCCTTACAATAAAAACTAATACAAATCTTTTAATTCAGATCGCTATAAAACTTCCCTAGCTAATTTTTCTTATTATTTTTTGCGGGAAAATATTTAGTTTTAAAGATAATTTCAGATGACATATGAAGATTAAACATTTTTACATAAACATCAGTTTTGGGAACGAAGTGGGTGTTCAAAAATGTGCTTAGTTACTTTAGTCATAGTTTCACTTCACATAATTCGATTCTCATAAGTTTCACTTCTCATAGTCACATTTGTCATAGGTTACGCTTAGTTATATACGATAAGTTTCATTATTAAAAGTCATAACTTTCATTGGATTCACTTATCATAAGTTTTATTTCTTATAGACAAAACAAATTAAATTTCCCAAGGGAAAATCTAAACTTGTGGATGTAAATGGTTTTATATATTACAGAAACGCCTCCAGTACTTCAACCAAATACTGGCTGTGTTCAAGAAGTGGATATAAAGGTCGTATTTCTACTAGGATGTCGATTTCCCACCATTCACACAAGTAACTCTCCACAATATTTGCTGGTTTCGATGGTTAAAAAGATTATGAAAAATGTAAACATCGAGAAAATGGCGCAAAAAAAGTATAAGAAATGTATCTTATTTGTCTATAAGAGTGGACCTTATGAGAACTTTGACTGAGAATTGAAACTTATGAGTTGTGTAATTTATGAGCATCAAGAGAGTTTTATCAGGGATACAAACTTGAGAATACAGAGATTTATGATAAGTGTAACTGATGAGAAATAAACAAGTATTTATTAGAAATGAAATTATGAGAACTAAATTTATGTAATTTTAACTGGGGCTACTTTTGAAATTTTTTTTCAAAATTGATCTTTCAGATTGGTTTAATTAGAGTGTGTGACACAAGCTGGCTTACTCCACGTCCTGTGAATCCTCTCAACGTTGGACAGGAAATTATTTTATCATTAATACGTGTCAGAAACTGTCGACTAATAAATTTTAAAAAATTACTTTTTAAATTAATTTTCGTGCTTTTTAATTAATTTTTGGATTTTAGTTTGTGAATAACGAAAGCAAGCAGTTTCCGGCAAACGTTGCATATTTGGAGTTAAACCTGCCCTCGACCTTTCCTCTTCAGCTTCGCAAATTCATCCCAAATATTAACTTTGACAGTATATCCCTGGACGGAGAAAGAGAGCTTCGAATAATTGCTTTAGGTATTCAAATGTAACTAATGACACTAGTTAAACTACATACTAAAATTCTGTATAGGTTAATTTAACCAACCAGATTCTGGTATGTATATGTATAGTATTTATTTCACTCTCTAGGCTACTTTTTTCTTCTATAATTTAGTCCTGGTTACTATATACCTTTTAGTATTAGTTTTTTAAGTTAATTTACCACTTAGTTGAGCAATTATGAATTGGAATATAATTGAGAGGTAATATTTTTCAGTGGCACTACGTGATATTGTAGCCGGAGAAGAACTGTTCTCTTCATATTTTACTCTCATCTCTGACAGTTAGACATCACGAGATGTTTCGTTGCAGTCTGAGAAAGAATAAGTTTCCAGTATTTGAACTAAACCGACAGACATCTTCTAAATTCTCTGAAGTCAAAACCAAAAGGATACCTCAGAAATCACACAATCAAATATCACAGCTGCAATTTGGGCCTCTCCTTCGCTCAAAATCACTGAAGCGTAAATCTAAATTACCCCCTATATGTTTGTCACAATCAGATGAGAGTAGAGATTTCTGGCTGTCAACAGTCAAAGTCACATCCCTACCTGAACAACTAACATTAACCTCATCTTCAGCAGAGTTGAACCTGACTTCAAATGATGTTAAGAAGCGCACCATGAAGGATACTCCGGAGAACCCATCCGAACATATCCTACAAATACCCTTCCAGAGACAGGAGGATAGGGCCTATCCTAGCGTGAGCAGAATTCTTCGGGAAACTATGAGCGAAGAAAATCGTCGAGTTTTGGAAATCTGGGAGCAAAAAATGGTCCTTAAACTAGGCCAGGACGGATTCAACCAACATAAACAGGCAACGTTCTCCAGGGGCAAAGCAATTCACTCCTGGATAGAAAAATATTTTCTTTATAGAAGGTCTACAGACACTAGTTTCATCCAAGATGATGTTACACTGAGACACATTTCCTCCATTTCTCCACTCCTGAAAACTATTAGCGATGTCAAGGTTCTAGAGTCGGCTACATTTCATCCGGATCTGAAATACTGTGGTAACATTTTTTCACATTTCATATAAAAACAAACTAGAAAGTTCCGCTCGAAACTTTAAACGAAATGGTCAATATTTTCAGGAATAATTGATTGTGTTGCACGCATTGGCAATACTGTTTGTCTGATAGATTGGAAGACGAGTGAGAAAGCAAAACCAAGTATTGAATCCTTGTACGACAGTCCATTGCAAGTTGTAGCTTACCTAGGTATGATAAACTAATGTTTTTCATATAAATTTTGATGTGTTGAATTCAAGATAGAAAGCTAATCTTCCTTATTTTTTAAATCCAAGAGCTGAGAACTTTAGAATGAGATATCCTTAATCCTGATTACTTAATCTGAACAATGGACACACTTTTTATTTTCTTCTTAAAACGTTCTTTCTTGGATACAGTAGAGAAAAATCAAAAACCGGGTTTTTTAAATTAGAGAGTTCCTACCGTTTCTGTATATAATCTTAAATGGTGCGCAAAATTTCAAATTTATCGGCTTCATATACGCGACTCTTATTGGTTGAATTTTATACACTTTTCAGGATACAAGTACAAGATTAGGTTAGTCTCGATATTAAGAAAAAGAGAGGATCACGCATTAATCTCGATATCCACCATTCTAAAGTTTTCAGCTCAGATTACATATATTTCACTTGTCTATTTTAAAATTTGTTTGTAAAATTTAGACACATTTTTGCGGACGCAAAGGGATTTTAAAAGTGGATTCCAGCTGATGACTCACCGGCTAGAAACTCATTCCGTTAATTTTAGAACGTTTCTGCTTTGGCTTTATCTGGAGCGGGAACATGTGTCTGCTCATCATATACTTAAAAATTACTAATCCTTTTTTAGGAGCCCTTAACGCAGACCCTGAATACCTTAGGATTGGACGAATACAAGAAGGAGTCGTGATAGTAATTTATAACTCGGGATACCCTGCAGTTCTCCACAGAATTAATCCTGAACTTGTCTCTCAACTCTGGAAAGTTTGGTTAGAGCGACTCAAAACCTATCAAAACCTTGCTTAAACAATAATGATAAAGTTATATCCTTCTAGCAATGGTATTTTCTTTACATGTAGTGAATATTAAACAATCTAGAATATCTAGAAATTAACCGAATAAATGTTTTTTTTTATATTTACTGTACTAAACTCTAATTGTATTTATGTAAGAAAGGGCAAAAGGGAAATGAAAGAAATGTTTTCTTGATTCGGAATAAAAAATTCTGTTTACATAATTTTTCATTTATACTGTTAAAAGAAAATTTATGATATAATTGTGAATTCAAATATCAAATAGAGGATTAGTAGAGAATATCGATGCTCTATATTTATGGTTTGAAAAGAGAATTAGGAAGATAAGAAGGGGACTGATGGTAGAATAAATTAAATGAATACGGATATAGAATTTAATGTGATTTATTTATGGATATGTGAGAGAATAATAGTTGATGCATGTGGACTATGAAGTTCACTAGAGGGAAACTAATTCTTTACTAGAACATACAAGGTGTCCAACGAAACATAACAGAAGCAAGGCGAATTGAAAGTTGTTTGATCCTTTAAATGATTTTCGACATTTATTCGTAAACCTTATTTTAGAATTTGAAATCTGATCGAAATTCTCAATATCTCTGGTAATATTGACAGCTCAAAAAAGGCAGACCACATTTTGGAAAGGCCAGGACTAGGAGATTTTTGTGGTTATTTATTCAAGAATCAAACATGTGAAAATAGGTTTTCGACTGAATGTCACTAATAAATTCAAACTTTTTATTGCTTCTGTCATGTATTGTGTGACATCCTTTACATCTTGGTGAGATCTTAAAATTTTATTAGCCAGGGTAAAATTAAATTTGTATCAACTGAGCCTAAGAAGCTCCATTTTCTGCTTGGTATTGCCTTTAACCCAACCTTAGAAAACGTTGAATGATAAGTTCAGAAGTGTTACGGATTAAGTCTGCAAGGGTGTAGGTGTAGTAAGATCAATAAAATTGTGAAACAGGAAGACAACATTTACAGTTGATGTTGATATAAAGCAAATGGGTTTACCAGATGCTTTAAAAACTAGAGTCTAATAGTCTTCATCTTATTTCTGGGTACCACTGCAGTAAATCTTGTTTGGATTTTACACGAACCTTAATTTATAACGAGGAAAATCCTATTGGATGTCTTTGTTAGATTTAGCTATTTTACCACTTCTTAATAAATGAATATAAATAATGGTATCAGAAATAAGTTTAAACACGATGTTTTCATCTTGAAAATGTTTACTTGATATGTCACATTAGAGAAAATGGGCTCAAAATGATTATCAGATTCTTTGCTTACTGATTTGGTGTTCTGTTTAAGACCAAACAAAAAGTTAACACTCGTTAGTATCATGATAGTCATACGATTCATACAAACCTTTACACTCAAGAAATGAAGATTTTGAAGTTAAAAAATGAAATTAATTTAAGATTAAGAATCATGATTAAATATCTTGTATACCTTTGGGACTAGTTTGGGAATCTCATGATGGGTAATCATAGAATTTATGAACAGAAACCTCTTGAAATATAGAGAAGTTCATGGTTAAATAACCAATAACCATGTTATCACAGAAAGGCTTAGTAAAAACAAAAATAAAAATAGATATCATAAGCTTCTGTTGCAAACAATAATAAGTGATAAAAAGAAAGTTCCAAAAATAACCAATCCAGAAATAAAAACTGATCAACAGTATGTATCAAGTGATTTGGAAACGGAAAGTTTAAGTTATCAAATGAATGGATAGAGATATCATTTCTGCTTAATTTTCCCTATATAACAGGATTTTTTTTCTCAAATTTTACATTAAGTGTTCCTTTCAGTGAATCCCTCGGGGGTTTAAATTTCCATCCACATAATAAAACAAGACATTCGTATACATGAATCCTATAGCCAGCCAAACGGCAGGACCGAATGGGCTGAAAATTTTTGAGGTACCCTGGGGGTAACATAGGCAAAAAAAATAAAAAATTTGTATTTTTCAAAAATCGAAATCGATTTTTTTTTATTATTTATGGAAGGAATGAAAGAGATAATTATGGATACATGCGAGTATCAATCTGTAAACTGAGTGGAAAATAAAATGAAATTATAACTGATGATAAATGTAGATTTATAATATTGACAAAATGGTATAAAATAATATATTTAAAGTTGTATGTGCTGTATAATTCCCCTGGTTGGTATGTATGTGTGTCCGGGTGTATGTATGTTTGTTAAGAAGGAAAGGTTCTGGGGTTATATCTCTATGGTTACCTTGGTTACCTTACTAACATTGGATACAGCTGCAACACTCAGTATAAAGTATACAACCACATCAATATTTTCCTTTTATTTAATCTTTCTTAATCCTAGGACTACCTGAATCATCTATTCTTCTATTTCACTAAAAAAATTTACAAATCTGTACACTGATACTGTGTACGGACCCGGCCTAATTAGTTAGGTCCTTGAAGATTAATTTATAACACTATATCCTATAAACCGACCTCTTGTGACGAATGATTTTTATTAATGAGAAAATGGTGAAGTTTTATTACAAGGGAAATTACTGGAGTGCTTAGGGAAGAAATTATTCTTTAAATTGTCCTAATTTACTAAAATATTCCAGATTTTGACCACGTTTGATTGTTTTTTTTTACATTCATGGGAAAGGCTATTTAAAATGAGCCTAAAAATGAATCTGTTTAAACCTTATTTAAGCTGCTGGTAACTACGCTTAACTAGTCAGAGTTGAATCTGAAAATAGATGTCCATTGTTTGCAATTTTCTTGTAATTACTATTCGTTTTGATTTTTGAATCATTCACGAGCTGTTCAACTTAGCGAGACGATCTTTCTTAGTATGACTTTATATATACGACCTGAAAACTTGCAAGTTGAATTCCGTTAAATGCTTGTTAAATATTTCAGATAGATTTTTTTACAAGTCTCTTTCCTTTATTTCCTGAGTATTTGTATTGATCAGGCTGCTCCCCTCTCAATATATCAAGTTCCACCGGAATGAAAAGGTATCCATATATAATTACATATTTGGTTATCTTTTTAAATCATCAAATTCAAATTGCACAAAGAATCAAGTGCTCTGATGTTTACAGATGAGTGCCTAAACCCAAGACTGAAAACCCCCTATACACTTTTGTACAATACAATGTATGAAAAGTTTGGCTTTAGCAAAACACGTAGATGACGCCAATAAAAAAAATCAAGCACAGTTTTATGTTTAAGTAGAAGATATTAACTTTTTTTGTAACTACTGCAATTTTTACAACAATAATGAAACGCGCGGACATATTATTTTGTTTTGTATTTATCAAAATCTAAAGCTTACACAAATTCGTGTTCAAAACAATAATTTAAATAAAATAAAATAATAATTGCTGAGGCAAAGTTACAGTCAAATATGTAAAGTCAAATGAAAGTTTTTTTTATAAATTTTTTTTTTATTAAAACAGGCTTATGTAAGTAAAGCAACTACAGTTCTAAAATCAAATTGGAGATTGGAATTTAAATCATATTTTTTTTTGTTTTTATAGGGTACTATAAATTCTTTTGGATAAACTCTCCTGTTTATATCCATATTATCCATAAAATGTAATTTTAGATGTCTCGAGCTCCGTCCAGGCTTATGGAACGGTATGAGAAGCTGAGTAAGATAGGAGAAGGATCCTACGGAGTAGTTTACAAATGTCGAGCTCGAGATACAGGACATCTTGTCGCCATAAAGGTATAATGTATGATGGAAGGGGAAAACAGAAATAAGGTTTGCAATGTTACCATTACACATTTATCTTGTCTATACAAGCTATACTTACATGTACATCTACAATGTTCACTACAAGTATTTTTAAAAATATATCTAATCCGCAATTTTTTATTGCCAATAGTCATTAACGTCGCTTCAAAGTATGTTTTTTTACCACAAAGAATAAAAATACGTGATCGTTTGTACAATTGCACAGTTTTATTTATAGTACATTTATTTGATTAATTGAAAATAAAAACACAAAAATTATTCATATGGTTAAACTGCCTTTTTAAATAAATATTCTTAAAGTTTCATATCTCAAGCCTTTTTAATTCTTAGCTATATTCTGTTATGATGGATTAGTTTGTTTCCATCAAAAAACTTTTATCGCTTAAAACCAAAACTTAAGTTTTTACAATAAATATATATTATTACCAACAATGCTTTGCAATACAGTCTATGTAATATGCATCTTTGCCCGCTGGAGTCATATTTTAACCATTTGTTGTAAACCTATTCATGTGAGTCAAACACCCAATACCTGTGAGTAATAAAAACAAGTTAGTCTATATGCGTGGATTTTTCATGAATGATGTTGGAGTAAATAAATATGTTCCATGAGTATTTGTTATATCCTATTGTATTATATAGGGATGTTAACGTTTTCATTTTTTTGTAAAACGATCGTTTTTTTCGTTTTCCCATCGTTTTTTGTTTCGTTTTCCGATCGTTTTAAAAACTATCGTTTTTTTAAAAGTTTTTAAAACGATTGTTTTAAAATGATTGGAAAACGAAACAAAAATCTATAGGAAAACGAAAAAAACGATCGTTAAACGATCGTTTTCAAAAACGATTAACAACCCTAATTGTATAAACTTAATGTTTATTATTAGAAATTTGTTGAGTATGAAGACGATCCATTGATTAAGAAGATTGCATTGCGAGAAATCAGAATGTTGAAGAATTTAAAACATCCGAACCTAGTAAATCTTATAGAAGTTTTCAGGAATTACTTTCTAAAAATCATTCTTTACACCTTTTCTGATTTTTTGTTTGAAATTTCACTTTTACGTTTAATGAATCTTTTTATAAATATTAGATACCTCGTACAGAGGTGTATTCTTTGGGGGATCATCAAACTCTATGGTTTCCAGGTTTTTTTTTGCCGCAATTGGCGAAAGAAAAAAATCCCTCTTTCTCCTGGACCTGGACCTGACTACGCCCAAGACCCCATATATGTGCCAACTATTTAAATACATATTATTACTTTTTTGTCCTCCTATACATAACTTCCTTGATAATCCAGCTTTGCTTCGACATTAAACGTTACCTGAATAGTACTTTCTGTCGGTTCTACCGAGTTCTCCAATTAAAAGTTGAGTCAAATCGAATTTTTTTTAGCTTATGTCACCCCCAGGGTTTCCACAAACAAATTCAGGCACCTTGTTCCAGCCTTTTGGTAAGCTTTAGCGAACACATATATATATATATATATGAGCTTTATTATATAGATTAGTTATGTATTTACTTCAACTGCCCATATTGCTGAGAAAGAAAAATAAATCATAGTTTTCAGCGTACATTGTACAGCAAACAATATGAAAGTTGTGTTGCGTGCAGACGAAAGCGGAAACTCCATCTTGTTTTTGAGTTTTGTGAGTTGACCGTTCTGAACCAGCTAGAGAAGTATCCGAAGGGGGTTCCCATGCAGCTCACCAGAACTATCATCTGGCAAACACTTCAGGAACAGAAAACATAATGACATAATTTATTTTCGCTACTATAAGTTATAATAAGTAATTGTTATGTTTGAATCTTGTCCAATGTTTGAATGTTGATTGTTAGGCTGTAAATTTTTGCCATTTGCACAACTGTTTACACAGAGATGTGAAACCAGAGAATATTTTGATAACCAAGGTTAGTTAATGGTTTCTGACTTGGGAAATCAGTTTTAGCATTTTAATATTCACAAATCAAATCAAGTGCTAATTTATATTTTTTGTATCATAAGATAAGATGAAAACTAATTTTCTCTTAAAAGGAGCTGATCACTCGCAACAAATCATAATTTCCTAATTCCTATAACTTTCCAGTCTGATGTCGAAAACCTGTGATATTTCAAAATATGATTTTTGTTACATAAAACAATTTAAGTTTTAAAAGTTTTAGTAATCAAATTATCAATTTTTAATAATCAGGTTATTTAATTTGTGTTAGTTGTTAGTCCTTAGAATTGATAGAAAAATAGAATAAGGCTAAATAAAATGTTTTAATCCAACCAAACTATGATTAAGGAATTGAGTTTTTGACACAAACTCTGATTTTCTAATCCCTATATCTTTGCAAACAAATGTCGTATAACATTAGAATTTTAAAACTGTGAATTCTGTTGGACCAAATAATCTAAGTTTGAATTATGCAAGGTTTACACAATCAGGTGGTAAAGATATAGAGATAAGGAAATTTAAGTCGTTGGCAAAGATTCAATAAAGATCTGTAATATATATAAACAATACATTATATTTCTAAGTTAATATCAGTGGAAAAATAGAAATATGATAAAGTAACTAGTAAGTTGTACGACTTAAATACACTTAATGGTTTTGGAGACACTAACCATCGTAACTGGTTAGACAATTATCAAATTTAGAATAAAATCATGGTATTTAGATTGATATCACTTTCATTGAGCGAAAACTACTTAAATACAAATGTATTTATTGTGAGAAAGTAGAAGAGTGAGAGGTGGGTTGAATGCTGCGGTAAAGATAGGAAGACAGCTGAGGATTGAAAATGATTTAAAAATAGTTTTCCATTCAAACTTGAACAAAACTTTACTCACTTTACCTTTCAAGGTTTCAAGTTTAGCAGTCTAACAACAATTTCTCATTTACAATATTCAACTTTTATATTCTGAATTATAAATTCTAACCTTTAAGCAAATTCTAACAAATTTCAACAAATTTTGTAAGTGCAGGTTTTTCAGAGCAGATTTACTAAAGGTATGTACAGTAATGACTAAAGGCGTTTTACTGTAAACCACAGTGCTTAGAGGGTATACCTACTATTTTTCTGTAAACCACAGTGCATAGAGGGTATTCCTACTATTTTACTGTAAACCACAGTGCATAGAGGGTATACCTACTATTTTACTGTAAACCACAGTGCATAGAGGGTATACCTACTATTTTACTGTAAACCACAGTACATAGAGGGTATACCTACTATTTTGCAATGAAAAAATGAAAAGAAAAAAGGAAAAGTAAAAAAGTTATACATTATTTTCTGGTTTAACTTAAATCTCAACATAATATCTATCATAACATATCTGTTCGGTTCCAAAGTAGTAAACTAATCGAGTAAGAATTCCCATTTTTTGACGTTCATGTTATTACACGAATTATTACACGATCAGAGCGTGAAAGAATGTATATTATATTTTTGACGTTCATGTTATTACACGAATTATTACACGATCAGAGCGTGAAAGAATGTATATTATATATCATATCTGTTCGGTTCCATAGTAGAAAACGTATCGTGTAAGAATTCCCATTATTACACGGTTCAGGAGGAGTAATTTTAATATTGTTCGCTTCCTTGCGTTCAAGAATGCTTATTCTTACACTGCAAGTGTAGAATTTTCATTCTTTAACGCTCAGACCGTGTAAGAAAGGAAATCATTACACGGTCAGAAAAGGTATTTTCTTACACGCTCCGAGCATTAAAGAATAGAAATTATTGCACTAGTTGAAGAATATACATTCCTAAACGCTCCTTATATTGATCTTTTCAACATAGATCAATATTGATATTAACTTAATTATTCTGTACTGAAAACATGCACAGGGCACACTCACCTTTTTCTTTTATATTAATACATGCAAACTTACCTTTTTATACTTTATAACAACATTGCTCACTTACCTTTTTCTTTTATATTAATACATGCAAACTTACCTTTTTTTACTTAAGTAAAACATGCTCACTTACCTTTTCATGCTTACTTACCTTTTTCGTTTTTTGAAGTATTGATATACCTTAACTCAGTAATATCCATTTAAATCTCAACCCTAGTCCTGACAGAAGAATGGAACCCCTATGTTTATTCAACATTTCTGACCTTTACATAAAAAAATGGAGAATGCTTTTAGCCTTACATTGGACATTTTCGTCCAAACTGTCGAGTCTCAAAGCATACTGCCCGACTGCCTACTTTATTCATTTTTTTTTAGTTTTTCTTCATTGCAAACTAAGTTTAAATGATTTTGCAAATCTCTTGTAATAGTACGGTCAGAGCTTTTCAAAAATGTAAAGGTTGTCATATCTTCACAATTTCAATCAATTGTTTTTTCACTTTATAATTGGATACTGAACAATAAAACTGGTTTCCAAAATTCCAAATTCAGTTGTAATATTTAAACAAATTAGACAGAATAAAGAGGTCAATTTGCCCCCCACCCTACAGCTAAAACTAGTTTTAAAGTACCTTAGTCCTGAGTCAGTAGTCACCATATCTCGCATAACTGGAGATGATGAAATGAAACCACAATCAAAACCAAAAATGTTAGTTTATAAAAACTTATCATTGAAATACTAGTGTTACAAACTTTTAGTGGGGTCTTAGCACTCCATAGCGATGAAAACAAACCAGTAAATCTTGCTTCATGAATAAAAGACAAAGATCTTCATCAGTTTATGTCGAACTGATTCTTACTAGATAACCTGCTTTTATCTCCTCTTTTTGGAAGATTTGGGATCTCATATCCTGGAAATGATTTCTTCTGTAAATGATTTCACGGATTTGTTCAGTAGATTAAGGCAACCCACTCCAATGCCTTCTCCCCGTCCCCATCTAAAAAACTTAGGGCACATTCGACATTCTGTATCTAAATGTAATATCCACTTGAAAAAACAAATTCATTAGAAATTGGTAAACAAACAAACTAAATTAAGGATACAATCACACCACATGCATTGCTTTCAAATTAAGAACCAATTTTTACATATAAAATGGTTTTTAACATTTTAGCATTGTAACATTAGCAAATAAAAAACAGTGATAGTCAGAACAAGAGAGCATAACGCTTATTTGCAATATTTCATAAGGTTAACTGTTCCAACTTGAAAGTCGTATATTTCACCACAATTATTTTTTACTATAATTTTACTATAATGGTACCTCACAAATATGATGTAATAATAACCTTATGAGGATAAAAATGTAATGAAGAATTTCCATTATTACATTTTTACCTCATAAGATTATCATATTCCTTAAACGCTCCAACTCAGAGCATTAAAGAATGGAAATTATAACACTAGTTGAATAATATATTGATCTTATATTGATCTTTACAACTTATATCTAAATTAAAAGTAACTTAATTATTTTGTACGTTAACCTTTTTCTTATATATTATACATGCAAACTTACCTTTTTTTACTTTATAACAACATGCTTACTTACCTTATTCAACAGTTTTCTGTTTGATGCAAAAAGATCTCTAAAGATTATTCTAAAAGCTCAGACTGACTTAAACTCACTGTCTAGTGTTTAATTCTAGTTTATTTGAGCTTTTCGGCTTGGGCATAGTAATATATAAACAAAATCTATACGAAAATTTAAGAAGATTTCATTGATTTAGATTATCCCTAAAAGTTCGGATCTCCTTGAACCTCAGAAATTCTTTTTTTGGTTTGATAGGTCAAGGTTTAATAAAAAACAACATTCAGAGACCTCAACGAAGCAGGCTTTGTTAAGCCAAGGCTGTGTATAATATATCCTGCATTTCTGAGAGACAGAGATTATACTTATCAATTTAATTAAGCTTAAATTTCCTTTTTTCCAGGAAGGGGTAGTAAAGCTTTGTGACTTTGGTTTCGCTAGAATGATTAGTCCAGGGGATAAATACACAGACTATGTTGCAACCAGGTATACATAATATTTAATATATAGACCATTTAATATACAGGCCAGGTATACATAATATTTAATATACTGACCTAGGGGGGAGTAAATTTAAAAATTTCATCACAGAACTACGGCGATAGTCAATTCTTATGTAAAAACAATTCTAAGAACAATTTCTTTAATGACACTTTTTGATTGGAGGTCGTTTTCGTTAGCTAACTGGCATTGCAAGTTTTGACCTCTATGTTTTTTGGAGATCCCTGATTTCGCAATACACAAGAAAAAGGCTTCCAATAATTGCGGCGATAATTCATTTCTATGTAAAAAACAGTTCTATGAACCAAATATGTTATGTCAGTTTTTGATCTGAGGTCGTCTTCATTAGCTAACCGGCACTGCAAGTTTTGACCTGTATATACTCCTTTTCTGAAATCTGTTATTTCGCAATAAGCATGCAATATGCTTTAAATTATTACAGCAATAGTAAATTCTTATGTAAAAAGCCATTCTAAAAACAATTTCTTTTATGACACGTCTTCGTTAGCTAACTGGAACTCCAATTATTTACCTAAATGTACTCTTTTTTGAGATTGGTGATTTCGCAATAAGAATGCAATAAGCTTCCAAGCATTTCTAATGTTAAACAAAATTCTAAGAACAATTTCTTTTATAACACTTTTTGATTGGAGGTCGTCTTCTTATGCTAAATGGCACACAGATCCAGAAAAAGAGAACATTTAGGTCAAAAATATCAGTGGCAGTTAGCTTAAGAAGACGACCTCCAATCAAAAAGTTAAGCACACTTGTTCACAGCCATTAACTTGTTTGGTGTTCAGACTGGTGTTCATCGGTTCAATTCCCATACTCCACACAAACCTGTGGTTTCAAAAACATCTGAAGCTGACATCTGGTTTAGCAGTTATGACCACCTGACTATTGAATAGCTGCTTTTAAATCTATAAAGTAGAGAATTATGTTTGTCAGCTCCCAGGAGGTTGATAAAACCTCTTAATAAAGTGCAGAAACCTAATCCTCTGGGTGTAATAAGATTTCTCAAGGATACCCACTTCATTCACTTTATATTTAATATATATATAGTTACATATAGTATTTCATTTTTTCAGTTGAAATATGCATACATTTAAGATATTAAAATTTATATTTTTCAAGACAATATATAAATATTTGTACAGGGTGGCCCAACGTAAATACAGCTGAACTATTAATAATGATAAACAATCAACCTTCAATCCATGGAAATCAAGGCCGAGCTCTCTTCAAAAATAACCATCAAAGGGAGGGAATTTATTTCCAGCCGATAATTTAGTGTATCAACTTGATAAAAAGGCTAGGCCAATGAATATATATATCACCACCACAACTGCACACTAACTGTCATACGAACCTGTCCATATCAGTACCTCCAGTTCAGTAGAGAACTGTTCGAGTTTTGCTTCAAATTTTGCTTGAGTCAAGTTACTGCCTCAGCTCCTGCATTCCTACACACTTTCAATGATTTTTTTTTGGTGGCGGGGATGGGGTGTGTGTAGGGGGCTCCACATTTTCCAGTTTTTTATCTCAAGTAAGACGTAGAGGTTGAGGGGGGGGATAGGACATCTGCCATTCTGTGTATTTGTCTTCATTCACTATCGGTGAAAAAAATTAGACAGTGTAAAGCTCAAATCCCCTTCTAATTTTTCCTGTTCAAAGTTTTCTTCTTCTTTCTTGTTTATCTTTTTTTTTAGAGATGGGCTCTACTGTCAAGAGATTTCCCTTCCACTTTTTTTCTGTTCAATTTATTTTTTCTTCTTGCTTCTTGTTTCTTGTTTGTACACTTTAAGGCCTTTCCCAATAGTTTTTTTGACAAAGAGTTGTGGAGCAGGTAGGAGAGAGATAAGGAGGTTTGTAGGAAGAAGGGTATAGGGGATTTCTCCCTGTGTTCCTTCATTTTATACGGTTTCCCAGTTGGGGGGATTAAGGAAACCCATAACTTCACCCCTTATGCAAAATGTGGAGTTGTGATCCCTGAAAACTCTCTTGAGAGGAATCTTCCATAGCAGTCCAGTCCTTTGGTATCGTTGTGCTTGGCTTGTATTCCCACGAGGGGTTAAACTCCTCTTGCAGTGCACCAAGCAGAAGATGAAAGTTTTGTTTTAATCTATTTTTGCTTCCCCTGCAGGATACAGATGCGTATCTAAACTCAGTACTTTTCCAGCTGTAATTCTGGAATCACATAGTAGGTCTGTTCTGCTTGGGAGCAGGCAGGCAACTGCCCTATTGTACATTGTAAATAAATTAAATTGCCATATTATTGTAGTTATAACAAACATATAAGGACATTAGACTACAATAGTGGTCTAATGAGCATGTATTTGATTGACAAGAATAAATATCGAAAGAATTTGAATATTCCAGTTCAATAGTATGTATTTTCTAGATGGTATCGTGCCCCAGAATTATTGGTCGGGGATACACAGTATGGAACTCCTGTTGATGTGTGGGCCATAGGTATATTATTATATTATTAATATTATTATTGTTATTATTATCATTATTATTATTATTATTATTATTATTATTATTAGGATGTGTATTTGCTGAGCTGGTGAAGGGAGAAGCTCTTTGGCCAGGAAAATCTGACGTTGATCAACTTTATCTTATTAGGAAGAACCTAGGAGATCTTATTCCTCGACACATGCAGATATTTAAGGTTTTATAGGGAGTCCTAAATTAAATCTGAAATTAATCACAACCTTCGGATAATATTGATATTTGACAGTCTCAGTGTGTGCCCAGCAAAAATTGCACCCATAATCGCAAGCTTTAGTGAGTGAGTTGCAAAATCGGGTTAAAGATGAAAATTCAAGTGGTTTGATTGAAAGTTGTTTGTCTGATACTTAGCTTCAAAGCTTTTTTGATTTATTTTTTTTGTACCATTTTTTTTATGGGGGTTAAATTTTCTTGATAATAATAATGATTTTAGACAAATGAGTTTTTCTGTGGTCTGAGCATCCCTGATCCTGGGATTGTGGAACTACTTGAGAACAGGTAACGTAACTGTTAAGCAGCTGGGATTGTAGAACTACTTACTTGAGAACAGGTAACATAAGTGTTAAGCAGTAATATTACTTTTTTCTAATATTAATGTTGTAACTTTTGATTAAAATTATTTTATTAGAAATATTTTTTCGTTGAAAACAACCATAATTTTTTAATATTTCGACACTTTCAATATCAACAATTCGTTGGATAATAGTCAAGGAGTGTTAAACAAATTCGAGGCTTTTTAAGTGCATTAATAGGCTCAAAGGAATTGAGTCTTTGTCACAAACTCTGATTTTCTAATTACTATATCTTTGGAACCAAATGTTGCAGACCTTAGATATTTCAAACTATGAATTTGTAAGATCAAATAATCTGAGTTTGAAAGGTTTACAACATCGAGTTCTAAAGATATTGAGGTTTAAATATTTGATTTTGTTCCAAAGACTCAATTCCTTTAGTTTAAAAACCCCAGCAGTATCTCAGAATATTCTGCATCATAAATAGTTGATTTTAGGTCACCATAGATGTATATTGATTGTTGTAAAATACACTTTTTATGCATTAATGATCTGCTAACATTTTTTCTTTTGAACTAAGAATAAATAAATTGAGCCTTTGCCTCAAACTCAAACTGTCTGATCTCTATATCTTTTTAAACTGATGGTGTAAACCTTTAATCTTTATTAACTAAACAATAAATGATTTTTCAATCATAAAGACCAATGCGTACAGGCCCGTATATTTCAAGGGGAAGGTGCAAAAAGGCGCGCCGGAGGCGAACATTTTTTTTTTGCTTGGATTGTTTTTACAGTGGTATTTGGTTGTTTTTATTTCATTGTCAATGCACACTATAAAGACTAACCTTTTAACAAGTGTATTTGAGCTTTTAAGGGTTACATACTGCTTAACTAACAGAATCAAGATATCATTTATTACTTTGACTATGCAATACGATAATTGATAATGATATATCTACATTTCTTATTCATTTATAAAAAGCTTTTTAAGGGTTAAGAGGGGGGCAAAAAGTAAGCGCACAGGAGATTATCATTTCATTTCCATGGGACTCTATGCATATAATTAATAAAACATACTGTTTTAATTAGGCTTAAACAACTATTTAATGAATGAGTGACTATGAGTAAATTAAGATGTTGCGTTATGCTTAATCAACAGATCGAGTGTATTTAATACTGATAAATAATTGATAACTAGATTTTAGAAAATTATGAGAAACATTTCTTTAATATGGGACTAGGAGGGGGGGGGGGTGCAAATTCGTCATTGCACCCCCCTTTCAGAAGAAAGGGGGGTCACCTGTCCCCCTGCACCCTCCTGGCTACGGGCCTGAATGCGTATCGCACATAACTGCCAACAATCCATATTCATACATGTAAAATTAAGAAGCTCTAAATATAAAAAACCGGATTATTAGAATCTGTTAGAGCATTGGCACGTGTACAGGATCATGTCAACTTTTATGATGGAAACAAACTTTCTTAATGGTGGAGAATGAAGCTCTTTCAACAAAAGAACAGAGATGACCAGCAAATGTAGACATCGGGAAATATACTTATACAACATTTATATTTTTGTTTTAAAGTACACATTTTGGTCGAGAAACAACAAGATATGCATATCCAACAAAATTGTTGCAGGGAAAAAATACATTAATATTTTTGTATAAATCAATAAACATCAATATATATCTATATATAAAGAGATATTAATCAATACAGACACACTTAATTATTTTAATCATACAACTCCGCCCTGTGCCCGTTGAGACTAACCAGGCCTAGATGTGTTCGATTCAAGGTTGTATAATAAGGTTGCATACTCTCGATGCGCTCCAATTTACGGGAAATGTCAATCAAAACTCTTAAAGTTAAAGGAATTTTGGACAAGGGTAGAACTCGTAGAACAGAACAGTTAAATCAGTAAGTGAGTTAAATTAGATTTTGTTAGATCACTGCAGTTAAGCATCATTTTTGATGCAAAAAATGTTGATTATTGTTCATACTGATGTATGCACGTATTCCAGAAATATCAGCAATGAAAATAATCCTTTGGATGCGCGATCCTCAGAATTAAGAAAACCTCTCTGTTCATATTTCATATTCGTGCACTTTTTGGAAATGAACCCCTACATGTTTGGTCCCTAGAAGCGAGCCCCAACGATGAATGCGATAAATCCAAAAACTTCTGATATATATATATATGTAGACTACTTCTGGAAATTCACCCTCAGCATTTAATCCACAAACACATATAGATGCTGTAGATCATAAAACTGAAATAAACTAAAAGAGGAGTATATCTCCCAGGTTAAACTTAGATAATAAATACCATATATTAACTAGGCTACCGAAGGATCTGGGACAAGACGGAGTGGATTTTACTCTCAAATGCTTGGACAAGGATCAATAATTAATAAAACTATAAATGCATAAACATGATTTTTAATAAACATGTTTTTTTAAATATGCTTATATGCAATCTTGATTTAAAGTTCTGCAAATGTTTGTTAAGTTCTTAATGTTCGATGAACATTATCGATTATCAAATTCCCAGTGGGTTCTAAGCAAATTTTTTTTCTCGCTATTTTAATATTCTGATAATTTTTTAAGATGTAAGTATTTTTATTAACATAAATTATAAAGTTACAAAAAGCATGAGTTTGAATACGAAGATAAAATAGTGTTATTTTTTAATGAAATATAATTACAAGGATAATTGGATTTTGATTGTGGACAGTGAATAGGGTCGCAATTTATTGAAAATACTTTTTCACATTTAATGCAAGTGTATACGTTTACTAGGTGTATGTTCAACTTGTGGTGCGGATTGATTGAGCAATCTTTAAAATGTTCAGTTTTCATCCACTGGGTATGAGGTTTGGCTACGCTCAATAGACAAAGTTTCAAGCCTTAATTTTATTAACTAACTTAAAAAAACTATATAATATGAAACGTGGAAAATATATCATCGTGTTCCAACTTGAATACCATTGCCGCGTTCAGTTATTGCCAATCTTGGGATCGTCTTCCACCAAACTACTCCCCCAAAGTAGGTACGGCGGAGTCAAGGCAGAGCAGGATCTTCTTTCTCTAACTTGTCTGTAAGGGTTTTGTCTAAGGATTACATCAGGCTGAGTAAGAAATTTTACAGATTTCTTCTCCTTGTATAAGGTAGAGTCCGCGGTTGAGCAGGTTCCGGAGGTTCCTGCCATGGCAGAGAGGCGGACGTCCTCAAAGCAGAGGAGCAGCTGGAATTACCGGGAAGTCAGAGAAAAAAGGTTTAAGCTGAGTTGTGGTCTACGGATAGGGAGTCAATTCTGGTCAATCTGCAAGCGGAAAAATTTGCTCCACCGCTCCACAACTAAGTAAGAACCACAGTATAGAGAAGCAAGGGAAGGTTGGCTGGTATCCTCACGGACTAAAACAAATTGTGAGTTCATGAAAGAGGTAGGAAGATCAGAGGAAGGTGAATGTTGAACATGATGAGGCGGAGGAACAGAAAAACCTGTCATGACTTTCTCCATCTTGCTGAGAAACTGGGAGAGTATGCGCAACTGCAATTAACTTCCCTTGCATTATAACCTTGACATGTCCTTTCTAATTTAAGAAGGCTTCTTTGGTTTTCTTCCCGTGGAACCTGAGGTCTAGGTACGGAGGTGAAGGTGGAACCCTGGGGTCTGGTGACTGATGAGAAGGTTATTGTTTCCTTCCCATTCTCAGTCTCCAGAGCCATCCTAGCCCAGATCCCTGTTGATCTATACTGAACTGGGACTTTTGAATGGTGGATATCGGGATTAATGCTTAATCGACTCTTTTTCTTTATCTCGAGACTAAATTACGCTTGTTCTCCTCTTGTTATTAATCTCCAGATTAATAAAGTGGTCGTGATATCTCATTCTAAAGTTTTCAGCTCTGATTGTATACTCTTATGATGGCAGAGAAAGTATTCACTCATGCCATGTTGCTTTAGCTCTAGTGTACTGCAGGATTCACATACTGTTGTGTTCGGTTCCAAGGTCAGCTGAATACTAAATTCTGATATTGAATTAAAGGAGAATAAATAAGGAGGAATAAAACCCACTAAACTATTATCCACAGCAAACACATTTCTGTCACGTCAAAGATGTCTTTGTCACAAACCCTGATATTCTAATCCCTATATCTTTGCAACCCATTAACGTAGAGATTAAACATTTCATATTCTGAATTCTATTGGATCAAATAATTTAAATGTGAAATATTAAAGGTCTACACCATCAGGTGGCAAAGATTTAGGGATCAGAACATTTGAGGGTGTGGCAAAATATTCAAAGGTATTAAGCTTTGGACATTTTCTTACGTATTAAATTTCAATCATTACTCATTTTTTCGGAGAGTTATTGAGAGGAACAATGTAGTTTTAAGTTGCCATTGCATCCAATTTGACCTTTACCTCATGTTTAGTTCTGAGTGGTGTCCTTTTGTAGTTTTATTTTACTATAAGAATGCCCCCAGTGTTCCTTATTAATGATAAATTCTAGACAACTTCAGCTGTAAAAGTTTCAACAAATTTTTCTAAGAAAATAAAACAATTTATTTTATAAACACAACACACACTTTATTTGCAATTGGTATTAGAAGCATATTCTGCAAAATGCAGTTTAGATTTTAAAGTGAAAAATAATTGCAAGATCGATTTTTTATCGATTTGGGAAGATAAACGATAAATAAAAAGATAAACGCGATATTTACGTATCCTAAGATATTAAGTCTATTTTTATTGAATTTAAATATTGAAAATCCTACAGGATCCAAGCAAGCGCTGGTCTTGTGAACAATTGCTAACTCATTCATTCTTTAAGAGTTTTACATTTAAGCTACCAGAAGAAGAAGAGGTGAGTAAAATCTTTAGTATAAAGGATGCCGTACTTGTATTTATAGTTCAGAACCTTTTTGCTTCAAGAAAATAAAATTTTTAAAAAAATTAAAAAACTCAACAATGACTTCATCACTGACCTATCTGTACGAACTTGTATAAATCAGTTAACAAAAATTTTTAATAGTTCTAGTGAATCATTGTCGTTTAAATATCAAAACTGTTAAAAGTTTTCATGTTCTACCTTGTATAACACGAGTATAACAGAGTATAACACGAAGGCCTCTTCTTGTTATACTCTGTAGTAGGAAAAGAACTTTTAAAATTGATGACTGGAGTTGGCGTGTTCTAAAAGATTTTATATCAGAAAAAGGAATAATAGAAATTAATCAAATTACTTTTTCGATTCTTATATATTACAAAGCATTAGGTTTAAGGACGAGAGTTCTATAAACTAGACGGTGATTTTTCTTAAGATAATTCTTAATCAGAAGTATATTAAAGCCACTTATGTATTTTAAAATTCACGAAAAACTTACTTTTTCCACGCTTAGTCAAAATAAATGTCTTAATTTTAAAAAATTCCAGTTTGTAGCAAAATTTTTTTTAACAGCTTTGTCAAATATCGAAAATCAATAACTTCAGCGTATTTTCTTCTCATTTTCATATATCAATTTGGTCTATAAACATGCATGTAGTCCATTTTATATTTAATCTACTATGTGTGCATTCTTCGTTTAAATATCACGCCAATTAAAGTAACAGAAACAATTTATAGAATAACCATCTATACCTATAACTGTTTAATCTCTGAAAAAATATCCTAATCTTGTAATGTATACTGAAAAAATATCCTAATCTTGTAATGTATAGGTTTCCCGTAGAAGCTATGGAAGTGGGAGTATGTTACTTCCTCACCTACCAACTAATGGTTCACACAATGGATCTCCGGATATAAGGTAACTTATTCAATAGATTTGTCAGTTCATTTGTATTCTTCTTCCCATTTTTGGTTCCCCCTCTACCCTCTTCAAAGAGAGTGACCGCGGCTATGTAAGGTAGTTGAACTGAGTATGCAGTGTTGTGGAAAGCTTCTTTCGGATTCATTTGAAACATATTAAACTTTTCAAAGATTTGTAAATCCTGAGTTTGAGCGCAAATTCGACGTTCAAAACTCCTACTTTGGGGGTGGATACATTTTCAGAATTAGTTTTTTTTTAATTATTAAATAACGACAACGAAATATAAAGTAAAAATTATACAGTAGTCTAATTAGATGTCTAGGAAAATATTTCTCAAAAGAAATTCGTCAATAAATCAAGCTAAAATCGATAATTTCGTTTTCATTATTATATTGAATTTCTAATTTTCTTTGAATTTATTCGCAGATTTCTTCAAATTCTTCAAATGTCGTCTTTTCAATAATAATTCTAGAAAATCTGCGAACANATTTATCATCGCTCGCGGATATTTCCCTATTTTTCTTGCGGAAAAAGGAGTTTCAGTGTACAGTACACTCGCGATTACAGGCATTCAATTTTCTGTTTGAAAAGTAAGGAGTTATCTCGTCAACCTTGACGTTTACGTTTACAGTCCCTTAGTGTATATCCTGCTGGATATATGAGTGTATATCCTACTGGGTAGGGAGGGTTGTAATCATACTGGGTAGAGATGAGTATATATCCTATTGGGTAGAGAGGAGTGTATATTCTACTGGGTAGGGAGACGTTATATCCTACTGGGATGAGAGGAGTGTATATCCTACTGGGTAGGGAGGAGTGTATATTCTACTGGGTAGGAAGAAGACTATATCCTACTGTGTAGAGAGGAGTGTATATCCTACTGTGTAGATAGGAGTGTATACCCTACTGTGTAGAAAGGAGTGTATATCCTACTGGGTAGGGAGAAGTGTATATCGTAGTGGGTAGAGAGGAGTTTACATCCTACTGGGTAGGGAGAAGTGTATATCCTACTGGGATGAGAGGAGTGTATATCCTACTGGGTAGGGAGAAGTGTATATCCTATTGGGTTGCAAAGTATATCCTACCAGACAGGAGGAGGTTTTTATTCTGCTATGTACAGGGTTACCCACAAAGAATGAGACTTTAGAGAAGATTGTATAGAATTTATAGTGTCTGTTTCCTTATATTATAAGGAAACGTGTTTCTTTCTTTGCCTAATCATTAAAAGATTTAGTCAAGGTAGAAGACTTCATTTAACCTAGGAATCGTCACATTTAAAGAGCTTTAGGTCGTCTTTGCTGTCTCATTCAGTAACCCTGTACTTGGTAAAAAAAAAGGTACAAGTAGAGTAATGGGCGGGGGCGATATATATTGTTTCGGTTAAGAGGATTGTTACTGGTACATAGTATTGAAGGGTTAAACTGTAAATGTGTGTAAACAATTTTTTCATTCAATTTTTTAACAAATGTATTAGCAGGTTAACAGGATCAAATCTCAGCCTGGGTTCCAACCGAAAGTTTGACCATCTGCCAACTATTTGAACAGTTCTTTTCTTAGACAGAAGAAAAGTTTTAAAGAATTTATTTATTTTTATTTCTAATATTATATAATGAACTCGAAATTAAATTAAACGTTGGCTTCATCATGAATGCGTTAAATCTACTTACACCAAACCTTCATGCAACAGCTCGACTTTGACTCTGTTTAAATATAACTGGTTTTAAAAGCGTTTTCCGCAATATATGAGTCTTTTATAAAGTCTTTAAAGATATTTGGGTTTATATATATAAATTTTATTTATATATAAATCAAAATAAAACATTGATTTATAGTTTCCACTCATTTCGGTTTTTTTCTTCCATCAATTGAAGAAGATTCCACTACTGTGAAGTTTGAATTTTATTCTGTTATCCCCCCAAAATTCCCACGATTCCTAAACCACTTTGACAAAGGTATTTATAAATATCGCGTCCCTACTTATAAAAAAATCTTATGATAAAACGTTTTGTAAAAATCTGAATACATAAATGAATATTTGTTAAAAATACAATAAAACACTACGGACAGACAATTTTCAAAGGTTATTTACTTAATGGAAAAGTCTACAGAAAAATAGTAAAACACTCTCACCGCACACACCCCATAAACAAAAATAGAGTTCACAATGTAAATTTGATCAATGTTACATGAGACCAAAATGGTGGAGGCGATCTTAAGATTTGAGTTAATAAACAATTCTTAAAATTTTATAAAGTAGGTATTTCAATTGTTTAAATCATTATCATTACTGTGTAAAGTTTAATTATTATATGTATTGGGAAAAGGCCAGATTTTGTCATAGAAATTTGCTGTTTTTGCCAACTTTAATCACAATATCTGTCAACTTAGAAAATTTGACAAGAAACTCTGTCTCATTTTCCCGAATTAAATCTTCTTGTGATACTGTGTAAGAATGACTTTACTCTCTAATAAACTTATATTTGATATAAAACTGTATTCTCAATCATTTTAAAGAAATGTTTGATGTAAAGAAATTAATTTGCTCAAAAGTAAACCTAGTCCGTAGGAAGTAAATTAATATGTAGTGTAAATAAAACTCTCTCAAAGGTATATTGATTTCTCTGCAGGAATATAACTCTCTTTTAAAGGTATATCTTAACGTAAATTAGGAATCACGATAAATTAATATTTTATATGAATATAACTCTCCTAAAGATAATAAAATATTTTATAGGAATTTAACTCTCCCAACAATAAAAAATTTTCTATAGGAATATAACTCTCCTAACGTTAAATGAATATCCTATAGGAATATAACTCTCCTAACGATAAAATAATATCCTCTAGGAATATAACTTTCCTAACGATAAATGAATATCCTCTAGGAATATAACTCTCCTAACGATAAAATAATATCCTCTAGGAATATATCTCTCCTAACGATAAATCTGAGCATATAGAACCTGAACGTGAATATATCTGAGCATATAGAACCTGAACGTGAATATATCTGAGCATATAGAACCTGAACGTGAATATATCTAAATTATCTATTCGACATATGCGAAAGAACAACAAACAAGTTCACTCTGAAAACCTTACCCCAGGACAAATATTTTCAAAGCTAGAGGGTGTAATTTGGTTGGTTGGTCTGACGGGAATAGCTTTAGTAAAGAATTGTTCACTGTTCAGATATTATAGCATATAATCTTTACAGTAAACAGAATGATAACAAATTTTTAAAACTTTTAATGCTAATATCTCAAGTGTTCAAGAGAAGATTATACCAAGCAACTTATTTAAAGAAAGAGGGAGGCGGGTGCAAATTCGTCATTGCATCCCCGTTTAGGAGAAAGGGGGGTGCACCAGGCACCTAACCCCTTGGACCCCCCCCTGGTTTCGGGCCTGTCTATAAGTATTGATAAATTTAAACAGTTATTCTTAAAAATGATGAGAGAAAAACGAACTTTATCTTTTATAATAAATAAAAGGAAACAATTTTTTTATCTCAATCGTAAAATTAGTTATCAAAACTAAAAAACATATTTAATATCTGTTTGTATATACCTGCCAGGATGGTCAAGAAGAAATTTTTGGAAGACGACTGGTCCAACCAAAAGTTGAACAGATTCCTGTCGAACCAAGTCCTAAGCAAATCCGAAAATGAAAAATACGTATTATATAACGGTCTCTATTTTTCAATCCGCCGCACTCTCGTGCCCATTGTTAAACCACAATAATTAAAAAAATGCCATAACATCTTAATTGTTTCATATTTTTCTTTAAATAATTGAGTTTTTAGTTTCCGTAAAACCTGAATGTAAGAATCTAATACAGCAAACTTAGGACTAGTGAGTTGAAACCCGTCCTTCATTGTCCAGAGAAGATATCCACCAGGACGGAGAACACGGAGCATCTCAGGGAGAGAGGACGGATAAATCTGCCCTGAAACCCAAAATATTGTAGGTTGAAAGATACTGTTGTATTTGCGCGCCATTATCTAATAAAGAAGGCTTTTCACTTTCACATGAATTAAGGAAAGCTTACCTGGAGCAAATCCATTGGCCATCAGAATGACGTCATATGTTTCCCTATTGACTGGGATTGATCCAAGTTTGCCTATACACGCCTGGATACAATTCTTGTAGATACCCAGTTTTCTCGCCTTAAATAATCAACGTAATTAGGCTTTTTTTGAGATGCTTTTATATATAAACATTGTGGGTAAATGGTTGAAATTTCAAAACCAGTACTTCAGTCAAAGAACACTGTAATGAGATTTATGTAAGATTCAAGTCAAGGACTTAAAATTCATGCCAAATTTTATAAATGTAGCATTCTGTCAAAAGCCTTGGACAATGGACATTTAGGGTTCCACACAACATTTTAGCGCAATTTATTAAAAACAAATCCACAGTCATGCAATAATACGTTAAGTTTTAATACCTGTGCTAACATACCCGGACTTGAATCCATTCCATCAATATTATCATATCCATGCTTTATCACTTCAGCTCCTAGTAATCCTGTTCCTGCAGCTAGATCTAGGATCTAACAAAATTATCTATTATTAGTTTCCATATAATAGTCGTTTAGTCTGTTTATCTCAATCTTGAAGTCTGGAGCACTTGAAACTAACTACAACGAAGTGCATCCCGTCTCTGTCGGAATATTTCAGTCATATTTTATCTCTAATTTAAAAACCGTCAAAAAAAGCGTAAGATCCCTTATATACTTAAATAGCCCAACAAAAAGTATAAAATAGCAAATACGAAAAATCTACATTTAAGGGGGTAAAATGGGGTCTAGACTTTTAAACAGGACATCAAGTTTACCGTGTGATAGTTTTCCAGACTTTATAGGCTGCTAATCTGTCAAAATCTGGTATAGTATCGTTTCTTGGGACTCCCTTTACCTGAACACTGTGATCCAGGTTAAGTCTAAGAAATGCCTCGACACACTTAATATGTCCTAAAATTAGAAATAGGGTGCAGTGGAAATAACAACAGAATTCTAAATGACAATTGAACAGTTTTTTGGATAAGACCAACCTAAGAACCAACATGCGAGAAACAATGTAGCAAGCTCAAGGGTGTAACAAAAGGCTAGAAAAAAACTTAACCAGCTTGAGTATGGATAGAAAAAAAAACCTGTATAGTTCCCGATGAGAATTAAATCTTCAGCATATTTCTCACTCCAAGAATCGTAAAACTTTACGATAGTTTCAGGGTCTGAAGTATCAACTAGAACCTTGGTAACAGTTTCCTCTATCTCACTTAAAATAAGAAGCTTCAAATCATCTCCCTTTATAAAATATTTTGTATTTTTCTGTAAGAATAGATTATTTTTATTTTTAAATATGAAAAGAGAAACTTCTGTTTAGTCTTTTTGTGATTTGAAAAATGTGACTTAAAAAGTATTTAACACTTAAATCATAAATTTTACGATAAATATTTCTTTAAAATTGTGGACGTTTTATAATTCCAAATGAGAAAAGCTTTAATTTAAACCTGAAATTGGTATATTTTAAGTAGTAATCTCTGTTTTTCTGTTTCTTTGTAATTGTATGTCCCATTAAAACTCATGAACCTCCCACCCATGACTGATTTGCCTCAAATTTTGATTATGGGACTCGGTAAAACTACGGGATGTGTTTAGTTAGGCTAGATTTTAAATAAGTTTAGTTGGTTAACTTATGTCAAAGCTAGTGTATGTAAAGAAATAAATATATACATACTTAGAAACCGGTTTGTCCAGATATTCTGGTAGATGAGTTGGTAGCCTTCTCATCAGGTAGAACACTCCGATCTCACATGCTCCTGAGTCTGTAAACTTTTCCTTCTTCACCAGCTCACATCTGCCTTCCTGAACAAATAATCGAGTTTCTTTAATTAAATCTGAAATTCACCAATATCAATTATGTGTTGAAAAAAAAACGAAGAAAAATAGACAAACTTGAAAATTTAAACAGGCGCGTAAACGGCGATACGACATTCCTAGTCTATAATTTTAGCAATATATTTCTTGTTTCCAGGTAAAAAAAACTTTCCGAGCGTAATGCTTGGCCACTCTTATAACCTGCGGCGCCTCAGAAAGACAATACCTAACCCTAAATAATACGATAAGGGATGATTTAAACATTAAAAAATATTGTATAGTAAATTAAATTACTTTTGCTCGATGTACTTGGCAAAATCTAGAAAAAATGTAGTAGCACCGTTTAATTTGATGTTATAGACACCGTAGGCTTAAAACCACATACAGGGTGTCCCAATAAACATGGGAATTCAGTGACGAATTCGATATCGTCTTTATAAATAATTCTTCGATTTAGTATAGTTATACCTAATGAGAAAGCTGTAATCTGTAAGAGTTTCGTCTGCTATGTTTACATTTTGTTTGTTTATGTTTTGACTGCAAACGATTGTACTTATAGTAAAACAAGAAAATTGGTCCGTCTTCACTGTTCATCTTGTGGAGACATAGATACATCTTTACAGTCTTTTACTCCTTTCATAATATAAACTCTAGCAGACATAATAATATTATGGCTATTGAAATTAGGTATTACAATGCTAATTCATAACAAAGACGATATCCAATTCGTCACTGAATTCCCATGTTTTTTGGGACACCCTGTAGTTCACAGTATTTAGATCAATAAAATTGCCCGCCGATTATACACAATTCCATATATGTATATTTAGACTAAAGAATGCATAGGCCCGTTCCGAGGGAATGTAATTAAATTGGTTTTTGAGGCGGGAGAGGAAAAGGATTAAAAATGAGAAAGAACGAAAAAAATGTGATTTGTCGACATTAAAAGGTGTAAAGAGATTTTCGATTTCCAACTACTGACCTTGGTAAAACTAGAAAGGTTGAGATCAAACAGGCCTCTCTCTGCAGTCATCTCATGGGAGTTCATTGTAAAGAGTAAGTGACCACCGGGCTTTAGGATTCTTTTAAATACATTTTTATAATAATATTATGCATTGCAAAACTTAAAATATATCGGTTTGATGTTCCAACCTTGGCAACCAGGTTGGTCAGCAAAGGAATTTAGTCTTTGCCAAAAGTCAAATTTTGTAAAGACTCAACTTCTTTCAGAAAGTTTAGGCTTCTTTGTAAAAATGAACCATACAAACTAACCCAAATTTCAGTGATAGGATTTAAAAAATGAAATTATTAAAAATTTTATCTTTTGATCGTTTACCTCAACATTTCCAATATTTGGGATGGGTTGATATTATGTGAAGATATCCCTTCAGAAGATAAAACCACGTCGTATATTTCTTCGCGGAGTCCTAAAATTTTTTTCTTTAAAGATAGATTTTTTATAGAAATAATTAAATGCATTTGTAAATGCTTTCCTGTCGAGTTAAGGCCAGAAATATCTTTCCAGATGTAATTTCTGTACATACGCAAAGCTTGGAGTCGTCTTAGTGTAGGTAGATCCTCATCTAGTGCATCAATATTTGAGAAACCACAGGTTTGGAGAGATGCAGAGAGAACTCCGAACCCCACTCCGACATCAAGAATCTAGATTAAAAACTACATTTCGTTTGAGCTCCATATATTTTTACTTGTAACCAAAGAGTATAGAATATATATAAAAAATACCTACTCTGTGCTTGTAAAATCATTAAAAAAAACCACATAAAGTAGCTGTAGAAGGTAGTTTAAGCGATAATGTTGGATATAAATATTCACAGAAAGAATCTATTGTTTCGGTCCTTAGAGACATTTTTTGCAATACGGGTTTATTTGTGCTACTTTCAAAAATATAGGGGCATTCCATACATCCAAAAAACAGTCCCTTCCCTTTCTTTACTTTTCACAAACTATAATTTTCTAATCCCTATATATTTGCAACATGATGGTGTGAACCTTTGATATTTCAAACTATTAGATATAACAGAATTCCTAGTTTGAAATATCTATGACTCGTGTTATAAATAACGATATAGGGATTAAAAAATTAGAGTGTGTGGCAAGAACTCAGCTCTTTCGTTGTATAAAAAATATACTCGTTCTCCACATTACAGTGTTTGATGTTTTTTTTTTATAGTAGTAGAACTATCATTAGATATCTACGTAATAACATGTTTCCTAAATATATATATAGATTTATTTAGATAAATTACCGCGAAAGCTCTCGATTTATCCTCTATAGCTGGTTGTATAAATTATGTGTTAATCTTCCCGTCTTAGTAAATCAGTTTTCATCCTGGATCTAGAATAATACTAAATAAATATATATCTTACCTCTGATTCCACGGGTAGGTTCAGATTTAAAAACTCTCTGCAAACCTTCTCCGTTCCTATTAGCAGTTCTACATTCTTTTCCTGTTAACTTGGATCTAACGAATTATCGATTAAAGATAGTCGGAATTTAAAAAAAAAAATTGAAGAAAAGATAAGAACTAAGTAAAATTAATTTTTTCGTTAAGTATTTTTTCCTGAAGTTCAACTTTTAGGTTAGCTAATTGGAAAGTTAGCTGCTCCGCATTTAAACTAGCAGGCATTTTAAACCTAAATAATGAAAACGTTTGAAAAAAATCTACAATTACTAACCATTTAGACAGGTCTCAGTTTTTTATTATGTATTTTGTAACTACGGTGCGAATTACACGAAATCGCATTTGATCCCAGCTACTAACCAATTATTGAATAAAATAAATATATATATATTTTTCTCAAGCATAGATATATACATGTTTTAGCTTGGGAACCCAGCGCTGTCCAGGTTAATAAAAGTTACTCCCGCCATTTACGCGCACGAAAGATTTTACCGGGAAACTGAATTTTTGCTACTCAACTTAGAATCTCCAAATCAAACTAAGAACATTCCCGTGGGTCTCCCGAGTTCCCCAATTAAAATTTGAGGCAAATTAATCCAGGAGTTCCCAAGTTATGATCGAACAAACAGACAGACACACAGAGTTTACAACTTTATATATATAATTACACTCGCTTGGAAACCCAGCGCTGTCAATGTAACTAAAAGCTACTCCCGCCGCGCCGTTTACTCGCACTTGAATGATTTGACCGGGAAACAAAATTGTCGCTATTAAAGTCGACCCACTCAACTTAGAATCTAAAAACCAAGCTAAAAACATTCCAGTGGGTCTGCCAGGTCTTCCAATCAAAATTTGAGGCAAAATGGTCCAGGGGTTCCTGAGTTATGATCGGAAAAACAAACAGAGATTACAAAGGAATTGAGTCTTTTTCACAAACTCAGATTTTCTAATACCTGTCGTAGACCTTAGATATTTCAAACTATGAATTTTGTTAGATCAAATAGCTTAAGTATGAAGTATCAAGGTTGTCCGCCATCAGGTTGCCAAGATAAAGGGATTAGAAAATTTCCTTTATATATATAGAAACATCATAGTGTAAAGTTTGCATTCATAGTAATATTCAGCTTAATAATGTTACATTTTAAATAAAAGCCGTTTACAACATGAAGACATAATTTTGTTGAATTCATACAATTAATTTAGTAAAATCAAGTTATTAAGAACACATATTGACAAAAATATTTATTTTTCAAACTCTAATTATGGGATTTATTAGAGATTTTAACAATTTTTAAGTAGCAATCTCTGTTTGTCTGTCTGATTGTTTGTTTGTCTGCATAAACCCTTTTTTTTAATTTGTCTCAAATTTTGATTGGGGAACTCGGTAAAAGCTCGAGGAATGCTCTAATTTTTTTTTAATTCTTAGCTTAGTATGTTTGTATGTCCGATCATAACTCATGAACCCATTGACTGATTTACCTCAAATTCTGATTGAGGAACACGGGAGATCCACGGGATATTGCTTACCTTGGTTTTAAAATAATTCTAAGTTGAGTGGGTTGACTTTTTTGGGGGAAAAAATCTCTATTTAGATAAAAATGGCAACCTATCAATTTTATTTTTTCCTCCATTTTACCATACAATTTATATTGCAAATATTAGCTTCTGAGTGCATATAAAACCAAAGGCTGTTCAACATTTATGTACACTCGAAAGGCAAAATTTTAGTTAAACGGAATTCCGTTCGGATTTTAATTTCATATAACATAGAAATCCATCCAATTATACCGATATAATCTCCATGCAGAGAGCTTTATTAAAACTAGCCAAATATGATGGAACTGCCTGAATTTCTCTTGTAAGTAAGTACTATCCTCACAGTGGTTTCTCAAGAATCCTTCATAATAGGGTTATCATTAATTCAGTGATGGGTTGGATTTTTTTTTAAATTTGTTTTTACAAATTTCAAATTTGTTTGTTTTTTGGCTTGGTTTTCCCTTTACTTCAATATTTTGCATAGTTTGATAAAAGGAAACTCTAACGGAATACAGATTTTAAATGTTAGAATGTTATTTTTTTTTTTATTCTTAACTAACAAAGTTAATAGCCATTACTAAAAGCATCCTTGTATTTTTAACCATTTTTATAGAGAATAAAGTATCTGGGAGATAGGCCAATACACACCAATATGTAATACTAAATTTCTGTATAAAAACGTAGATTGTGTTAGTGCATTCCTCGATTTGTTTTCAAGAAGTTGAAAAACGCCAAGCCGTATTAATTGGTTTAGACATATTCTAATAAACCTAAGACCAAATTGTAAAAAAAGTTATTTTTCATAAATAGAAACTGCAGGTCTGATATTTGTTTATCTACTAATATAAGGCGCAGAATAAACCTGCAGGGTTGGTTCTCAATCAGGTTCCAGACTCAGGTTTTTAATCAGGATTATTAAAAAAAATAAATGAAAGCCTGAAACCTCGCAAATAAAAAACATCCAACATAAGAAAAAAATCTTAAACGGATGAACACAAATCTGTATCATCAAACAAATGAATCTATTTATTAGCGGCGTGCAACTTAAAATTGGACACTTCCTTATATAATTTTAATGACAACATTTTTGTTTTGTTTTCTAAACTGTCAAATATTGTTTTCTTTGAGTCTACTCAACACTTCAGAAAGTATATAACTTATATAGTTTGAAAGATTTTACCGGGAAACTGAATTTTTGCTACTCAACTTAGAATCTCCAAATCAAACTAAGAACATTCCCGTGGGTCTCCCGAGTTCCCCAATCAAAATTTGAGGCAAAATGGTCCAGGGGTTCTTGATTTATAGTCGGATAAAAAAAACAGAGTTTACAACTTTATATATATATAGATGTGATACATATGCTGCATATGTTATATATAACTTATATAGTTTATTTTTTGCCTTTAAAAATCCTTAGTATTTAATCTGAGATCAATTTTACTACGCGTATTACAAATAGGCGTTGAGGACGTGCCTGCTGCATGGGCAATGGACATATCCTGCATCATGGAGTTGATTTTAGACAATCCTATATTGTGAGGCTTCCTATTCATTTAACGCATGTGGCCTTGAAAAACATTTTGGTTTAGATTTTATTTTAGCTAGTTTTAGATAGATTTCAATTTGGTCTACACATGACAATTGCACCCTGTATATATGTTAACTCACCAATATCAATAAACCTATTATTTTTATTATTATTAAATATAAATGTTTAATAAGAAAATATGAGTTTAATAATAATTTGTGAGAGTTAACATTTGGTATGAGTTGAGGGAGGAGGAAAGGACAAGGAGGAGGGTGCTGAGGGGGGGGGGGATGCTGGGTGGTTACCACCAGATGGTGTGCTTCCTACATCCGGAGACAAAACCTTTAAATATCCAGGCTGACGTTTACACAATACTAGGGGTTATAGTAGTAGAACTATCATTAGATATCTACGTAATAACATTTTTCCTAAATATATATAATGTAATTTTATATACACATTTACTAAAGTAAACGGTACAGGGTGCGGTAATTGAACTGTAACTCCTACTACATCTGCTTTCGAAAAAGTTTTAAAATATCTTGAATAACAAAATTCATTTTGTAAATATTTTCAGAGATTTGTTTAAAATGTAATGTTGAATTTCTTCCAGACATTAGTTATATCGATTCTTGGTTTCCATTCAGAATCTTGAATATGTGTAAAATTGTATGCACTTGGTTTACTAATAAAAGATGACTTAAAACTTGAAGATTTGAAACCACCAATTTCATTTCCGGTATTCGAATTTAATGAATTTGAACCGCGGCTTAAATCTGTCAAAAACCGGGTTTCAATTGACCGCCNATCCATTCTAATTCATTCTATTCTATTAATTAATTAAATGATTTTGGTATAAGAAATATCACATTTTGCATAAAGGGTCAAGCGTTTTTGGGAGTTATTTATAAGAACCAACAGTTAAAGTCCGGCCGTCGTTTGAACCACACGTACCTTTAACTCAGCTGTACTTGGACCACACGTACCTTTAACTCAGCTGTACTTGAAGGGAGTAAGCTGGAAATTACAAAATACAGAAATCAAGCAGACAGGATGATATCTAACCGATCATCCTACACATGACTGATGAAGATCAAGCAGACAGGATGATATCTAACCGATCATCCTACACATGACTGATGAAGATCAAGCAGACAGGATGATATCTAACCGATCATCCTACACATGACTGATGAAGTAGCATACCCTCCTTCTTGTGGGAAGGGTTAGTAAGGGAAGGAGTTATGACCTATGGGAGGGGCATCCACTCAATTTTTTTTTTGATGGTAGAAAAGGGTTACCAAAATTCCATCCACGGTGGCTAATGAGGAAAAGTAGGGATCCCTTAATACCCCTTTCAAACTTCCTAAAACTGGGGATAATTCCCCATTTCCTATGTTTCTGAATTCAAGCCTTTTTCACATCCTGACATTCATAACATCATAGGAGCAATTTGGAGGCTGGCAAAAATACAGAAATAGATTAACAGAGAATTAAGAAGACTCCTACTCAGATATGAATAGCCAACAAGAGAAAATGCAGAATAAAAACTTAATTACTGGGTTGAACCTAGAATCTAAAAGCTGGATTGATACATGATAAAATAATAAATAATAATAAATAACAGATAATAATAAAGGTGAAAATAAAATAAATTTTTTTTTCACAAATAAAATTTATTAGTCACTGGGGTTTTTTTCTTTTTGTACATATAATGTATTTTTGTACATATAAACCCCTAAAAATATATGTGAAAACATTCTAAACGCCTGGAGAACAAACTATGCATTATAATGAAATCCATTTGCAAATAAAACTATGCCAACTTAAATTCGCCTTCAATCTTAACAAATCAATAAATTATATATATTTTATCATTTTCAGATCGAATTTTAAAGATATGGTCTTCTTTCTTGGTAGCCTACAAAGGTCCAGATATTGCATATTTGTTCAATCTCCACAATCTTACCTTAATTATAAAAATAATTTTAAGGCACAGTAATGAATGCTGCGTCGTACAAATATTGGGGGTCCTAGCATTATGTTTTGCTTTATGCTTAACCAAATAGAATATCAAGTACAATAGGTGGCAACAGAGAAATGGATCAATTATACACGACGTCACAAGTGTAAAATATAGCTAGGAAAACGAAATTTTCTCACATTATCTGACATGTTTTCCAAGATTAAATAAAAAAGTGTAAAAACAGAAAATAAATAATGCATCAAATTGCACCTTTTTCACTGTAAGATAAGCTCTTTATTTTAAAATTATCAATATTATTAATAATTTTGTCGGACTCAATACTGAGTTGACACTTGTGATGTAGGAATACATCTGTACTGAGAATGTACAAATACTACGTTGCCATTTATTGTACTTAACAATCTATTTGATGCTTAACAGATGGCTAGGTATTGGGCAGTATGCTTTAATAAATGAACAAATCTACATAATTTTACCTCTAATTAGTTTCGTACAGTTTACAGTCTACAGTCCACAGTCTACAGTCTACGGTCTACAGTCTACAGTCTACAGTCTACAGTCTACAGTCTACAGTCTACAGTCTACAGTCTACAGTCTACAGTCTACAGTCTACAGTCTACGGTCTACAGTCTACAGTCTACAGTCTACAGTCTACAGTCTACAGTCTACAGTCTACAGTCTACAGTCTACAGTCTACAGTCTACAGTCTACAGTCTACAGTCTACAGTCTACAGTCTACAGTCTACAGTCTACAGTCTACAGTCTACAGTCTACAGTCTACAGTCTACAGTCTACAGTCTACAGTCTACAGTCTACAGTCTACAGTCTACAGTCTACAGTCTACAGTCTACAGTCTACAGTCTACAGTCTACAGTCTACAGTCTACAGTCTACAGTCTACAGTCTACAGTCTACAGTCTACAGTTTACAGTCATCAGTCTACAGTCTACAGTCTACAGTCTACAGTCTACAGTCTACAGTCTACAGTCTACAGTCTACAGTCTACTGTCTACAGTCTACAGTCTACATAGTCTACAGTCTACAGTCTAAGTCTACAGTCTTCAGTCTACAGTCTACAGTCTACGATAAAACTACAGTTATTTTATGTACATACTAGATTGTAAAACATGGTTAACCTTGAGATTGTAAACCACAGTTCACATTTTTCAACCAACAGGCTAAATATGATATTTCTGCTGGGAATTCTGCATATTCGCACAAATTTTAAAATCCTTACAGTGTAAAAAAGAAATAGGTTTGCCCAAATTCTACAAACTTCTAAGATTATGTCAAAGAACCTACCGACGCGAATATTTCTTAGCTCTAAAAAGGTTTCTTATACTGACTGATATATGCAAGTAAACACCGTGGTTCTCATGAAAAATGCTTTAATATTTTTATTTTTACAGACTAACTCAATTTTCATAATTATATAATTCTGACTTCAATAAGTTCTAGGGTGGTTTAAAAAATCGAAAATTGTACGAGATAAAAATTGTTAAAAGTCTAAGGTTGCTTTAGCCTGAACAGTTCCAACATCGCTTGTTTATTTAAATTAAATAAAGGTGAATGGAGCACTTATTTATAAAAATGCTCAGGATCCATCTTGTTAAAGTTTCTTCAATGCAATAAAAGAATAAAGGTGAAATTTTGTACAACTTCTTCAAACTTTTTAAGATTTGCTTTTTTGTGAATATCAATTTACTAGTAAGCAGAAAAAAGGTTGAAATATATCAAAATTGGTATCAAAATAACCATCTCAAACTACATCAAAATGTTGAAATCGTAAAAATCAGTTCAAAATTAAACAAATTATAGGCAATTATAAAAGCGGCTTCTTATTTTTCATTTTATAATTTATTTGTTGGTGTAAGTAGGACTTAACATTTTCGATAAAATAGTTTCCCCCTTACTTAAATCCAAATTTTGGTTCTAGGTTTGTTTTTGTTTTAATTTTGGTTCTAGGTTTGTTTTTGTTTTAAAATTATAATTGTTCAATTCATTATTTTGCTGGATATTATCAACTCGGGTAAATGAGGAAAACTAAGTTTCTTTTTATTCATATAACAAATAAATCTTACAAGTGAGTTTTAACAGTAAATTCTGCTTGAATAGAAGAACAATAATAATAATAATAATTAGATCTATTTTCGTTTAAAGAAGGATTCAAGGATAAGTTCATGCTCCTGGTTTACTGCAAAATCTTCAACTAGATACTCTGCATCCTGTTCAAGATCTAGGTCTAAGAGCTCCAGAATATCCTCGATATTACGTTTGCTCACGTTACTTGGAGAACTCTCATCTATCCTACGGTTTTCTAGAATTGCAAGGATAGCTCTGATCCTCTGTGGGTTTGTAACAACACTATCCTCAGATTCTGTTTCATCTGGGTACCATTTAGGAGAAGGTACGAACTCATTCTTCCGCCTGGTTCTTGTATTTGATTTATAGCTGGCCTGATTTCTTTGGCTCGACTGCAGATTAGGTTGGTTTGATTGATAAGCTGAGAGAGTGTTAACTATCTGGTCCAGGGTTGAACTAATAACAGGATCAGCAATAGGATCTCCGTAACTATCTGAAGCTTCAGATGCTGAGGATACGGAGGAAGAAGATGTAGAGGCTGAGTTGTATGAAGGCTGAACGGAACCACTAAAGGTTGCCTGTATATCAGATGATCCAGAGGGGCCACTGTATCCTGAAGAGACTGAGGACGGACCACCGTATCCTGAAGAGGATGAAGATGGACCACTGAATCCTAAGGAGGCCGAGGATGAACCACTGTATACCGAGGAGGCTGAGGATGGACCACTGTATCCCGAGGTTGCTGAAGATGCACCACTGTAACCTACGGATGCTGATGAAGGGATTGCAGTCGGTCCTACATATGAGTTTGGTGCCTGAGCAGGACGATTGGAACCTCCGTATGTTGGAAGAGAGTTCTGTGAATTAAATGAATTTAAGGGTTGACTGTTGCTTACTCCATAGGATTCTAAAGCTTGGCTTGCAGTCCCATATGTAGGAAGAGACTGTGTTGATCCACCATTAATAGGTTTACCCAGGGGAGTCCCGTAGGATTCATTGTTCTCTTCTATCAATTCATGAATCATACTGTGCATCTGTAGAACCAGAGTAAGTAGCTCCTCTCGAGTCAATGTAGACCCGGCTCCGGTGGTCCCTTGTCCTCCGTTGTATCCTTGTACTCCGGTAGAGGTTGGAGCTCGTAGAGAACTACTACTTCCATAGCTTGGCTTTTGGTTCGCAGAATTGTTCTGTTTATAGCTTGGTTTTTTCGAGCCTGAACCAGGAGACTTGTAGCTTGGTTTCGGAGCTCTGTAACTCGGCTTAGGTTTATATGAAGGTTTGGAATTTGAACTGGAACTGCCAGAATGGTTTAGGAGGTTTCTAAACGGATGAGAGCTTGAAAATGGATTAAGGTTTCCGAGATCTTTGGTAAACCTGGTTATTGTATTTATTTTAGAATCGACCAGTGTCTGGGTTCCGTTTATGTAGACTAGACAGAAGGAGAAAAAGAGCAATGTAGAATCTCTGAGGAAAATCATGGCGAAAAATAGTTATCCGTCCTAGTCTGATCTGATCTATACTGGTCCTGAAAATTAAATTGATTAGGATTTAAATAACATAATTTAGCAAAATAATAAAAAAGAGGTTTTTTTATTTCTATACTTTTCATTCTTAAAGCAATAGTTATCAATAAAATTTATGCAAAACTAGAACATTTGTGTATCTTGGGTTCTTTTAGATTTATATGTGTATCTTAACAGCTTTACCTTCCAATTCCTTCTTTGAATTTTGTAATTAAAGCTAAGTTTCTTATTCTTCTCTTTAATTATTATAAAACAAAATCGACTTGTGTATCTTAATGTCTCAAATATAATTTTTCACTTTTCATAAACTAGAAATATCATTTCAGCGAAAGAGGCATCAATATTTATACTTTGTTAGCTTGTCTCTTTGTTTGTTTGTTTGTTTGTACCCAGTTAACGTCAAAACGGCTGAACCGATCTGGCCCAATTTTTCAGAATTCACGGAAAAAACGTGAAATATTTATTGTTATTGTTTGATAACTTAAAAAGAGAAAATGCCGTAGCTAGAGCAACAATCAAAAGTTAAACTCGAAGATGGCTGCAAAGCGGAAGCCTAGTATTAAATAGAAGTATTGCAATAATTACAAAATGTTGATTATTTGTAATTGTAGGGTATATCTGTATCGCCGTAAAATAGACCTTTTTCGAGTTAACAATGTTAAAAAATGTATTTAAATGTAAGATTGTAATTTTTATATGTACAGCCTGTACTTTATGAACTGAAATTTTAAATCTCAAAAAAGATAATAAAGTTGATTCTTCTATTTTTGAGTAAATTTAAACCTACTTAATAATACAGCAGGAGTATATAACATTTATGTTTAACTTAGGAGTTGTACAAAGAATGTACATGATTTAAAGGAGTTGTACAAAGAATGTACATGATTTAAAGGTCCCAAGCTCTCTAGCAAAAATCGATGAGAATTTTGCCAATTACATCTTAAAACCAAAGCTAACAGCAAGTGCTTTATAGTAGTCCTAAAATATAAGGGGCTACAGTATCTCTGAGTTAGAGCGGTAGACAATTCAAAGTCGACCTTGTCTTTAAGGTTGATGAAACTTTTAATAAGCAGACTGAATCTATTTGAACGCACATTAACTGTTCACTACAATCTGATTCCTACAATTTGATTGAATCACTAAAAATTTCTAATCCCCGAAGTGCGAAAGATTTTCAATTATACAATGCTTAAAATATAAAAATGTAAAAGAATAAGACTATTAAGAATATTACAGTAAAACTAAATGAATTATTGATTAAAGTGTTGACATAAAACTTTGATTACGACCATCCTTCTAAACCATATGGCGGCTTCTCCTTGAATCCGCACTAAACTGGAAGGTTTCAGCGAGCTATGAAAATATTAAATATTTCTTAATCAAAGAGTGTTAAATATGTGCATTGTCCGTATAATTAAACATTTAGCATGTAAATATTGAATGTGTCTATTTCATTTTGATCAAAAGTTAAGGATTATATTCTAATAGTTCAAAAAAATAATTGTTTTAGTAATAAAAACATTTTAAACCGTTGTCATAAGCTAAACACATGAGAGCTAATATAATAAATTTTAATATGATATAAACGAAAGTTTTTATTTAATAATCATATTTGTAAATTTGTTGAAGCAATCTAAAATATCCAGTATATTGCTGCTTATTTAAATTCTTGTTAAATATGTGTTTCAGTTTAATGTGTAACCATTTCTTTGTCTACATATTTCAGGATAATCATTAGTTTACAAGAATTGGTGTTAAGAGTCCGTACCGTGTGAACAAAACCACATGTTATCTCCGTCTCGTCCAACAGTCGACTGTAGGAGTTTAAACCCGGAGACTAGTACTTTAAGCAATATAAGAGCTATTGTTGCATTAGGTAAAGATAAAAAGAAGGAAGGAATCTATAATGGTTAGAATCAAAGAACGTAAGAAATAAGAGAACCTTTTGCGCAGAGTGTATACGTATTTTTAAAGTTGTAACTATTCAAGTCTTATCCATACAGGGGTAACACAACTGTACTTCAAATCAAATCAAATAAATTTGATTTAAACATTCTGTGTCTAGAGAACTGTCATTAGTGGTAGCTGTGTCAGGTTCCCATTATTTGTTCGAAAAAAAAATAAAAACACTGATTCGGTACTCTTTTATTTCTGAACTAATATAAATGCAATACGCAGTTTACGAGACGTAACATTATTTACTTTATCATCAAGTACATTTGCATAAAAATGAAATAGAAAATTCTATATATCAGACTTACTTGTTTGTCAAGCAAAGAAAATATAAAAAATTACAGATAATCGCGCCATTATGTCCGCAAAAAAGATGATATTGGAGTATTTTATTTTCTGCATTCTGCACTCAATAAAATTGTTAAATCATAGTTTAAAATGATAACTATTTATCATGTATTAACATAGTTTCTTGAAACAAAAAACCGTTATAACCATGTGTTTAATCTTAATCTGTGAGATGTTTACACTTTAATCTCCGTTCTATTATTTTCAACGCAGCAACAGATTAAACAATACATAGATATAATGATATAATATATAAACGTAATATTTATCATTTCCCACCTGTCTCCATTTCTATCCAACAATCCTTCTATCCCTTAGTTCCGCTATTTCCTGCTATTTATTACTTCAAAACAAGGAATTAAACTAGAAGTCGTGGGATTTGCGGAATAAATCCAAAGGAATTGAGTGTTTGTCACAAACTATGATTTTCTAATCTCTATATTTTTGTTACCCAATGCCGTAGACCTTAGATTTTTCAAACTATAAATTCTGTTAGATGAAAAAATCTAAGTTTGAAATATCAAAGGTTTATACCATCAGTTGGAAGAAATATAGGTTTTAGAAAATCAGAGTTTGTTACAAAGACTCAATTCCTTAATAGAGACCATTATATAAACTTAATATAAAGACTCCGTAAAAGTTGTATTCAACAAGTTTATTTATGTTAGGCTAAAAACATTTACTTATCAGGCATTAAATATATTGTAGGAGTGATACAGCCGAGCCCCCCCCCTTTAAATTGATTTCCATGATTTCAAACAATTAATTTTCCTTTAAAAATTGATGACAAATATTACAATATCCCCCCTTCCTATATTCTGTTCTAAATATGAATTTTTTAAGCTATAAATTAATAAACATATTGCTCATAATTCTTTAGTAAAAATTTGATTTTATATGAAGAAACAATTGTTGCAAATACTATGTTGTTTTATTTTTTCGTAAAAACTTTAAGTTCCTTTTTTTTATAAAGTATAAAATCCAAAAAAAGATGAGATTTGCTGGATTAAGTTATATTTATCGTTATTGGTATAATTGATGATATATAATGCCACAGTTTCATCACATGGTATACTTTTGGTACCTAAGCTGAGCTGAAAACTTTAGAATGTGATATCCTTAATCCTGATCGGTTAATTAATCTGGAGATTAAATTCATGAGGACAACAAGCAATATTTAATCTGGAGATTAAGAAAAAGAGTGGATCAAGCATTAATCCCGATATCCACTATTCTAAAGTTCCCAGCTCTGAAAACTTTAGAATTGGATATTCTTAATACCGATCTTTTAATCTGAATATCCACAGTGGACATTTGGATTTCTGTTTAATCCGGTCTTTTCCCTTTTTGGATATCCCTACCGGATTCCGACCAATGCAAGTTCTCTCATTAAATGGCGTATAAAATTTTAAATTTCCCGACTTCTGATTGGCTGCTTGGAATTCTGCATACGCCACACGCCACTCTGATTGGTTGAATTTTAGGCACTTTCCTGGATACAAACCAAAGACTAAAGATATTACTAAAAAGAGGAAATCAAGCATCATTGATAATTCTGAAGTTTTTATTAATTATTTGTTCAAACGTCAATAGATGTGTATTTTCAAAATGATTGACAAGGAAAGGAAAAAAAGAGGTACGTCACTAAAGTTGCAGTATATAGAAGTAAATATTTCCATTTACTAATAGCGCCGATTGAAGGAGTCATAACTCTAATTGGACAATGAGATAGATAGAAAGATAGATGATACTGCCATGCAATTTCTATTGGTTCAGAATAAAAAACAAAAACATGACTGAACCCTGATTGGATCAGGCGCTAATGGATTCGGCATACAGGAGTGGGACATAAAAACAATAAACCCAAAATCTACAACAATGCAACGTGTAATAATAATTTTTTCGTTAAATAAAAACATAACATATTGGTTTGACTGGCCGAGATTATTATGCTATAGGATAAAAAATGTCTTGCAATCTTAATCAAAGGTTTATTTTAACTAACTAATTTTCGTTACTTTCTTTTTTTGTACACATCCTCCTACATGAACACCTTTCATATACTGCTTTCTATTGTAAAAAATCTAGTTTGTCAATCTAAAAATATCAATGTCTTCAATTTTTCGTTTGCGGTCCAATCCGTTCTTTACAATCTTTATTACTGATTGGATGCTGTTCCCGTACCCCTCTTTAAATTTCTTAGCTACGGGACTAGTATCTATAGTATTTTTATGTTTTCTAGCGAAATGGAAAAATCGTTTCGCGGAAATTTTAGTTTCGCCGAAAATTTCGCATTCCTTTATCTTTTTTCTTTAAATTTCGCATTAATATGCTATAAGAAAAAATATTGCGAAAATTTGCGACAATTTTCGTTTTTTTCTAGAAATTTCGCTTTCTTGTTTAAATTTCGCATTTTTGGCAAAACAGAATAATGCGAAATTCGTTTTTGACAACATCAAAAACACTTAATTTTACGTTAATGAGGGCTTTTTCACAGTTTTCTGGTTCTTATTGTAAACATATATTTGTAAATAATTGGACTGATGACGGACTGCAGATATGAATTTTCAAGTTTTGTCTTTGGAAGTTTTATTATACAAAAATCTACAGAATCAGACAGAACATAGGTTTACAGCCAGCAAATAGGAGGAGGTTAAATACCACAAGTAAATATTTTTATATTGGGTGTGATGAAAAAATGAAAAATTAATCATAAAGAAGATGATGCACATAAACCTTGGACGCCAAGTTTCATCTTACATTCAAACAACATGTGATATTTATAAAGACTATTATTTTTCTATTCAATACTGTGGTAAATGACTTGGAAAAATGAGAAGATTCCAGCTCAAACTTTAAATTAAAATCTCGAATAAAACCATTTATTTTTGTTTTTGGATACATAAGGAGAAGTTATAAACATTTACTATATCAATTGATATAAATTTAAAAGAACATATTAATGTGCCTTTAATAAAAATAGTTAGTTGCAGAGGTTTACATAAAAATGCTTCTTATAATATGGAAAACCTTCTGAAAAAAAGGTGCTTTCAGGTTATTCAAGGGAAACGCAGAAATAGAGTATCCAAAGATATTCAGTAAGAATTAAATCTTCAGATTCACATCTCGATACAGGGAATAGATAATGTTATGGGTTCCTTGGTATCTGTTTATAAAACTGAAATCATCCCAATTACTCAAAGCTACTAAAACTACGGAGGTTAGGGGTTTAATGAATAGGTGTTAACTTGGAGTCCATTGATACTTAAACTACTCAGTTTTCCATTAGTATCTTGGTGACACAAAACTACTTGGTAGTTCTAAAACTTTAAGGATACTTTGGTTTCTAATGGTACACGACAACTACTCCGGTATCTCTGAAACTACGGTGAAAGATCCATATGAAGGCGGATCCTCAGTAGGTAAGAATGCAGGGTTTTCTATTCCCCGTGAACCTAGAATAAAAATAAAATCGCTGTTTTCGAAATATCTTTTAAGTTCATGTCTGAAGAAAGAAATCACATTCCTTTTGTGTTAAATATTTAAATGGGTTGTTGCAGAACTTGCAAGTTGCGAAAGCTTTTAATAATTCAAGAATGAAGAAGTTTCCAACGTTATTAAAGTAACACCTGTATATATATCGTCTTCCTCGCTGTCAGATTCCTGTTTCTGCTCCTGCTCCAACAATGAGAAATCCATGGAAAGAAGTCTTTTCGACAGTTCTTTCCTGCTCCTTTTTTTGTTGAATAAATCTTTCCGCCTTCGCTCACGGTCAACCTTAATCCCGCCCCGTGGAGTTTTTAATCCAGAGATCTCTGACATCATTGCTCCAACCTCATCTTAATATAGATATCACAATCATTTATATATTCAACAATTGTACCGTGTGCACTAAGAAGTAAAAAAAAACTAAACCTGGTTTTCTTCCTGTCAAATTTATGGGTGGTAGCCTTGAATCTGTAGACGTGGGTCTAATATTTGCTGATGCAGACTGAAGACGGTTATCAGCTGAAGAGAGAAATCCGTCTGAGTCAAAGTTTCCCGTGGTAGAAGACCCATTTTCTTGTTCACAAAGAAAATCTTAAAAAGGAAAATTAAATTCTTGATCTAAGTCCTAATCAAATCTTGATCCAAGCTTTGATTTTTTTGAAAGAAGAAAAAGAAATTTCAAACTTAAAAATGTTTAATATTTTTCGATTTGTACGCTTTAAATTGTGAAAATGTTTAAAGTAAATAAAGCCCAAGCAACCCTGTTAAAAATAGTCGATAATCCTTCAAATGTAAAAAAAAACGATTTCTTCAAATTAATCCTAAAAACATTAAGAGCCTTATACAGGAATTTGTCCAGGGGGCTAAATTATTTTTCTTCCGAGGGAAGGGCTCAGCACTAGTTGGTGGATTAAACCCATCTGAAAACCATAGATTTTATTAATCCAGGGAGAGGGGATACCCCATAGCTCCTCCCCTGTGTACGCCTCAGCCAAAAATAATGCATTTGTATAACGTAATAGTTTTGTGTTCTTCTTTCCAACAGCTCCAAATCGGTTAAAATTTTGTAAAAGACCTGACATAAATCCATGGTTACTTGTGTCTAACGAGTCTTTCGGCTATGAAAAAAGTAAGCTCGTAAAATCAACAACTCAATTGAATAATGTACCTAAATCTTGGTTTGATGCTCCTCGTGGTATAATGTTCCCGGAACCTCCTGCTTTTACTGTAAGAGGGCTAAAACATGTTAAAAATATCAGATCAAATTATCAGTGCTTGTAGTTAGAAAAAGGGGCCTTGGAGGCAAAGGAAAATATAATGGACAAAGTGTTTGCGAGCATGTATCATTTAATGATTTATAAGCCTATATTAAACAAGGTTATAATGCAAGGAAAGTTAATTGCAGTTGCGTATACTCTGCGTACATATAGAAACCAGTTCTCTCTGGGCGGAATTTGTAAACAAGAATAGATGTATCAGTGTTCGTTTCGTATCCGAGGAGGTTAAAAGCATTAAATTTTGATAATTTTGATAATTGACATATTAGTTTCCTATGATCCGAATATTTCATTGATTTTTTATATGAAAGATGGATCCCATGTCAGGCTTTGCCATCCGTCTTTGGTTTACATTACCGTTCAGAGACAGTACACTGCAGTACAAAAGATGCGTACATCTCTGAAATACTTTCCTTGCATTATAACCTTGATATTAGAAATCGTTAAATGTAAACTTTATTTGGAGGACCCTACCAATAAATCCCCTAAACAGAAACTTTATAAAGATAATCTAGAAAATGTGAAAAAGAATTAAAATGAATAACATTTTACTAAATGAAAAAGTTTTGTTCGAAGAATTAAATAGTTTTTAGCTTAGTAGAAGAAAAATTTAACTCTTACTCAAGCCCAAGTCGAATTGTCTCTTCCATACTAAAAACAAGAAATTAAAAATTGATCATGTTTTATAAGAATTTAAAAAATATTTATTTACTTACGTTAGTTTTGGTTCTACTTCTCCTAAAGCAAATCTAAACAAAAGCTTTAAGATTGAGAAAACTTAAACTGTATCTATTTTCAGTTTACAATGCAGAGTAATTTAAAATTTATCCACAAAGATATTTCCAGGGTTAAGATAATAGAAATGTATGAACAACGTTTTTGAATTGTAGTTTTATATGCGTTTATTTAAAATAAATGTTTTCTTTATGAAAAAAAACCTAATGAAGTAAAATACAACAAAATTGTGTAACTTTGTATGAAGAACAAGCGAAATACTGGATCTAGTTTAAACCTCAACGTTTTAAATTTCATAAAATTCGAACCAAATCCCTTTTCCCCATTCTACTTTTAAATTTATGTATGGAGTACTGAAAATGAAAAAAGTGAAATTAAATCTTACGATATGTCATATCCTCTCCCCTTCTTCTTTCGAGCAGCTTTGGGTGTCTCTGCTTCATCATGAACCCACATCTCTCGTCTAGTTTTATATTTAATATAAATACTGGTTTAATATTAAATATCTGTATTTACCTCAAATCATCTCCACTTATCCCTCTTTTCTTCAGATACTTAATTACGGTTTTCCCGGTCTTCTTCCAATTAGATAAAGCGCCCTTTCTTTGACGAGCTCGAGTTTTATCCTTGGATTTTATGACCATCACTCCGCGTTCTGTAGGACCAAGCTAAATAATCTTTCATATTTTTTATAAACTTAAGAGAACCGTCAACATAATTCCTTGAAGTGAACCCCTGTGTGCGTGGCCCCCCGTAAGTGAACCCCTGTGTCCTATAATCCCCGTAAATGAAACCCTTATATCCATGGTTCCTGGAAGTTACCCTGTATGAAATATTTTATTTTTTCCATCTTAAAAAAGACAACGTGTAGCCACAGCTTTTTAAAATGAAAATTGTAGATTTTTACAGCATTGAAAAAGAGAGTTTTGATATTCTGTCATTAGTAGAAAAAGGTTAAAATGTCACAGAGTTAACATTTTAAAGAATAAAAAGATAATTACTCTTTAAGTTTTTTGACATTGTATTCATGAAATAAGTAATGCTAAACCTCATTTGGGAAGATCCCAATCCTAAATTTTTTTCAGACTATTTATATACTTTTTAAAGGCTACCGTGATAGAATATGCTTCTAGATATTCTCTGCACTGATGTGGTGGAATAGATCTCTCCATAGACATGATTACTTTCGCCCACTAGAAATAATATAAATAATGATCCGTCTTAATATCAGAATCTTACAAAACGTAAATAAATTGTTCTCAGGGTTATTACTAATGTTGAACTGTCGTTGGAAAAATTATCTTCTGAGCCCTATATTTTTATTTGAATAGATGTTGAATATGAATTATGAAGAGTGAATTTATTAAGATATAATTAGAACATAAAAATTTCATTTTTATTTAACCCAATATTGATTACTTTTTTTAGGAATAAAATAACTACACACAATACATACAAACTGAAACTTCAGGAACCTAATACAACCTGCTACAGGAACCTAATACAACCTGCTTCAGGAACCTAATACAACCTACTTTAGGAACCTAATACAATCTGCTTCAGGAATCTAATACAACCTGCTTTAGGAACCTAATACAACCTGCTTCAGGAACCTAATACAATCTGCTTAGGGAACCTAATACAACCTACTTCGGGAACCTAATACAACATACTTCAGGAACCTAATACAACCTGCTTCAGGAACCTAATACAACCTGCTTTAGGAACCTAATACAACCTGCTCCAGGAACCTAATACAATCTGCTTAGGGAACCTAATGCAACCTGCTTTAAAAAACCTGATATATCTGCTTTAGAAACAAATAATACCTGCTTTAGAAATTCCTTTTCTGATTTTTCAATGACTGTAGCGTACGTGTTTCCCATCATAGCAATCAACATGTTGAGAAGAAGAATTGGAATTAAGATTTGGAAAAGAACAAAGACAATTTTCGCCATGTTTGGGTATGGACTCTCACCCAGCAGATCATACTACAAAATGAATTCAATTTATTGTGACAGAGTGCTGAGGGTTGTGAGTGGATACTGGATAGTATAATAGATAACTTTTCGTAAAACTCAAACTTTGCAATAGTTTTTCTTTATTTTAATAAAAATTAAAACTTGTTTTACAGGACAGGATCGGTTATTGTTATTTGTATCTCTGACATAATTAAGTTAAGTTTGAAAAAATCGTCTTTATTTAGACTACAAAGTATTTTTAAGAAAAAGATAATAATTTTATTTTTAAAACTATAAATCTAAACGAATACTAACTAAACTATCTACCTCGTATTCTCCTAGTGTCATATGAAAAAGTGCTATCCAAGTGGTTGTATATTTATCATACAATTCTGAACCCTCTGTATCCATACTTTTCATCATGAAGTAGAATGCCTGACAAAAACATTAATCAATTCAACGGACAATCACAATACAAAGAAAAAGATAGATAAAGGAAGCACAATCATTAGTATCCAATTTTTTAAATACTAGAAATTCAAGGCTCTTCGCGCCCTTCTTTCTAGGCTTTTAGGTCGCTTTGCGCCCATCTTCTATTTAAAGAAAAAAGTTTTGCGGATTTAAAAAAAAATCGCCGATTTTCAAGAATTTAATTTTTTTTACAAAATTAAAAACCTTTAAAACAAATTTTTTTTATACACCTTCCTTGTGGTCACGTGATGTCCCACAACAAATTTGGGCCCGATCGGTTCAGTCGTTTTGACGTTTATTGGATACAAACAGACAGACAAACACCCAAACAGACAAGCCAAATTTATATATAGATTAAAAAACCAATTGTTAAATTGTTCTGGAAAAGAAAGCAACAATATCATCAGGGACTAGCGCGCAATACCATGATCATGTATCATGATAGATCTAATAATATACCTGGGAGAACCCAAACAGGAAGATCACGTAGATGATAGAGAATGTGAACATATCGCCAGTAATCATTGAAAATATCATCGTTACGAAGGGTCCTGTCAGCTTAACAGCCCTGTCGTACAGAAATTATAAAATTACTTTATTTTCATTTGAATCAGATAAAATTAAATCTGTGCAAATATGAAAGTAAAGAAAGGACAGCATTTTATAGAAATACCTGAACTTCATTTGTTGTAATGAAAAGAAAATCTTTAAATGTTGATTTAACCCTAGAAAGTTTGATAAGCTTACCCTGCAAAGAACATGAGATAAAACCAGGATCCCGGCACAGCAAATACAAGCAGAGCTTCCTCCTTAGTTCTAAATATTGGACTTTAAAATAAAGAACTATAGACAAGGCATTGGTTGTCACTATTGCATATTAAGTTAGAGTGACAATTATACCAAGATAGCAAGAGATGAACTTGGTGCAGTTTGTTCAGTTACTCCTTTTTTATGTAGTTAAGAAAGAATCTGGTTCAAGTTGAATCACATTCATACATACATGCTTGCCTAAAACTCTAATCATCCAAACCCAGATAATTTAAAGTTGACTATTATACCTTTCCGAATTCATGCATGAGGCTCTAAAGATATTAGGATTAGAAATTTAGTATTTTAGACAAGTATTTAGTTCCTTTCAAGGAAGACCATATCCATATCAAATTAGATAAACTTAACTTTTGATGGATACCTAAGTTTAATGATTTTAAAATAGGAGAAAGGGAGTGCCTGTGTGAAAGTCCCTCTTTTAAGTTAATGGAGGATAGATATTGGAGCAGGGTAGGGAAGAATGGAGAATAGATATTAGAGCAGGGTAGGGAAGAAAGGAGGATAGATATTGGAGCAGGGTAGGGAAGAATGGATTATAGATATTGGAGCAGGGTAGGGAAGAATGGATTATAGATATTGGAGCAGGGAAGAGAAGAATGGATGATAGATATTGGAGCAGGGTAGGGAAGAATGGAGAATAGATATTGGAGCAGGGTAGGGAAGAATGGATGATAGATATTGGAGCAGGGTATGGAAGAATGGAGGATAGATATTGGAGCAGGGTAGGGAATAATGGAGTATAGATATTGTAGCAGGGTAGGGAAGAATGGAGGATAGATATTGGGGCAGGGAAGGGAAGAATGAAGGATAGATATTGGAGCAGGGTAGGGAAGAATGAAGGATAGATATTGAAGCAGGGTAGGGAAGAATGAAGGATAGATATTGGAGTAGGGTAGGGAAGAATGAAGGATAGATATTGGAGCAGGGTAGGGAAGAATGAAGTATAGATATTGGAGTAGGGTAGGGAAGAATGAAGTATAGATATTGGAGCAGGGTAGGGAAGAATGGAAAATAGATAAAAACAGGTAAGGGAGAATGGAGAATAGATATAGGAGAAGGGTAGGGAAGAGTATAAAATTAATATAGGAGAAGGGTAGGGAAGAGTATAGAATTAATATAGGAGTAGAGTAGGGAAGAGTATAGAATTAATACATGAGTAGGGTAGGGAAGAGTATAGAATTAATATAAGAGTAGGGTAGGGAAGAGTATAGAATTAATACATGAGTAGGGTGGGAAAGAATGGAAAATGGATTCAGGAACAGGTTGCAAGAGTTTTTATCAATTAAAATGTTGCCTGTAAAATGCAGATTCTTCTCCCAACTGAGCAACCCTGCAATGGTGAGTAAATACATTTCACGAATTTTGATAAATGTTTGCTTTTGAGTTTTCAAAAAATGCACGTAAAATCAAGGTCGTGCAGTTACCTGAATATATATATTAGTTTATGAAATATCAGCATTAGCGCGTTAAAATAATTAAAACAGCTCAATACAGTAACATGACATTTGTCATACTTATCTGTCATTCTATGCATCTATTTAAGATTTAATGTCTACCTGAGAGGTATGCATCCAAGGATCAGAAGATTGGAAATTACAAAGATCATTTTTGGAGGAGAAGATTTCTAAATATTTTGAAAATAAAATTTTGTATCCTTAAAATCACTTATAAGTTTAGGGACTAACAAAAGATATGTAACAGAAAGGTTTGAACAAGGTTCTAGGTTTTAAAAAAGAATTGAATCCTTAACCCTTCAAACTAAACTGTTTAGAAAACAAGTTCTAGCCCTCTGGCGGCGTAATGCAGTTTTTACATATACAAAGATCCTGTGAAAAATTAAAAACATCTAAAACCTGCTAAACAATGATGATAAATGATGTTCAAAGAAATTCCTGTAATCCTTTAAAGAGTTCTGCACTAACTATTGAGACACACTAAACATTTAATATTTTTCTGTGAAAACCTATTGTAACGAATAGACAAAATTATTCGATCTATTAAACAAAATTTGGATTTATTTTATAATTTAAAAAAAACACCATTACTGAAAGATAAAAGGGAACGGAACTATTTATGGAAAACATGCATACAATTTTATGAAAAGGACCAATATTGCCGTTAAAAACCTGTAACGTACTGATAAATTCCCGCCATTTAAATCAGACGGCTTTTAATAGCCACCATCAGTTTGCCAGGAGTACAAAAGCTTAAAAGCTTTATTAAAATATCAGAGAAGAACAATAACTTAGATTTTTAATAATTTCACCACTTAAACACTTGTACATTGACTGCATCAATAGATAAAACCATAATTCTGCTATTTTGACTCTGTTTACAACTAAAACAATGCGTAAAATCAAGCATTGTAAGAAAACAGACCCACTTTAAAGTTCTGCACCAGGACCAAACTTTGAGACTATCAAAGCTTTAAAAATTCACGAAAAACCCTAATCACTTTTAGACACCCTTTAAATTTTGTACAGTGCTTTTTAGATCAATTCAATCAATACATTAGTGAAGTTAAGCTTTATATTACCAGATTTCTCCAGAAGCTCGAAACCCCAGCATTTTTTATTTCTCCTCCCAGTTGAAAGGTTAGAAAGGTTAGAACGGAGATGATAGTTGCAACTTCAAAACAGTATCTTGAATAAAAATCTAGCAATAATTTATATAAACTGTCAAACAAAATAAAATGCCAAATCATGGACTAGAAAAAATAAACTATAAAATTAATTTAACCTGCTTATATCTGTACTTGACATCTCTCCTGTTCTAGGTTTGATCCCATTTAGAAGACTGCTATGTATGTCAGGCCTTGAGGACAAATCACATTAAATTCTTTAAATTCGGCCTCAGAGTAAATAGTTTACTAGAATCTGTTATTTTAGATATGCTATTTAATGTATAGAATATATGAGATATAACACCCCAGATAGAGTAAATAGTCAGTATAGAAGAATTGATATAAGACACTATACTGGTAAGGACTGTACCTGGAATACTTGAAAGGACACATCTATATAAAAAAGTAATCTCTGTTTGTTTGTTTTTATGTCTGATCATAACTCATGAACCCTTTGACTGAGTTGCCTCAAATTTTAATTTTGGAACTCAGTAGAACAGCGGGAATGTTCTTAGTTTGGTATTAAAGTTATGTTAGAAAGGTCGACTTTCGTAGAAAAAACTTAGTTTTCAGGCAAAGCCAATGGGTTCCTGCTCAAGATAAAAATAATATCGTTTAACGTACTGAAGAAGATATAAAAAATCAGGGACTAGAGTATTAGATACATATTTAGCATATTATAACTAGTACGTTTTGTAGATAAATGACTTTTTATATTACCTAGTATAGATTGCAGTCGACATAGTAATCAGGTGCAGGAGTAGAATTAAAGTCCTTTTCAGGAACATACCCTGTAAACAACATTAGATACTGTCAAAAGTAAACCCCAGAAAATCTTGAAAATACAACAAATAAATATATCTTTAGAACACATTCATTGCAATGTTTATTTTTTTGTTTGCTCATATTTTTCATTTTTGTTTTTGTTTCTAATCTAGTATTTTACAAGAGAACCTGAGCAAACGTTTTCCATTTCTCCTCGAGAAGTTTTGCTATAATTCCTCCTTCAAGCATATTCAAGTGTTCTTCCTAAAAACATGATTTAAAGTTTCCCAATTCTTCTCTTTTTGTGTTCAAAAGACATTTTAGATATATTTGATAATATATTGGTTTGGACGATTTATTGTGAAACTGTCTTGAATAAATTTCAATGTTGAATAATAAATCAGTAAATCGCGAATATTCTTTTACATATACACTTTTCAGGCAAAATCCACTGAAAAATAAAATTTTTCGATAAACCTTCCAAACTCTGTTTGTACAAACAATCATTTACGTACCACCAACTAAATACCTATTGCACTTAGTTGACTGCCTAAAGTGCAGTACATACATACCTGTAACAATTTTATCTGTTCTTTACGTACCCGTACAACTTTGTACATGGTATATCAGGTAGAGAAGATTAGGAAGGTACATAAATCTTATAATCCCAAAAGAAAAAAACTAAATAATCAAACCTTTAAACCTTGAAATTGACTCACAATCATAGATTCAGAGCTAGATTCACATATTTATACATTGATATATTCATAGATTCATGGAAAATGGATTCATAGATTCTATAGATTTATAAACTCATAGAGTAATTTCATAGATTCATTCATTTTTAGATTTTATACATATATAGACAGATTCTACTAAAGAAAAATTCATTTTAGATTGAAATCTTGCACTGCTTAAACGTAACTTCGTTTACTGAAGAGGTATTGATGTTTTGAAATTCTAATATCTTAACTAATCTTGTGCTCATTCTTGGGACGGAAATTGAAAATAGAAAAGTTAAGAGATTGCAAAGTTGCACTAGTAGTTCCGTCAATAAAGAATTGATCACTCGACACAAATTCTACTTTTTAATCCCTTTATCTTTGCAACCTGATAGACATGTATTCTGTGAGAAGATATAATCTAAGTTTGAAATATTAAAAGTTTACACCATCAGATTGCAAAGATATAGAGATTAGACAATTAGAAATGGGGGAGAGTGTTCAATTCATGTGACCTTGTTTCTTATCTCTAAAGGAATTGAGTCTTTGCCACAAACTCTACTTTTCTGAACCCTATATCTTTGGATTCCAATGTCGTAGACCTTAGATATTTCAAACTATGAATTCTGTAATATCAAATAATGTAAGTTTGAAATATCAAAGATTTGCGACATTGAATTCCAAAGATATAGGGATTATAAATTCAGAGTTTGTGGCAAAGACTCAATTCCTTTAAGTGTATCAAACTCCTTTGTTTCTCTCCCCGGAAATTACCTTGGTACCGTTTAGAATTATCATGAGTGCTGATCCCCAGTTAGTTTCACCGTCAGGCTAAATAAAAATCAGATTAAGAACATATTTTTTAAATCTTTTTCGGGATGTTACAATATATTACAATATTATTTTGTATATTACAATGATATATGGATTTTAAATATAAAAAAAATCATTCACAATAATTATATCTAATTATTAAGTAATTTGGTTCATTTTAAAATAAATAATTTCCCTTCAAGAACTAGATTTTTAAAATTTCTGTATCCCTTTATCCCCTTCTGTTTTTGTCTGTTCTGTAACATCTCCTACCTGTATCGAATCTAGAGCACCTAAAGGATAACCGCAGCAGGTTATATTTGAATATCTCCAGAACTCTTTGCAAGATAACTCTAACATCTCTCTGAGGTAAATATAATGAAATAGTAAAACCCAGGACGCTTCATTTAGATCAAAGGAATTGAGTCTTTGCCACAAAATATGATTTTTAATTCCTATATCTTTAGAACCGAATGTCGTAGACCTTAGACATTTCAAACTATCAATTCTGTAAGATCAAATATTTTCAGTTTGAAATATAAAAGTTTTACACTAAAAGGATGCAAAGATAAACTGATAAGAACATCTGAGTTTGTTTCAAAAACTCAATTCCTTTGCTGCTTTGATCAATCAAACAAACAGACAAACAGGCGGACGAACAGGAAAAAGTTTAGAAAAATGACTAAATAAACAATAATTAATTCCAGAATTTATGTAATTGCAGAAAGTATATTCAGAAATTAATCGATTTCTGAATATAATATAAGAAACAAATTAAAACCTAAACATATATTATTAGAAATTAATTTTTATCGAAGTATGTATATGATCAGAAATCAGAGATAAAAACCTAAATATATTATCAGAAAAAATTAATACCTGAATATTTTATCAGAAATTTATCAATATCTGAATACATTATCAGAAATTAATTAATACCTGAATATATTATCAGAAATTAATTAATACCTGAATATATTATCAGAAATTAATTAATACCTGAATATATTATCCCGACCTAGTTCACACGACAGTGTTAGGGAGGTGAGACCTCGGTTGTTCTTTATATTAGGGTTCGCATTTTTCCTGGGGTGTCGTAGAGCGTATCCATACATTCCCTAATTAAAAGTATTTTACTCAGACCAGTTTTCCTTTTTAATCTCTGCACTTGCATTAAAACTACATTTTTTCTTTAATCTAATCTAAATATTTTCTTCTCAGCTTTCTCTATTTAAACATTTTTAAATTTTGTGTGCTTGTGGTTTTCGGTTTTATTCTAACTTTTTAATTTAGAAAATTAAATTCCCCTGCCTTACTCTGAGTTATCTCACTAAGCATTAATTTGAGACTTATTCGAGACAAAGAAACTAAGTTTTTGCCTCAGACTCAAATCTTTGATCCCTAAATCTTTGCAACCTGATAGTATACACATTCAAGATTTCAAGCTTGGACTATTTAATCAAACATAATTCATAGTTACATCAAGTTTCAATAATGCAGGGATTTTAAAATGTTAAAGTTTTTGGTTAAAACTTTAAAACTTTAAAACATATTGTCTTAACTTTAAACGCAAACTAGCTTGAGAACCCAGTGTTGCCCAGGTTACTCATAGTTACTCCCACTGTTTACCCGTGCTCGGTCTCAAATAACGAGTATAGCTATTTTTACAGAAGTTAATCGCCACCTATTTTTAGAAATGTTTTTGTCACAAAGGTTAAGTTTAAATATTAAAGGTTTTATCATCTACAAGAATTCAAAGACATAGAATGTTGAAAATTTGAGTTTTTCAATTCCTTTATTTTTAATTCACTTTTTAATTTAATAGCATCCAAAGTTAAAATGAAACATTAATATTCAACATTTATGTTGTTAATGTCTAACAAAATAGTAGGTATAGTCGAGTATATGATTCGCAGCAGGCAAACATTGTAATTGAATAAAATCCCTTAACCTCATTTCCCTGAGGCACTTACACAATTGCAAGAGTGCACAGTTCAGATGGAGACCTCAAACCGAATCCCTAATCTCTGCGAATTCATAAAAAATAAATGTACATGATAAGCAAAAAAGAGACAGATACTAAAAAAAGTTGTCAATTTTTGAACAATTTCAAAATGCTTTAGAATTCAGTGTAAACCGTGTGATTCGATTTTCTTACATATTTCTTTTGCTTCTTTTATTTCTTTTCAATTCTGACTTTGAAGCGTTTCGAATAAACTTCCATTTATCTTAGATATGCTTTAAATATTTCATAAATCATTTTTTTATCATGCAATACAATGTCTTTTTATTTACATGCATTTACAAAGCGAGGAGTTACATTAATGAACTTAAAAAATCCAATATTCAAAGATTTAATTAGTTCCTAATTGCTTTAAACATTTCTCCACCTCCCTTACAAAATACTTGAGTTGCGCCTCTTGGCATTGTTTATGTTTGCTCATGGTGCATAAACATTAAGAATATTTACCAATTGTACTGTGACCACGACCATGTGAAGGACTGTGTTCCCGTATGCGTCCTGATCATCAGGATTTGCGTCCTGTGTAGTAAAGAACAGTATTATACGGAATATCTGTTTCATTTTTCAAACTTCTACATTTCACTTTAAAAATCTGTTTTCTTAATATTGAAAATTAACTTAGAACATTTTAATATTCTTTACAGTAAAAACATAACTAAGAAACCGTGTTTAAGGGTTTCAATTTATCTTCTTTTTCAAAAAAATATTTTTTAGATTTTTATCTTTTCAGAATTCAAATATCTACCAAGGAGAATTACCAACTAATGTTGAATTAATCACTTAAAAATCTTTATCCTGAATGTGTTTTTTCCTCAAGACAGCATCTTTCCTATCTATTTATTTTATTTTGTGAAGATTTGAATTCAATGATCGCAGTCATGTTTGCGCACACAAGGAATTGCAGAGTTAAAATTATTTGAACAATTTAAATACAGTTTAGAGTTGAAGTCCTGTTTTCATTCTGCAAATTCTTACAGGCAGATTTTACAATATTAATTTTAATTTAAGGAATTTTAGGAATCTAACCTATAAACACTTTGAATTTATTGTCTAATTTGATTTAGACAGATAAACTTGATGTATACTATTCTAGTTTACCAATTATAGGACAGCTAGAAGCAGGCCACAGTCTAAGATAAATTGTTGAAATTAGACAACAATTTACTTTTCCGTTGTCTCATGTATACTAGTTCTAATAGTATAGTCATTTTAACCGCAGTGTCGAGTTTACCTGATCTAAGAGCAGATTATAAATGGTTTCATTTCCTAAACATGCAGCCCAGGCTAGCGGATACTCGCCCATATACGCCAACCCCTGTATATTCAACATAGGCATACATCTTTTAAATTTAAATTGATCTATTCTTCAAGGGGACAAAGTTGGATAAATTGGAAAAGACGGTAAAAGAAATTTTGAAAAATGAACCTAGTTAAAGAAATTAGATCTTACCTCATAGGTTGTATTTTTTACTGGTCTATACAAACCTTACTCTTAAACCATATAGATAATATTTTACTTGACTTTATTTTGACTAATAATATGAATGTTGATCCTATAAAGTTATGAGTATATATAATAGTATATATCTTTATTTTCTTATTTATAGATAATGCAACTTTAACTTGATTGATTTGTAAATGTAAGACCTGTAAAATTATCATTTTACAAACTTTAAAGGGGCTAAAAATGAAAGGGGCTATAGGTGGATTGCAATTTTCTCTATTTGGGTGGATGCTACCTTATTTAGTAAAATTCGTTTTTAAAAATTTTTTCTTTACAGACGCAACAGATAGAAGTAAGATTAGTAGCGATCAAAAGCACTTATTTTTTCACCGTATGCCTATACCCCCTTTCATTTTTCGCGAACACTCCCTTTAAGTTGGCTTTTCATGTGTTCTAAGAAAAAATGCACGATAAAAATCTTATTTTTCTCTGAAAACCATTCGCAATGTTCATCTGGAAAAAAAGTTCCTTTTTAGGTAGGGATAAGTGAGGTAATCGTATTTTTGAACGATCCTATGCCTCAAATTATAATCCAAACGTCATTATATGCAATCGTACGAAAGGAAAAAAAAATATTTTGGAAGGAAGAGGGAAGGTTATCATTAAGTATCCATGCATAAATGTCAGAACACAAAGTTTGTATGTATCATCAAGATTAAGAAATTTCATTTTTGAAAATAATGGATTTGAATGTGCCTTGAAAGTACTATTATTAACCACTCTGATTGCCTTTTTTGCAAAGATCTGATTTTTTGCAGTTTAGAGTTTTTAACCCCTTCACATGTAACAATTCCATATTCAATATGAGGCCTTACAAGAGAGTTATAAACAAGTAGACGAATGTTTAATGGTAAGATATTCTTAATTTGAGACAATGCAAAGATTGAGCTAGCAATTTTATTCGAGATATGTTCAATTTGAAAATCCCAGTTTAAAAATTCGTCAAGTTTAAGTCCAACAAATTTGAAATATTTGTTCACACAGTCATAATCAAATACCAATCCTTTAAGGTATCTCATTTCCTATTAATATATAACAACTGTTGGGGTCAACGTGCATATTTCTATTTCTAAATACTATATACTTTGTTTTGGAGATATTTAGTGACAAACGATTTTCCTTGAAACCATTTTGCTGCTTTTTTTAGTTCAGTGTTTGCATCAAGTATTAGGCTTGCAATGTCAGGAGATAACTTTAAACAACTAGTATCATCTACAAACAGGCTGGTAAAAAAAAGATGTTGCTAGGGGCAAATCGTTTATATAAAGCAGAAACAGCAGGGGCCCTAGAACACTTCCTTGAGGAACACCTGTACATGTTATAATTCTTTCTGTTGAAAATACTCCATTTATACATACATATTGAGCTCTATTAAGAAGATAAATAAACCAGGTGTTGGCCACATTTTTGAAACCATAATGAATTAGTTTTTTAAAAGTAAATGTTTAAATCACAACAATCAAAAGCTTTCTTTAAGTCTAGGAATATTCCAAGAGTAAAATTTTAAGCTTCATACAAAATCATCTCAGGTATTCATTTTTATCAAAAGATCAGTAATTTAAGTTTTCCTCAATTTACTTAAAGCGTGTGTCTAAAACTCATTTTCTTTCTATTTTTTATACGTACGTGAATTGTTTTTTAAAAATGCCGCAGGGTTATCGATTGAAAAACTAAATTATCTCTATTGTGGATTGGATGCAGTTATTGTTTTCAATGAAGTTTTGCTTAAAAGTAAGATTTCCTGTTGCTCTGTTGATCTCTGGGCAGGAAAAAGACTCCTATGGCTCTCTCTCGGATTGATGCCCCACAGCTAACCTGGAGTTATATTATCTGTTAAAATCATGTGATCAGAGATCAGAAATTTTGTGCGGATATTGTTAATCTTGAACACTTGATCTCGATATGTGGGCACTTTTAAATTTTGGGATTAATGCTGGATAGCTTCATTAAAGTTATCCCTGCAGGGTATGACTATCACGAGCTGATGAAAGAGGAATTGAATTAATTTGTAAATGGAGATTAATGCTTGAAACCCGAGCTTCAGAACACAAAGTTTTTGACTTGCGATTAACTTTTAAGAAAACGAACTTTTAATCTATTTTTAATCAATTTCGTGTTCGTCGCCATTACTTATCAAAGTGTTAGTAATTTCAAATATTAAAAATCATTTATTTTAATAATATTTTCAATTCTTCAGAATGTTCGAGAATATTGCAGCTCTACCTGAGCCTGCGATTAAAAAAAATCGGGTAAATACGACTCAGGTCTAAGCTGTCGTCAGGCCTTATTTACGGCTTGAGCTTTCGAATTCAGCTGCATCTTATTTTCCACAGAATTGAGTTAAAAAGAACCGGTTTATATTCTATTTGGCGGATTTTCATGTTAGGAATTGGCGCATTCCGAGTTTTGATGAGAACAAGACTTAACATTGAGCCTTATTTTCCCCTGAAACCAACCAAGGTCGTTTTCATTTTCATTGGGCCTAACTCCTTAAGTCGAGCCGAAGATTTTTCACCTGTTAATCACGTGACACAAGCTATCGTCAAGTTGGGTCGAAGATTGGGTCTTAAAGTCGGGTTCAAGGAATTACGACTCGAGCCGAAATTTTTAAATCGCGGGCTGAGTTCGAATTTAAATAATTTGAGCCGCTTCCAAAATTCCCCAAAACCCGGTTTAAATTGAGTGCTGGCTTAAATCTTGAAACATTTAATAAGATTTTAAGTGGAACCAACCATATTTTCGTCGTCGCGGCTTAAATGCGGCCTCTGTCTATTATTTTATTTCAATTTCGATTTCTAAATCTTCTCATCTTTTCATTAATTTCATTTGAGAAATAATTTCTGTTTAAACTTAGAGTAATTACCATTATTCACTGAATTTATATCTGATTTAATTATCTGAATATCTTATTAAAAGAAATTCATGACAATAGAACATTTCCAAACCGACTATTTAAAAAGTGTATATATTCAGTCTTTTCAATTCTAGTCTACTGGTGGTCCTATAGACATGAGAATAAAGTGACAATATTAAAATCGTATTCTATTTTTTTGCCTCCCAACAAATGTCTTACTTTTCCTCCTGTAATATAGAAAACGAACTTTTCTAAATACATAATTGTACATCAGACATTTTTGAGATGCAAAAAAAATAGGCGACACAAATGTATCATTTTCTCTCGGGAGTCAATGAATCACTCGGACAAGGGTTTAATTTCCATTGATTCTAATTTGTAAGGAACTGAGCTTTTGCCGCAAACTCAAATTTTCTCATTTAAATATCTCTGCAACCTTTGAAATTTCAAACTTAGCTTATTTGATCTAACAGGATTAATAGTTTGAAATATCTAAGGTATAGGGGTAAGAATATTTGAATTTGTGGCAAAAACTCAGTTCCTTTGTCATATGTAAATGACGTTCCTTTGTAAAGAGCTGGTTTTAACCTGTGCAAACATTAATAAAAAATTTATTGAAACCTGACGGGATTTTTCATTTAACACTTAATTAACTTATCTTAGAAAGGCGCAAATTATTTTTTACAAATATCGCCAATTCAAATATGAAATCAGTCAGTTCTCTTTAAGCATTCTACGTGAACAGTCGCACTTTTATTATACTGTATCAAGTATTCACGATCTATAAGAAATATCTACGAGCATGGAACACCTTCATTGTCTTCAAATAAACGAGATGGATTAAGTTGAATCAAACTGGGCCAGTCCTATTGGAAAGCTGACTATATACACTCTACTTCAAATCGTCAGTTCATCGCCAACATCAAACATAGACATCCGCACCTCTGTCACTAATTTCCAGTGTCTATACGTCAAGATGAACGAGATTTTCTTTGGGATACATCTACGAGCCTAAAACAACTGTATGGGTTTCTCCGAGCTATCTTCAGATAAAATAGATTCTGCGTCAGCTGGAATTAAACTGTGCCTTGTGGAAATCTGACCTGTTACTGTTCAAGGCTCATCAGCAACAAAAGAAGCGTGCGGAAAATGGGGCTATAGTCCCTAGAAAATGAGGACAAAACTATTGCAAGCCATTTACGATAGTCCAAGAGAATTGAAAGTTGTTGTAAACCCTCACACATAATGCCTGTCCGTCATTCTCACTAAAGCTGGACCAGGAGAATATCAAAATAAAGAGCTATAGGAATAGTTTTTGGTCTATGAATCCGAGGAGGGAGGGTGTGCAGGGCCACCATGAGCCCCGCGAAATGACCTTGAAGCCTCATGGCACACAGAATGACCTCCAAGCACGGCAAAACCGTCTCCGCTCCTCTCGCTAACTCTCCAAGCCTTCACCATTCTATCTCCATGCCTCGCAGTTTAAAATGCGGGGCGCGGAGACAGAGGCTTGGAGAAATAGATAGAGGCGCGAAGATGGTTTTACGGGGGTTGGAAGAAATTCTGTGTATTCGTAGGCTTTGAAGTCATTTTACAGGGCTCATGGCGGCTCTGCACTCCCTCCCTTATCCAAGGCCCATGAACCATTTAAAACAATGAAGAAGTGAATGTTATTCATTAAAAAACTGATTACTCGAGATTCAATCTTAAATTCTTTGGATGATGATTGTGGAGATTATTCCTACCCGCCGGCCAAGTATTGTAGTTTTAGTTAAACCGAATATGAAATTTTCTGATAGGAAAACAACCCAGGAGCATGTTGTATATATTCCAGCAGTCAAAATTGAAAGAAATTGAGTCTTGCCACAAACTCGGGTTTTCTATCTAATCCCTATATTATTACAACCCAATGTTGGAGACCTTAGATATTTCAAACTATGAATTGGGTTAGATCAAATAATCCAAGTTTGAAATATCAAAGGTTGTCACCATCGGATTGAAACGATATAAGGAATAGAAATCTGGATTTGTGGCAAAGACTCATGTTCCTTTTGTAACTTACCAGTATATCTGCTAACTCATCGTTACCGTATGCAATAGCTAGATGCAAACCGGTTGCGCCTACACATTAATATTAAAAGGCGTAATTTCAAGTGACCCTTAATTTCATAAATGCTTTGACTGATCAAACATGTCGGACTCATCCGTATTAATCTCAAGAAACTCTTGCAATTGTTAAACATTTGATTTGCAAGCTGTTTTATATTTAAGTAATGTTTCTGTAAACTTTCTAGAAGTTGCAGAAATAAATTATTTACATTCAAATTTTTGAAAACCGCTTTAAGGACATAGAATATTCAGCATTTTCAAAATATCCATTTAACGTATAGCTGAGTTGAGTTCATGTACGCTAGCGTACACTCCCGTTTGCGGCAATTCAAATAATTTATGAGATATATGCATGAGTCACTTGAATTTATGCTTACAGTCCCTTTTATAATTTGGAACATTTCATGGACATAATAAGACATTAAGAAATATAAAATTATGAATTATAGAAAAAAACTTATCTAAAATGCGAAATAAACAATTCAAACAGTTCCACTTAAACCTTTATCTCTGAGGTTTTTCTAAGGTGACAAAAAAGTGATCTTTTTTACTCTACAGAGGTTTGGTCCATCACCATCACCGAATTTTAAAGATAATCTTTATATTGCAAAAGTTATACTTACGGTTCCATGTATACAGTTTACCTAGATATTCCTCTCCCTCTACTCTATCTAAGGCACACTAGAAGCAAAAACAACAAACTTTTTGTTGAATAATTAAAAGAATTTCTATTTTCTATGGTTCAACACACAAATTCAATTTAGACCAAAAGTTATTTGGAATTAAACTTTGTTCATATTTATTTTGCTTTAAAATATCAAGAGATATGTTTATCTTGCTTTTTATAGTTATTATTTTTCTGTTTAATTTAGCTGACTTTTTCTTGTAGAACCTTCAAAATTATGTATTGTTACTTTTCTTTTTAATCGGAAAACATTTTTATAAAAATGTTAAATATTTTTTTATATGAATGAAAGCTAAAACAACCATAAATAAAAGACAAGGCGTTCAAAAATAAAAAAAAATTAGGTATTGTTTGTTTTTGATTGGTATTATTCATCGGGCAACATTTGATTAAAGGGAACGCCATACTGGTAAAATAAGATTTGAAGATTTTAAATGAATGTTTATTCTAATTTCTTTTTTTTCCAAACAAAGCTTGAAAGTTCCTTCGGAAACACTTTTAGCAGCAGCCGAGCTATCCTGTAATTATTTAAAGATTCATTATCTTATTTTTTATTTTAAATGTGATAAAACTTTAGTGCTAACTTGTAAATTTTAAACAAGAAAATTTATCAATATCAATTGTACTTTTTGTCTTATGTTATTATTGTGGAAAAATGAAATTGAAAAGTTGATGCAATATTTCTATATTTCTCTGAAAAATAACCTGGTGTGAATAGGACTGTCACAGATGATAAGTACATGCAGTAGTGATTCACCTGCATTGAATATAGGTTTGCGAACATAAACAGCAAGAAGCCAAGCCATCTATATATACTTTGCTTGTCTGTCTTGGTGTTTGTTCGTTTGTTTGTATCCAATAAACGTCAAAACGGCTAAACCGATCGGGCCAAAAAAATTTTGTGGGACCTCGCGTGACCCCAGGGAAGGTTTAATGATGATCTAATTTCCAAAAAATCGCTTCTAATAAAATACAATTTTGGAAAATGTATTCAAAGAGAAAATGTTTACAAATGAAAGAAAAGATGGGCGCGAAGCGTCCTTAAAGCTTAGTATAATCTTTTTGTTTAAATCAAAAGTATTGATCTTGGTGAGCGGTGACATAGCTGGTTTTCTGACATTTGTTTTAACAGAAAAGAACTGAACACTTGCCACAAATTCTAATTTATATTCCTTAAATCTTTGCCAATTGATACTTATACCTTTATTTTTAGAATATTGAATTCGTTCAGATCGAAGTGTCAGAGCAAAGATGTGAGGGCCCAAACATTAGAGTTTGTTGCATATGTTCCTAATTCCTAAAGCAACGTCTTTGAAGCTTACGATATTTTTATTATACAACCTCTTTTATGAGCTAAATTGGCGTGAGCTAAGCAATTTTTTTTGCAAACGTAAACATGGATTCGTTCAAAAACAAATGTTTATCATGAACGGCTTTGAACTAACCTAAAGATCCCCTGTACTGCATCCTCCAGCAGGCTTGATGATCCTCCCAAGAGTTTAGAGGATCATATAAAGTTTTCATTTTCTCCTCAATATTTATCTGAGAAATGCATGCCACAATAAAATCCAGTGTTTTAAGAGATTTTGTGAAAACACCGATTTCCTTACATTTGCGAGTATTCTTAAGTATGGGAATTTTATGCTTTAAAAAAATGAGATTTCTTTAGTTTTGTAAATATTTGAATACCGGTAAGCATTTTAAAATTAATAAAAACAAATTCTGACTCACTTTATGAAATATGTCTAAAACTGAAACTTATTTTAGACATTATACACTTTAAGCGTTAATTTAAATAATTGGAGTCTTTGCTACAAATTCGATTATTTTTTAATCCCATGTAATCTTTGCAATTCAAATCGTAGACCTTAGACATTTCAAACTATGAATACTGTTAGATCAAATAAACTAAGTTTGAAATATCAAAGGATTACATCATGAGGCTGCAAAGATATATGGATTACAAAATTTGGGTTTGTGGCAAAGGCTCAATTTCTTTCTATGATTGAAATCACTAAATAGTATCTATATATAACGTAGTAATCTTTGTTTGTTTGTTTGTTTGAATGACCGATCATAACTCAGGAACCCCCGACCAATTTGTCTAAAATTTTACCCAACAAAAATGACGATATTTATTATTTTTTAAATGCGTTAATTTATAAAAAAAAGTTGAGAACGATTAAAAATGGCTAATTTCAGAGCAACTGAGGAAAGGGGGCGCGAAGCGCTCTTAAAAGCTATAAGTATAAATAATGGCAATAGTTACGAATTTTAAAAATTGTAAAAATATTTATTTTAAAAAATTTTTATAATATTTATTTGATAGCTGACCTTATTCTGCAGCACACAAAAAAAGAAAACATTACATTGTCGAATTTGTTTTCGGTCATGTTTTCAAAAATATTGATGCGAAATTGTAATTTTTAATAGTTTTTTCAAAGCAAATTTTTCAGGCTTACATTTGTACATAAAGATATATCTTTTATTTTAGTTTCATCTTTTTAAAAGGGAGTAGATAATTCAAAAGCCTGCATTTGATTTTGAAAATAGATCTTAAGTGTTTGGGAATGCCGAGATCCATTTCATTGATTTCTAGATTCAGTCAAAAATTCCGATTTTTGTATTGTTTTCTAACTGGGTTTAAGATTTATGACTAAAAAGTAGATCCAGTGGCCGAATTTAAAGAATTTGAGCGGCGGTTTAAATTTAAGCCGCGGTTTAAATGTGGCTCGTTCCACTTAAAATTGTATCAAATGTTTCAAGATTTAACCCGCGCTAAATTCAAACCGGGTTTTGGCGGATTTTGGCGGATTTAAACCGCGGCTCAAATTCTTTAAATTCCATCTCCGGTCTATGGAACAACTGAAACTAAAAGAACCTAGTGGATCTCAGGTTTACTATAAAAGTATATTCTAAACATGTTTCTCAATTTTCAAAATAATAGTAAGCATTCTTGTCTTCTTCCTTTCAAATAATCAATCTAATATTTGGCGGCACTTGCTTAAAGCGACTTGCTGACATGATTTAATAGGAAACTAATTTGTGATAGAAAAGTGAAAATTTTAAACACCATTTAAAAATAAAAAATTTCACCTTTTCATTGTTCCTGTACTTCCATCTTAGATATTCCGTCCTAAATCATCTTAACTCAAAATGGAGTTTTCTCATAGGATCCCTGAATTTGATACAGTTAAACCTTAAATAAGCCATACATCAAAAGAATTTATCAAATGTCGTCTTGATTTAAAAAAAATATATTTTTAAACTATTTTACGTAAATCTCAGTATTTGCGAAAATAAATAAATAGCCATGAATATGCGGGAACAGTTTTAAAGAGCTTCACACAATCATTTAATTGAAAAACTAAAAATCTGCAACAGTGAAGAATACGACATTTGATTAATTCTTTCGATGTATGGCTTATTTAAGGATCAACTGTAGTATTTTTTTAAAACACCCTTCGACTTTAGATAACTTTATATAGCTGAATTGAACTAAGCTTTATTTAGTCTCGTTAGGATGGTTGAGTAAATTCCATACACAATAAATAGATACGGTACGTAGAATTTACATGAAAAAGTGCAAAACCGGGATTTTTTTAATACCTGCATACTGCAAAGTGCATACTGCATGCATGTTAGGACATTGTTTTGCAAAGATATAAGGATTAAAAAATTAGAAAAAAAAATCAGTTCCTTTATGTTTATAAAAAGGTCAAGAGCAAACTTTATTCAATAAATATAGGTAATGACGAGTTAGATCTGTGTATTGTATAAGAATACTTGTACAGGGTTACCCACAAAGGATGAGACTTCAAAGGCGAATGGACGGAATTTATGCTGACTGTTTCCTTACATTTTTGATTTCCTGCAACTATAAAGGATTTGATTCTTGCAATCAAATTTCAAACTATAAATTCTGTCAGATCAATTAATCTAAGTTTGAAATATTAAAGGTTTACACCATCAGATTCCAAAGATATAGGGATTAGAAAATTTGAGCTTGTGGCAAATACTCAATTCCTTTCTTTCTTTTTTGTCAAATCATTAAATAGGCCATTTAAAGACCACATTCAAGATAGACGACGTAATCTAATCTTGGGATTGTCATATTTGAAGAGTTTTAAGTCGTCTTCACTTGTCTCATCCCTTGTTATGATTATCTATAATTGAGTTAAGACAAGTATCCTGGTTATTAGTTCTCCCTTCCCCTGATTGTACATCAGTGGATATAGTTTCTCGCGAATAATCCTTTCAACCTGGAAATAATATCATTTAAACAATTTATATATATCATTTTTCAAATTACCTCTTTTGAACCTCCTGTATTAAAAGCTTCGACCAGCTGACCACTTTTCTTGAAGTTAGCAAGCTTATACAGTAAACAATCATCTTCAGGGCTAGCACTGGCAATAACTCTGTAAAATATTCAGAGATCAAACAAATATTTATTCTTGATTAGAATATAAAAAAATATGTTACCAAATGATTTCAAATAATTCCGAGATGTGTTTATGTGCGGTGTTTGTAAAATTGGTAAAAAATTTTCATCTAACCTCTGTTAATTAATATTTTTTCTAACGTTCTTAAATTCCTTTAATATCCTAGGATCTGATGAAATATCTTAGAATCTGGTGTAATATCCCAGGGTCTGGAGAAATATCCTAGAATCTGTTGTAATATCCCAGGATCTGGAGAAATATCCTAGAATCTGGTGTAATATCCCAGGGTCTGGAGAAATATCCTAGAATCTGGTGTAATATCCCAGGATCTGGAGAAAGATCCTAGGATCTGGTGTAATATCCCAGGATGTGAATAAATACCCCAGGATCTGGTGTAATATCCCAGGATCTGGAGAAACGTCCTAGGATCTGGTGTAATATCTCAGGATCTGGAGAAATATCCTAGGATCTGGTGAAATATCCCAGGATCTGGAAAAATATCCTAGGATGTGAATAAATACCCCAGGATCTGGTGTAATATCCCAGGATGTGAATAAATACCCCAGGATCTGGTGTAATATCCCAGGATCTGGAGAAATATCCTAGGATCTGGTGTAATATACCAGGATCTGGAGAAACATCCTAGGATCTGGTGTAATATTCCAAGATCTGGAGAAATATCCTAGGATCTGGTGTAATATCACAGGATCTGGAGAAATATCCTAGAATCTGGTGCAATATCCCAGGATCTTGAGAAATATCCCTGGATCTGGAATAATATCCCGGGATCCTTGGAGTATTATCCCAAGTTCTGGATTAATATCCCAGGTTCTGGCATAATATCCCAGGATCTGGAGAAATATCCCAGAATCTGAAGAAATATCCCAGAATCTGGAGAAACATCCCAGGACCTGGAGAAATAACCCGGAATCCATGGAGCCATATCCCAGAATCTATTGCTCTAGCAAGTTGATGGAGTAAATCTTGGTTTTCTTCTCTAATTAACCTAAGGATATGAACTTTTATTTTAGAAAATTTATTACCTATCCAAAACTGCTCCAGGATTAAAAATGTTCTTCTTGTTCATACAATTACCCATTTTAAGTATCTTAAAAACCAGCTGAAAGAAAAGAATAAATAAGTAAGGATTTCAAAAGTTCTTCAAAGGTTCGTCGATCCTTTCTTCTTGTATGTAAGAGAGAAAAGGAAGAGATTCTGATTAAACAAACCCGTTTTTGTGTTTATTTTTCAGGTTTTTCCACAGACAAGAGATTTATTTTCTCTGTAGATTATTTTATTAAAATTTACAATTTTAGTATTCGTGGTGTCAAGAACACTTAATGAGTGCTCTACGAGATATTATTTATCCTGTTTACAAGGACAAACAGGATAAATAGAAAAAAAATATATTAAGGAAACCCAACACAAATTAAGGTTTTTGTAAATATATGCATATTTACAAGTCTATCTCTCAATGGCTTAAAGTATTACCCCCAACCCATGTAATTAATTAAGACTTAAAACTGTGTCTTTTCCACATCTAATTTTTCAGTTATCTGAAAAAATTATTTTTTAACATTTATTTTCTAATTTTAATTTTACCAAAATTTTAAAATACAGTAGTGAATTTATTCTCTGGCTTTTGTATCTTCTGAATAGCTGATATTACATTCGGTGATGGTGATGGACCTAACCTCTGTAGAGTAAAAAAAGTAGATGTTAGTTCCACATTTATTAAAAATATATTTCGGTCTGGGTTGACCCTCGTCAGTTCTAACGATAATGAACATCAAAACCGATAAAAATAATTGAAAATTGTTAAAAACCACAAGAAAATAAACAAACAAAAAAAAATTTAAAACAAAAGTTTGGCTGTCAAATGGACATAAGGGAAACGAACTCAGATTATCAGATGGAAAAAAGATAATTTGCAAATATTTTCTTTTACAAAAAAATGTTTTAATACAATTATTATTCCTTGGGATTGTTTCTGTCACAAAGATTAAAAACAAACTGATTAGATGTATGTGTATTGTGTATGTGGCTAAAGTTTCTCTAGTTTGCCAGTTTAATATCCTGTATCTCTGAATACTTTCAGAAGCGTCTACGAAGGCCCAGTTGTTGCTTCTCTGAAAGCTGAATGTACACTGCTCAAAATAGATTATTTCATCATTAAAAATTTGAGAAGGAAGTGTGTTTTTCAAATAACCAAACAATTTTTTTCGATCAGAAGTAGTGAAGCGGAACTGAACACTTGACATAAATTCTAATTTTTGAATTCCAATATTTTTGCTTCCTTATGTCGTATACATACAAAATTTCAAATTATAAATTTTAAATCCAAAGGTTTTCACAAAGAGGTTGAAAAGATATAGAGGCGGGAAATTTACAATTCACATACTCTTTAACTCATCCAACAGAGTTTTTTAATAAGTTGTCTCTATTTAGATCCATATCATATTCTCACAAACAAAAAATTAGACTAAACATGGTACTTGTTGAGAACTTGAGATTTATTCCAGACTACGATTTAGGCAACCTTAGATGTATTTAACTGAGAATCAGTCACGATATTCCCTCTGCTTTGAAACCTCTGTTTTGTCAATATATCCCCTTTTCTCTGGCAAGGAGCGTAGTATTTATGGCTGAAAGGGGAAGGGGTGCTGATTTTTCACCTGTCCCCCCTCCATTAAATAAAGTTTCCCCAGAATAAAAAATCTTTCTTAGTGTAAAAGTATAGCATCCAGTGCCAACCTTAAAAAAGGGCTTTAAAATAAAATGCGAAGTTGTGATGTAGTCATCATGCATGTTTCAAGCTCAGCTCATTTTTTAAAAGTTCGATAATTAAGGTTGTAGAAAAAACTGGAAAAAGTCTGTTGAACTGTCCTTTTTTTAATTATCATATACATTCATGAAACATGTTTATTTATATCCTTTTCAGAACATTTACTATGTACATTTAAAACTCACAACCATAGATAGAACACTAGATGTCGTCTTTTCAAGATTTTTGGGTTTTTCGTTCACAATAACCCTAGACAGAAGCCCAAAGGATTAACGCTTATGCCGCGTAGAATAGGCTTTTTTTTATCTTGTAATTCAACGCTCCATGCGAGTAACTCCTTTGGGCTTCTGCCTCAGGGTTATTGTGAACGAAAAACCCTTAAATCTTGAAAATTCGAATCTGTATTGTTAAATGATCTATGCTCTTAATTTAAATATTTATTGGTTATTTTTTATGACGCCTACAAGAGTTCTAGGCGAAATTTTACATACTAGCCTTAGAGGGCGCTTTGCGCCCATCTTCTAAATTAATTGTGAACATGTTCTCTTTGTGTACATCGTAAAACAAAACAAAAATAATTCGCGGATTTTCAAAATTTTCAAAAATTTAATGAAGATCGAATTTTGATGGAGACAAATATTTGAAATTTTGATCATTCATGAACCTTCCCTGGGGTCCCTAGATGTCCCTCAAAAAATTTGGGCCCGATCGGTTCAGCCGTTTTGACGTTTATTGGATACAAACAGACAAACAAACACACAAACACCCAGACAAGCCAAATTTATATATAGATGAAAGGAAATGATATTTTGTCATAAAGTAAAATTATGGTGTAAACCTTTGATATTTTGAACTATAACTAATTTGTCTAATAAGGTTTAAAGTTTGAAATATTCCTGTAGGGGCCAGAAACAGGGATAGTTAAATGGATTATTACTAGGAACCTTTCCTTGAGATACAATCGAACTTGACGCATTTCTTCTAAATTTTGCTTGTCAATATTTGCTATATGTAGTAATTCACAATTGTTATAGAAAGTGCCACGGATCAATTCTTTTATAATATTATCAGCTAGATGTGAAACGGCTGTGACACTCATCTTAGAATGAAGAGTTATTTAAAAATTACTTTGTAACATTAATTTAATATTGTTGCAAAGATGTTCTTCAACTTAATTGCACAATTGGCTAATCTATAAATTTTCTCTTTTTTTGTTAGGGATTTTGAAGTAAAATTAATTTTCCTTATAATGTGCTGTTTGGTGAAGTGAGAAGATAAAATCAAAAATAAAAGAAAGGATTTACATGTTTCTGCCAAATCTTAATTGATACCCGAGAGATGGGTTGTTAGTGAAGCATGAACCAGGAACCAGGGAGCCGTGAAGAGATGATACAGAGTTGGAGAGTAGGTTCGGAGGCTGGAATACTTTTCTCCGACACTAGTTAATACAGAACTTTTCATATGATCAGTCTGATTATATCAATGGTTCAACATATTTTAATTTGAGTTTAAACGCAGCTATTTATCTACCTTTTTTGAAATGGGCAACAATTTATAACAAACACAAATTTATGTTAATATCATATTTCTATCGATCTTTATAATTTTATTGTACGCAACAAAAAATGTGAAAAGAATATACAGAATGAAAAATGAGACGAAGATTTAAACGTACAGCAAGTAAACTCTTGTTTACTAAAAAGTTTCTTCCATTAAATATTGATTTAATGAATTTTGTTTTGCTAATTTAAAACTTTAAAGTGGTAAAGAAGCCATATATTATATTTAATCGCGTGTTTTTCTAAGAGAAATTTTGAAATTACAAATAAAATTCCAGTTGGTAAAACAATCTGTCACCATTATAAAAACATGTTGAAAAATGCAAATATTTTTTTCCCTCTTGTTAAAAATAATCTATAAAAAAAATATTTTTTTGGAAGATTTAATGTTGTATCAAGAGTCATAATTAAAGAATTGATACGGTTGATTTTGTAAGCATGAAGAATATTACTTAATGTCTATTTCAGGTTCAAAATAAAAGACTTTNTTTTTTAAAATACAATGAGAAATAGATAACTCTGAAATAGAAAGATGACTTTCAGACTGAAGTTATGAAATCCAAATAGTCCAAAGAACAATAGACACAGCAACAGCAGCAGACCTATTTAACTTAATATGTGATTTCATGAGTTAACAATTTTAAATATACGAGAAAAGTGCTATAATGTCGTCTTCCTGTTTTACAGTTTTCAGGTTCTCACTGTATTGCTTGCAACTATGATAAATTTTAATTTGTGGCAAAAACTCAATTTCGTTAAAGACAGCTGGTCAAAGGGGTTATTTACATTATTTTATATAACGGTCTAATGATTTAATGGCAATTCTAAATTTAGACTTTTATGTCTTTCCAAAAAGTTGTTTTTCATTGTTTTTAGAATTTTTGATTGGTTTCGATAAAAGGCAATTAAAAATTGTCTTCTATCATTTCTAAACATTAAAACTTTATATCGTTTGGAGCAATGGAGATAGATATTCTATAACTTCAATATATATTCATTTAAAATATAATATTTTCATCACGTTTCAACCATAAAGAAGTATCAGAAAAATAGTAAAGAAAAAACCAAAACGAAAATATCTTAATCCTTTATCTAAAAACATTTTCAGAACCATTTAATAAGCTGCTGCCAATCAATTGTTTACTGCACATGAAAGCATTTCTACATTCCAATGTAGCAAGTTTTTAAATGTCAAAACTTTGTCTGATTTCAAATTATTATCCAATGCAAATTGTACAGCGGTAGCTTTATTTCATACCTGCAATGAAAATCAGTATTTATAGTTTTTTTGGGTTTCTAGTTTTAAGATTCTGAATAATTTCAGAGTTACCAAATGATGGAAATGCGAAGAACGATTTAACAACCAGAGGGGTAGAAAACTTATTTAAAGGAACTGAGTTTTTGCCACAAACTCAAATATTCTTATCCCTATATCTTGGCAACCCAATGTCGTAGACCTTAGATATTTCAAACTATCAATTCTGTTAGACCAAATAATCTAAGTTTGAAATATCAAAGGTTTATACCCACTGGTTGCAGAGATATAGAAATCAGAAAATTTGAGGTTGTGGCAAAAACTCAGTTCCTTTATTTGTTCTTTTTTGTAAAAAGCTGAGGCCACAGGTTTCCTATAAAATGATTAGTGGAATACGATTAAAAAGACAGTCACCGTTATTTCAAGTGAACCGCGGCATGTACGTGTAAAAGTCACAACGGGAGCCCAAAAACAGTTTTTAAAAAAAAAACGAGAAATACATGTCTTCATCTTTAAAAACTTTTTTACATTTAGGGTCCATCCTTAAAAGTAACTTTCGGATTTAGCCACAAAAATGGAGGAAATTGTAAAAGTTACACACTTTTCATGATGGAACAACATCGATATTTTCTATATTAACGATCAGACCATGGCCATCTTTAAAGGGAGTGCTTGCGAAAAATGAAAGGGGGTATAGGCTTACGGCAAAAAATTATCGATAGTGATCGCTACTAATCTTACTTCTATCTGTTGCGTCTATAAGGAGAAAATTGTTTAAAACGACTCTTACTGACTCGTACAAATTCAGAAAGATGCAACATTCGACTCGGATCGTAACAAAATCAATTTAATTCCTAGCAAATCATTTAGATATTACAACTTATAATAATCGATAATTTTTCGACGCATTGGTACTAAGTTGATATTTCATAATATTTTTTGTTTTGTTTTATATGCAATGCACTTAAAACGCCCACAAGTTGGCTGCCAGGTGTATCTGCTCTCGATGCTGTGAATGATTCCACGTGGCAGAGACACCTCGCGAAAAAAATTGTCGTTTTAAGTTTATTGATAGTTATTCGCAATAAGCCTATAACACCTTTTATTTTTCGCGAACGCTCCCTTTAAATAGACGGTCACTTAAAAATTACAATTACAGTCCCTTTTAATGATACTTTATAAACATTTCTTCTATGCATATTTCAGCAAACCCTGACCATGTGATGATCCCAATTCTTGTAAGTATTTCTCTGGTTCCGATGATAGTTCTCTTCTTAATATGTGTTATCAGGTATTCCTTGCTTTTCATCTAGATATATATTTTTCATAAAAAAAATAAACTCGTGGATATTCTTGGGGATGACATGAGCTAAATAAATTTTAAGTTTTTTGTTTTAATTCGATTTTTAAAATTCCACGGGCATCCCTGGAACTTCAGCTAGTTTTTTATAAAAAGAAAGATTACAGAACGGCGGTTAAGTAAATTAGATCAAATAAAAAAAAAATGGTCTTTCACTACCTCCAAACTTGGCATTTAAAAATAATTGTTTTACTTCGCTATCCCTGATAGCGCCCATCCAATTAGGATGAATGTGCATTCTAAATAGATTTTTCATTCGGACCTCTGTCATGGTGGCTCTGGTTTACGTATACAATCTTCATAGTGCTCTAAATAAACAGCAAACTAATCTTTTATGTTCTTCACTCTTGAGTTTAAGATTTGAAAAGTGTGAAAGATCTGAGTTCTAGGGGGGCACTTCCCCCCTTGCCTCCCCTGTATACGCCCTTGGCTATAGACAACATAAACTTGTATACAAATATTCAAATATATGCATATATGAGGGAACAGAATTATTATATGAATAAAACGTTGGTAGATACTAATTGTAAGTAGAATACAATGTTATTGAAAGAAAGAAGATTTTAATAAACATAATGTTTTCCGTTGTTCTTATCTTTAGTATAGTTCTGTCTACATTTCTATTATTGCAAATGTATCAAACAATATGTATAAGTTATAAGAAACATGTATATAATATGTTTTTATGCTCTCCTCTGGCTGTTTTGGTTGCTGGAGATAGTTGGAAGATAACGATCATTAATGGTTTCTTTACAATACCATTCTTAGTTATCATTTGATTCTCACTCCCCCCCCATAGTTGGCATATATCTCCATAGCTAAAAAAAGATGTGCAGGATATGCATGCACACTTGTACGCGTAAGACTTCGTTTCATAGGTAGAGTTTTTTTTTGCTATTTTTTCTTCAAATTATGAGAATCATTTTTTACAATTTTTGTTAGAAGAGCAAGGTAATATGAAACCTTAGATTAAACCTACTGGTTTTATTGCCTTCATATTTTAAATATTAAACCACGTAGGAGTAAAGAATGTACTGTATTATATACACATTATACACTTTACACCCCCCTCCCTTCCCCTTGCAGGGAAGCCATGAAAAAGCTCATAGGTGTTCTTTTTCTTTTAAAAACCATTAATGTTGTTTTCCTTATCTTAGCATTGTATTCCACTCAGGAAAACATGATTTTTGGACATTTTTAGCTAATTTAGCAGCAAAACCATTTCTTTTTTATCGCGATGCATTTTCTCCTTGAAAAAATATTCTTAATTTATCTTCAGAACTGGTCTATCTATGAGCATTAAAAAAAACGATAGGAAAATCTCAAGTTGGTTTTAATTTTGACCGTGCTGTAAAAGTTTGATTTTAACGTTTGTAATTGTCATAACTTTGTCAGGTTTTGACTGCCATGCAGGGTGAAGTAAAAGAAACAATTGCGGAAAATTTTCTTTGATGACGGTCAATCTCGAAACATTAAAAATATGTTTTCGCGTGATTTTTAAGAATTTAAATGTATTTGATTTTTAATATCTTGTAAAGGTTGTAAAATTCCGATATTATTTTATTTGTAAAAACTGATATTCAGACCGAAATGTATTTTAACTTTTTACGTTTAATTGCAATATTGAATGGTTTCAATTTTATAAAATAGCATAATCTTTAAAATGCTTTTAAGTTAAATGGTTTGTATTAGAAAGTTGGAATTTCCATTACTATGTCAAAAATGATTTATTAATAAAGTAGCTGGCGTTTTTTAAAAAATCCTTAAATTATTTTTTTTTTTTTAAATGCCCTAAAAATCAGGTTATTTTTCTGATGTTAAGCGAAATAATAATACACAGATTTAAAATTTAGGATTCATCTTTCTTGAACAACTCTAAACAAGTTTTACGTATCCATTAATCCCCCCCCTTTCCCCATATATAAAATCCGTAGATTAGAAAACAGATAAATACAACAATAGATGATATACACATTGTCTACGAGTAAATTACTAATGATACTTAATGAGGTTTTAAAAGTGTCGTTTGATTTTGTGTAATGTGTATGCACGAAATCTTAAACTATTATTTAGGTATAAGAATGAAACAAGAAGAAAAAGATCCAAACTTCTCTCAACGGTTGAAGCTAAGCGTAAGTTTTAGTTGATGAAACTTTAGTTAAAAAGTTGAAAATTGTTTTATTTAGAACCAGTCCGAATTGTCAGATTTACAGAATTTTCTCTGTACACAGTGGACGAGGAGGGACGAGTTCAATCCTCTCCGGACCAAATGAAATCTACTCCGTTTCCTCCTTCCCATCCTTTCATCTCCTCAGTCGAAACTCAACCTGAGAACGACTTAGAGATTTCTGAACATCTCTTGCCAGAAAGTTCTAAAATTAAGGGAGACAATTTAAGATCTTCATAATAAGTAATTTAGGGAGAAATCGTGAATACAGAATAAGGATCTAGATTATTAAGGCAGAATTGTGATTTAAAGGGTGTACACTGTCTTTTCAGTTTTTTGTCCACATATCAAGAAATTGAAGAAAATGAAGAAAGACATGACAAAATAAAGCATGCATAAAAGCATATTTACTTTAAAATGCTATACTTAGGCAAATTCTTAAGATAAGTAAATTGTAAGCAAATATTATAACAATTTTTCTACAGTACAAGAAACTAAAAAAAAATCTTTTATTACTTTATAGTATGTGGAACAAGGAAAAGACTGAAACATTCCTGAGGAATTATGATGATTGTGCATTGTGCCCTCAACAGCCATTTAAAGTTCTATATTCCGAAACACCCAGCTATTTATATTTTGAAATTTTAAAAACTGTTTTATTAACCTTTTTTTGGGAAAACTTTCGGTTTTTCAGTTTTATATTACTGATAAACCTTTCCCTTCTTTTTAGTGAAAATATGTCGTGCAGCTGTACCCTCTGAGTAAGATTTTCCTGAAGGCCTTTTTTTTCTGTTTTAACCTAATTTCTTCAGAACTTTTTATGGTATCAAGGAATTTTTTATACTTTTGTTGATAGATGGTGCAGATTATCATCTTTTATTGATAGATGGGGCAGGTTATCATCTTTTATTGATAGATGGGGCAGGTTATCATCTTTTGTTGATAGATGGGGCAGGTTATCATCTTTTATTGATAGATGGGGCAGGTTATCATCTTTTATTGATAGATGGGGCAGATTATCATCTTTTGTTGATAGATGGGGCAGGTTATCATCTTTTATTGATAGATGGGGCAGGCTATCATCTTTTGTTGTCCCCTACCTCCATTCTATATTTCGTCGACTGCAGGTGTTTTGAAACAATCTAACGTCAGAATTCATCAAGGAATGTTTTTTTCTCTTCCTTGTTTCATATGTACCAAATATTTTGCGAAATTTTTGGTTGTTTAGTTGATTTGTATGTGGCCTAAAAACTGAGAAAACAGGGGTTTAGGTGTAAACTAAATCGTTTACAATAGAGATACATTTATCTTTTGTGTTTATATATAGTTTAAATATTTTATACGTAAAGTAAAGAGCTCCTTATAAAATACATAATTTTTTTGCTTTTGCTATTTATTTTTATTTGCTTTTTAAGAGCTAATATTAATCTTAAATTATTTTTTCTCCTTCTTAAATTGGATTAATCTTAACCCAAGGGCACCTTGAGCGCTTGAAACTTGACTTCCTTGACTCCTTAGAACTTTTAAAATTATGACAACCAAGAAACTCTCATATATTAACAGATTTACACAACGTGTTTGTTCAAGCTGATCCCTAAGCTTTACAAGGAATTGAGACTGATTGATATACCCAATTTATTGATAATCTTAACCCAATTCCTTTAGTAAAAGATTTACAATTTTCTCCATTCAGAACCCAGAGAATAGTTGGAGATGTAAACATCATCAGAAACCAAAAAGCAAGCACAGTAAATGTGTACAGACGTCGCCTAAAGAAACTCAACGTATGCCTTGTATAGATCCAGCTCCCAAACAGACATTGAGGTTCATTCTCAGACGATAAACTGCAACAAAACATGAACAAAATTCCTGTCCTGGTTCCAGTAATGGTTTTAACTGAATAATACCGTCGTGGATTTTCAAAATTTGGGTTTAAGTGAATGACCGAAAAGTTTTTTTGCTGACATACAAACGGAATGCAAGGAAATGAAAACATTGTGCAGTGTCTTTTCTTAAAATAAAAACTTTAAATGACTTTTGGTTATTAAAGTATAGTGTTTACATAACGAGGAGGTGTCTACACTGCATTAATACACTGCTATATAATTATTCTTGATAGACCACGAATATTACAAGGTCGCCACATTTTCAATCAATTTTGTATCTAGGCTTAAAATTAAATAGAAAAACTAAATGATTTGATGATTTTAGTATTTTACAACTTCTAAACCCTTTTCTCCAGAATTGCCAAAACTTTTACAAAGGAATTGAGTCTTTGCCACAAACTCTGATTTTCTAATCACTATATCTTTGGAACCACATGTTGCAGACCTTAGATATTTCAAACTATGAATTCTGTTAGATCAAATAATCTAAGATTGATATATCAAAAGTTTACAACATCGAGTTCTAAAGATATTGAGGTTTAAATATTTGATTTTGTTCCAAAGACTCAATTTCTTTCCCTCATTAAATGCTCTTTCATGCAGCATAAATAAAATAAGAAAAAGTATTTAAATATATAGAAAGGGATTTTTTTCTGTTGTTTAATTTAAGCACTTCTTTGTTTGTTTTTCCACAGAAAACACTAAACAAGTACGTAAATCAACCTAGAGAACAAAGGCCCGTTTTTAATTATATGAGATAAATAAATGTATTTGACACAAGAATAGTTAACATGTTTGATAATATATCCAGATCCTTAATAAGGGATGAAATGGAGGTACAAAAGAAAAGAAAAGATGTAATTGTAAATGAGAAAGTTTATTGTTGGAATAAATAAAATACGTTCATTATTACATATTAGTCTTCAGACTTCACTCAACATTATTAGTTTCTGGGTTAGAACAATCGTGTAAGTAAAAGCATGACAAACAAATGTCAAAAATAAAGCTACACTTTATCTATGGAAAGATTGCTTTAGATGAAATTGGTTTACTGGATCAGATTGGAAATAAAACAGAGATTAGAAAAAAGTGTTAGAGATAACTTTTATTCGTATTTATTTAACGAACAACAATGCCAAAATAATTTATGTTTTTGTTCACTAAAGTTTTTAAAAGTTTGAAGATCAAATTAGAATGACATTCCGTTTATCTATTTCTGTCTCTGCATAAAGTTGTTTTTGCTGGAAAGTAAAATTAAATTTAAACTCTTTACAACCTGCATTTTATTCTTTTATTATAAGTTTAGTGGATAAAGTAGAAAAACGGAAATCAATTTAGAGAAGATTTATTATTATTATAGCAAGATTTCTCAAAAAAGGCTTAACACTGTAAAAATATCTACAATTCTATCGCGATCGTCGAAAATAAATATGGTAAAAAAATGAGATAAGTAGTTCAAAACTCTCTAAAAAAGAGATTTAGTATTAATGTCTCTAGCATCTTGCTTATTTTATCCATTTTGATGTGTGTTTTCCCTTTCTTTTGTTGTTCAAGGTTCGATAGTGAATTTTTTATGCAGAATTGAAATCCTATTCCGATGCCGTTTTTTAATATTTTAAATGAATCCTTTACAACATTGTTTTGAATATTGAAAATTTCCTCCTTTTAAAATGAAATACAATATTTTTTAATTAAAGTAATATTGACAAAATATTCAAATAACTGGCAAAAAAACTTACTTTTCCTTCACCCGGCCAGGCCCCCTTCATTCCCACTGTCTCTAGGGTTCTGCAATACAGATAAGTTATGTTTGGAAGTAAACCTAGAAGAATCTAAAATATATATTGAATATTGGCTACTGTTACCGGAAAGAAAGATGATTAAAGTATATATATTTCTAGATTCAAATCTCTGCCAAATATACAATTCTATAAACTATTTTTTATCAATTTGGACAATTATGATGCTTTCACATGTAATTTTTGATGCTTTGTGTAACCTAACATAACCCAAGCTGCGGAAACTCTAAAATATCATTAAGCTGTGTAGGAAAGCATAAAAAATGTTCCTTTTTGAAAATACTAAAGCATCAAAACCGTCACTTAAAGATATAATGGCCACAGAATCCAGATTAAGTTACAAGAGGACAAAAACACCTTCCTCTACATCAGAGATAGACAAGAAGTTCACTATCAGAATAATATTTTAGAAGTTTTAAGGATGAGGAAGTTGTAGACCCCATACGAGTAATGATAGGGAAGTTTGAAACTAGGCAATCCCAAACCATCACTAAGCCCTGGCAAGAGTTTTAAAGGTAAATATGAACTCCAATTGCTGTGCTCAAGGTGTTTTTAGGTTCCTCTACCTATTTTCAATTTAGAGAAAATAAATCTCCCAGTGGTTAATAAACGGCAGTTAAAAGTGTGTCCAATTTGTGAAGAACTAAACAAACAAATGACCCGTCATATCAAGGTAACATTTTGAGATAACCATATTGTTTGTTTTTTCTTTCTTGCAAACATGAAGGAATTTCAACTGTATGTATTTAGACAGTTCACAAGAATGTTCCCCAAACAGAAACCAACGAACCTTTAAAATATGTTGGATTTTACAAGAAACAGCCAGGACCAAGTAAAGGCAGATGGCCCATCTGTAACGAGTATAGATCAGACTTACACATCACTTGAAAAAAAAGTATCTGTCTTTTTTTTTGGCCAAAGCAGGCTCAAGTTTCATTGATGGAATCAGTCCTAGGAAGAAAACTCCCTTACATACTTCTTTGGTTAAAAAATGTATTGATTCCAGGTAAATCACTTTGTCACAAAAGGGTTAAGAGAATACAACCTTCAACAAAGTACTGTAAAAAAGCGAAAACTTGGATATTAAAGTTCCATACTAGAATGCTTATGAGTGCACGATTTTTCAGACCAAAGTGAAACATTTTTTGATAAAAAACACAACATTTCTATTCAAGGTTATTCAAGAACTAACGGTTTTGCTTATTTTCTATATTGAAGATAGACAATTCCAATTTAACTTTTATAGTATTCATTGGCTCAAAGTAGTATTTTGAAGAAACACATGGAAACTTCATTTATATTCAAAGATAGTCGTGAACTGACGGTTTTCTTTATTGTCTAGGCTCTAGGTCATCCTGGGTCAAGATATTGAAGATGCCGTTACTACAGATAAACAATCCCAGATAAAGTTTTATAATATTCATTAACCCATTGTAATATTCTGAGAAAGCACATGGAAACTTGATTTTTATTTAAAGTTAGTAATCGACTTGTAAAGCTATGTTTCTTACACAGTACTAATCATATTACCATTTAGAAACCAGACCCTGAGGAAGGCCATCCAAAAAAATGGAATATGAAGACAACATTATAACAATACTTAAGTACATTTGATGTTGTTACAGAGCAAATAGTTTTCAGTGACACTTATTAGATCACTTATTTAGTAAAATAGGTCTTTACATTTTACACTGCCCAGTTGCTGTGGTTCATTTGACTTTTTTAAGATAAACCTTGATTCTTAAAGGGAGTTTTTGCAAAAAATGAAAGGGGGTATAGGCATACGGCGAAAAATAAGCGCTTTTGATCGCCACTAATCTTAATTCTATCTGTTGCGTCTATAAGGAGAAAATTGACTCTGATTGTAAAAAAAATCAATTTAATATCAAACAAATCATTTAGATATTACAACCTTTATTTATCGATTATTTTTCGATGCATTCGCATATAGTTGAAATTTCATAATATTTTGTTTTTGTTTTATATCGATGCTCTTAATGATTCCACGTGGCAGAGACACCTAGCGGAAAAAAATCGTTGTTTTAAGTGTAAATAAAAGAAGTTAAAAATATTATAAAAATTTAAATTTATACAAATGTGGCGAAAAAAAATCAATGGCTATAGGTTGTAATATCTGAATGATTTGTTTGAAATTAAATTGATTTTTTTACGATCCGAGTTGTGGATTGCAACTTTTTCAATTTGGGTGGATGCTACGTTATTTAGCATCAGTAGTTCTTTTTAAAAATTTTCTCATTATAGACGCAACAGATAGAAGTAAGATTAGTAGCGATCAAAAGCGCTTATTTTTCGGTTTAAGACTATACCCCCTTTTATTTTTCCGAACAGCCGTCTTCTTATTCCAAAGTGTTCTGGTTATCACTGTACTTCGCACTATTCTCATTTTCTACTTGGCCACCCTCAAGAATCTCCAGAAGGCCTGTGACCATCTTCCAGAAAAAAAGTAAATAGAATGCTGATAGGCAATGTGTACAGGGAAATTGTACAGTCCCCTCAAAATTTGACGAAAAGGTCAACATGTACATATAAAGAAGAGGGGGATTTTTGTAGACGTTATTTTGATTATGAACCAAAATTATGAATCAAAATTTAGAAAATAGTTTTTAAGCCTTTGTCCATGGTCCAAGGAACTGTAGACGTAATATTTAGTTCATAGAGGGCCCCTATAAGCTTTGTATTATTAAAAAAATGATCACGATATTTTAACTTTAAAAGTAAAAGGAACTGGCAAAAATGGTCAGAATTCAAACATTTTCCAAGCTAGCAAAACGACGATATCTTTCAAATTATTGATCAGACAAAGGTTTTAAAGAGTACCGTTGTGAGTAGGGCACGCCCCTCTTTAAATGAAGGGTAAATAAAATTTATTACGATAAACAATTAAAGCTTTTGAATTTTCAAAAAATCCATTATCATATACAAAACTTTTTTGTCCAAAAATATTTTTATGTGCTTCAATTTAAAAATTTTACTCAGAAAAACTGTTATTTTTTCTCACAAGCAATTTCTATTTATATTCATATGCATGATAGAAATTTAACATCCAATGTGCCTCTGTTCATGTGATAAGTGAATTAACTTGGAATGAAAGGCCAAAAACGAAAAATTATAGGGAAAAAACAGTAAAAATAGCCATGTTTTTATTTCTTTTTACTTTAAAAAGCTTATTTGTTAACTGAACGGAGAGTACTAGACAGTAGACACAGTTAAATTAAATGGTAAACCAATATCTAAAATCTTTATACATTATCCAACTAGAAAGAAACAAATTCTAAATCTGACGAAGCTGTAAGAATAGTTTTATAAAGAATGTACAACATGGTGGGCTTAACCATTTATTAATGAAAAAAAAACAATATTTTAATTGGGTTTCTAATTATTGTTAAGTACTCCGCAACTCCATTTTTTTCTTTTCTCAAAGATTTCTTGAAATAGAACTTCATGATTTTCCTGATTTCCTTCACTTGTGAACTTCATGCAGATTATGTTTAAGCTTAAAGTATATGATTATCCCTTGCCATCTTCCTATTACAGGGGAAATGTTAAAGTTCAATCTTATGAAATCCTACATTTATAGATGACGGTATCTTTCTGTATTTTATAAAGATTTAAAAAAAATGTATGATGAAAAACGTTGAAAATATGTTGCCTGATGACGCTTACTTTTACAATTCTGTATAACAAATGTGATATTTATGTGAACATCAGAGCATAGCTACTTGTCCGCAAATAGTACAGGGATTGGAATTCTCTTTCAATTACAATTTCTACTTATTTTAAAATTGCATAAAAAATGTGATGTTTCATGTAATCACCGGAGTTTAGCAAATAGCACAGGGATTAAACATTTTCCCCTTTCAATTTTAATTCTTTAGATTAAATGTTTTTCGTAATATTTTCAAGTGCAGAGTAAGAAATGAGGTTTCATATAATTCTTTTATGCATTTTAAAAAGAAGACTTCCGGCAATCGGATCTTCTCCAGGCTGTTAAAACTAAGTTGTATTATACATTTTTTTCATATTATTTTATTTTCATTTTTTAAAAGAAGAATTCGAGCATTCGGATCTTCTCCCGGCTATTAAAAATAAGTTGTTATCATAAAGTAATAAAACGAAGAGGTGAAGCTTAGCTCAGATGTACGCAACTGACCAGAGCCCGAAATTTAAAAGAGTATCGTTGAACGAAACTTCCGAGTTTCCTTTTTGGGGTCTTATTATTTGTGTAGATTTTGATTTAAGAGATTTGATAAAAATGGTAAGATATAGAGGATTAAATAAAATAATATTTCTAAACTAAAAAACTTACTTTTTTACAAGAAGAATTTTTCACAAACGATATCAAAATTTGGTCATACTTTTTATAACATAAACAAACAACTGAACTATCCATATTCTGTATTAAGTGTCTATCTAATTATCGATTCTAATTTTCAATTATCTACATTTTATTACCCCAAAGAAATACGATCAAACTCTATACCAGTGTTAGATTCTTAAACATATCGTGATGTACACAACCGACCTCTCTATTAATTAATTAATAGGGTGGTCGGTTGTGTACATCTGAGGTTAGCTTTACCTCTTCGTTTTATTACTCTATGGTTGTTATATAATTGTATAATAACTGTGATGTTTCATGCGATCACCTGAGCTTGGCTACTTGCCGCCAAATAGCACAGGGATTGGAGGTTTTTTTTCTGGATTCTTTTTAATGAAAATACCGGGCAAAACTGGTGAGTTCCTGGTCCAGTCTGGTGTTCAAAATGCCAAGGATGGATTCAGTGACATCCTCCTGATTCTGGATCCCGGTTCTCAGGTAATAAAAGGCCTTTTTCTTCTGAGAGTAGAGGAGATCTTGACAATCAGTGAACCGGTTGGATGGACGCGTCCAGAACCTGGATTCTGGTTGCTGACACAACCATGTCTACAAGGGCCGTGGTTTGCTCAAACCTCCTAGCTTCAGCAATGGTTGGTGCTAAAATGTGAGAAAAAAAATGCTATCTTCCCACACCAATGTGTGATAAATGCTTTTGTATAACTGAAACAAAGAAACTGAGATCTTGCCACACACTCAAATTTGCTCAGCTTATTTTCTTTGCACACTTTTATATTTTAAATTTTGTCTGTTTGATCCAAGAGAATTTATAGTTTGAAAGGGTCTAAGACATCAGGTTGTAAAGATAAAGGGCTTAAAAAATTAGAGACAAGATCTCATGGATTTTGAAGTCTGGCTCTGATTGGATTTAATCCTTTGAGTATTCTCGTACCTGGATGGGCTGAGGCTTGATGCCTGGCAACATCTTGAAGTGCAGCATATCGAAGGTCACAGACCTGGCAGACATATGGGTACTACTCTCTCCGGTTGCGTTTTCTAAGCTGGTCCCCACAGTAATCTTTTGATACAGTGGTCTCTCAAAAAAATCTTTTGATATAGTGGTCCCCAAAAAATCTGTTGATACAGTGGTCCCGAAAAAAAACTTTTGATACAGTGGTCCCCCAAAAAAATCTTTTGATAAAGTAGTCCCAGAAAAAGTCTGAGAATACTGTGGTCCCCCCAAAAAAACTCTTGATACAGTGGTCCCCAAAAAAATCTTTTGATACAATGGTACAGAAACAAATCTTTTGATGCAGTGGTCCCCAAAATAATCTATTGATTTAATAGTCCCCCAAAAAATCTTTTGATAGTTTCCCCCAAAAAAATCTGTTGGTACTGTGGTTACCAAAAAAATCTTATGATACAGTGGTCCCCAAAAAATCAATACTAGGGGAGCTACGAGGTCACAAAGTCGTACCAGTAAAATCAAAACTAGAGGAGCAACGAGTTAACAAATTCGTACCAGTGAAATCAAAACTGTAGGAGCTACGAGGTCAAAAAGTCGTATCAGTCTAATCAAAAATGGTAGAGCTTCATCAATCATCAATCATCATCAATCATCAATCATCAATCATCATCAATCATCATCAATCATCAATCATCATCAATCATGATCTCCTTGACCTCAGATCTCTGCAGAACAGAATACTGAACGGAGCAAGGTTCTTGGAAGTAGCCCAGGGGGCGCAACCATGACATTTCAAGGTTTCAGGAATAGAGCTTTCACGACTGCATATCCGGGTAGTACACACATCCTTAGGATACACACAGAAATAATATAACTTGTCTTTATCTATTTGTTCCATCTCTCTGCAGGACTCATTGAGAAGAATGCCGCACAAGTATTCAGTTCATGCTTGTGATCACCAATAGGGCATGGAAACTTCAGATTAAGCCGTTTACTATTGCTTGTTGTGATACGTTGCAAAGACTTCAGCACTAGTATCATCATCAGACTCCTGGATCTTGAAAGCAGACTTGGGTTTGGATCTGGGAGATCTTGGTTTAGATCTCAGGAACTAACTCTCTCCAGAGCTCTGGAACCCTCAGAGGTTCTTGAATACAGCATAAGCTTCAGCTCCAGTAGGATTCTTGTAATCCAACCCATTCTTGGTCATCTCAAATATCCAGGTCATATGGCTTTGTTAGGCAGGATCAGAAACAAACTATTCAAAGTTACTCTGAAGTACAAACAACTCTTAAGCTCCAGCTTGTTTATCTCAGCTATCATTGATAATCTCTCCACACGTTATAGAGCACTGGAGATATAAGAGAAGAACAAGTACTTGGGATTACTATCATAAGCTCCAGGCTTATGACGGAGAGATAGATCATTGATAATATCGCTGATAATCCTCGAAAAAATGTCAGCCCATTAGGTTCAACTGTTTGGCCGGCTATTAGGAACATATATATACAAATGTCTTGTTTTATAATGTAGATATATATATATACGTATTTATATTTTTCGGGAAAGAAACTAATTAATCATTTCGTGCTCTATTTTTCTGATCCTTATATCTTTCTAACCTGATGTCGTAAACCTTTTATTGATAGAGGTTGAACTGTTTATCCCAAACCATCGCTCCATCTCTTCCCCCCATTTAACACACAGATCTGCTGAACTCTGTACCTCTGTTCCTTTTTATTTCAAAATCTAATCGTAAACTGCATATTAGATCAAATAATCAAAGTTTGAAAAATGCATTTGAAAACTTTCATATTTGGCAAGTAAACAATTCCTTTTGTAGCTGTACATAACATAAATGAAGAAAAAAGATTAGTGTACAAATATTAGTGTACAAATATTAGTGTACAAATATTAGTGTACAAAGTATGTTTTTGGTTTCTAAATTGTAATTTTTCCCTTGAAAAGGAATTGAGTCATTGCCACAAAATATCGTTATAACTTTGCAGCCCAATGGCGTAGACCTTAGATGTTTCAAACTATGAATACTGGTAGTTTTACACTATCCAGTTGCAGAGATATTGGGTTTAGAAAATCTGAGTTTGTGACAAAAACTCAATTCCTTTGTAAATTTTTCGATACCAAATGTAGAATTTTTTGTAGCAAATGTAGCTACCAAATCGGTCTGTTTCCAAATTGCCACGTTTCCACAATGACAGTTAAGTTTCATAAGTTGGCGGGATACAAAATCTGAAGTTTACTGGAATGTTTGGTTACAAAGTTGTGAGGTAACCAAATTGTTAAATACAAATTATAAGTTACCAAACTCCGGCCATAAAAAGAAGAGTTTATGTATCGACTTATTAATATAAAGTAAAAGTAAATTAACATAGTGTAAAATGGAAACTAGGGCAAGGATTGTGTTGTAAAGGAGATTTAGGCTGATTATAGTTCAGTCCTATTTGTATAAAGATGGATTCGATAAGAATAATCAATAGACCGAGCACAACCTCAAAACCATTCCTCCTTTAGTTGCAACATTGATGCAAGGAAAGAAAGACAAAAAGTTACACATTTATTATAAAAGATGCATAAAATCATGTGATAGGTCTAAATATATATCTCCTTATTTGAACAAATCTATTGAATATTTTGTTGTTTTAAACAAGTTTTAAAGATGTCGGATCGAAGGAGAGAATTACCTGAAGAAAAATCAGAAGAAGATACTGAAGAAGAGGAAGAGGAAGAGGACGTGGAAGATGAAGAGGATGAAGAAGAAACAGAGGATGATAATCAACACACAGAAAAAGTATTTGTTTTTTAATCAAAAAGCTACAGAACCCTTGTATTCATAATATCCTGTCTCCTTAAAGGGAGTGTTCGCGAAAAATGAAAGGGGGTATAGGCTTATTGCGATAAAAAAGCGCTTTTGATCGCTACTAATCTTACTTCTATCTGTTGCGTCTATAAGGAGAAAATTGTTAAAGACGTCTCATACCGAATAATTTAGCGTCCATACAAATTGAGAAAATTGCAATATACGTGAAGGACTGCAAACTAAAATAAACTTTCGATTTGTACTGCTGTGATCTGAAGTATCCCTGGCCGAAAGAAAACAAGCTTTTAGTGGAGAGTAAGTGACAGGCTGGGTATGGTTTTGGAAATTAGGATTAGAATATTAGGATTAACTACGTTATATGATTACTGCGTAAGAGCGTGAAAGCATTTCTTAACATTTCGCCAGAAAGATTTGTAGAGGGAGTCCGCCCCGTGAAGCGTATTTACCAATTGTTTGATAATTTTAACGAAAATCATAAAATAGGTTCTGCAATGAACTAATTCAGTTTTAAGGAACATATTTCATCAAAGGAAATTATCGATAATATTAAATCAATGTTAGAATTGATTTTTTTTTCTCATCATTATCTTGATTTTTAAATTTTTTTAAAAATGAATTGAGTCTTTCCCACAAACTCTTATTTGTTAGTCTCTATATCTTTGCAACCCAATGTCGTAGACCTTTGATATTTCAAACTATGAATTCTGTTAGATCGAATCGAATTTAATTTTCAATTATCAGGTTGCAAAGAAATAAGGATTAGAAAAGGTGAGTTTGTGGCAAAAACTCACTTCCATTATTCGCAGATTTCATCAAAAAACTTTAAATGTCGCTTTAGAGAAATCTATGTTAAATATTTGGGATATTGGTACAATTTTACAGAAACAAATGATTTATAAAGTTTTCTATATTATCTATGGTGAGAGCTAATTTTTCGTTTCTTTCAATCTTATGTAGCAATTTTAAAATGTAAAAAACGTTTACAGGTATCAAATGAATACTGATATTTTATTTTACAATAAATACTGCACTCTCAATTTAATCTCAAAGCCTAGCTTGTTCCTCCCTTTAAAGGATGTGTTCGCGAAAAATGAAAACGTAAATCTATACCCTCTTTCATTTTCGCGACACTCCCTTTAAGAAAGCCATTTTTGTGAAATGCCACCATATAATTTGTTTATTATTTTATCGATTTTTATATTTTATTATTTTGAAGAAAGAAGATGCAAGATATTCTGAAGCTAAATTTGACAGGTAAAATGGGAGAAAGTCTCTTATACTGAAGGTTGGTTCGGTTATGCAAGAAATGTAAAATATAAATCTCTTTAATGTTGTTTTATCCTCCCAGACAATACAAAAAAAGTTTAAAACAACAAGGAAAGAATTAGTTTTACCCCCCAGAGTAATAGGAAGGGTGGCATATCCATCAGATCGATCGTTTCCTAGCCATGCATTAATGTTTAAAGATAAAGATTTTTTTACGGGAACACAATACAATTCTCAACTATTGAATATATGTATTTGCATTGTTCATTGAGGGGCCTTACACTTCAATCTTAATACGAAACATCGCTTAAGCAGTACGGCAATACTGTACACTGCACAGTTTATACATTTGATATATTTAATAACAAAATCTTTAAAATGTAAATAGAATAAATATTAAATAAAGGAACAGTTCTGGGGAAAATTTAGGTAACTAAGATGAAAATGTGAGTTAAGAACCCAAGCTCTTGGCTACATTGCTGTACTGATTAGAAACAAATGACATCTAGACTTTTGCAATATGAATTTATTCAGTTTGCGTAATTTTATTAGCTCGAAGTTTAAAGTATTCCGCAAGCTCTATTTATATATGTGCAATTGCAAATTTTCAAATATCATTTTTACTCTGAATTTAATTGAAGGAAAGAGAGATTTTTTCAAACATCGTATGAGAGGAGAGAAAGAGAAACAGTTTACTCAGGAAGGTAATAATTTTTTTTTTCTTTTTCAATCTTGAAATTCTTTAAATGTTACTGGTCAAGTCAAACAAATTTGTTGCTCTTTTTAAAATACATATTTATGTAAGTTTGGAACTTTTTTTGGATACCCATAACCCCGATCCACAGATCTCGATATCCACAATAGGAACTTTTGAATTTCACGGACAATCTGCTTGATTTATTGATTTCGAATGTTGCTTTCTCTTTTCTTTCGTTGGTTTAAGGAAAAAATTCTTGGTTTCCGATTGGCAAATAATCAAATAAATCGGTTTGAAACATCATTAGATCATGTTGCAAAGGAGTTGAGTTTTTGCCACAAACTCCAATTTTCAAATCAATTTATCTTTGTAACCGGCTGCTGTAAACCTTTTATATTTCAAACTTAGAATATTTGATCTGTCAGAATTCTTAGTTTGAAATGTCAAAGGTCTACAAGAACGGGTTGCAGAGATACAGGGATTAAAAAATCAGAATTTGTGGCAAAAGCTCAACTCCTTTGTATACAGGAATAAGAAAGGAATTGAGTTTTTGCCACAAATTGGTATTTTCTAACCCCTATATCTTTTAAACTTGATAATGTAAATCTTTGAAATTTCAAACTTAGACGATTTGATCTCACAGAATTAACAGTTTGAAATTAAGCAATTGTTTGAAAAATCAATGTTAATTTGATTTGAAGAAGTAGGTTTTAGTTCATAAAGAATTGTGAAATCTTCTTTTCATCAGACAGTGGTATAAAAACTTGACTGAAAATGTCTAATTATCTTGTTTTATTATAGTTTTTGTCGACGGTAAAATAAATACTAAATATCGCGAAAATTTTTTTTTTTTTAATTTAAAGTAGAATATTTTCGATGCCTGGATAATCCAAATAAAGAATGAAGTGAGCTGATGACCCCTTGATATATCGTATTCCAACAAGAATAAAAGTTTTTACATTGATATTTGCTAAAACCTTAACGAGAAGAATAACAGTAATTTGAATGACAAATTCAGGGACGGAGAGAAATGGCAAGAAACTGAACAGAACAAGGAAACAGATTTCATAAAAAAAAATTCAAACCAAAACATCGATCAATCTTTTGGAATTAACTTTCATGAAATTGAAACTTTTCACTTTATCAAATTTCAAACATTCCCGGTCCGATTTAGATAAAAGTAGGGTTTTAAACGCAATTTTTATTATTTAAGCGAGATTGTGCAAAGAAAATAAAGAAAATAAGAATTGTCGAAATTTAGACTATACATATTGAAATTTTTTTTTATTTTTTCGCCACGCCCTCGGGTTTATCATTGAATCCCTCGAGGGTTTAAATTTCCTTTGATACTAATTTGTCTGAGAGTAAATGATAAAAGTTTCACTATTTCTGGACAACTCGATGTAATTTGTTCATAATTTGTCCTCTCTTACGAAAGTAACAATAAACTATTACTTAAATGTTTTCAAGTCATCCAATCAAAATACTAACTAATATCTCTGGAAAACAGTGTGACAATAAGAGAATAACTATAAATATGAAACTAGTACAATATTTAGTACAATATTATAGTTTCGCTAAAAATCCAACATTGCACATCGTCAGGTGCAATATCGCTCAAAGTAATTGGAAACCTCAAATAAAAGTGTATTAGTATTCAGGGCTCTTATATAAACTGTATTATAAACTTCTTAATGTCATAACTTTTACGACATCAGGTTGCAAAGATATAGAAATTAGAAAATTGTTTTTGGTTCCATTTTCACTAAATTGGCGACAAAACACAATATCGCCGAACGTAATAAAAGCGATATTTAACGTTCTAAGAAAGCATGCAGCCCAGCGTTTTATTTTATACTTGAGTCGAGTTTTGTATTTCTACACATGTAGTAGGTCTCAAGTTTATAAAGGTTTCAGTTTTTTTCATTATATTAGATGAGCTTCAAGCATTTTCAAAAATTTAACTTTCTTTAGTTTTAATTCTTTAAAAATGATTAGTTAAGTTTTGATATATAGCATTTATTGTCACCTACAGTGGTATTCTGACTCATAGGAAAAATGTTTTCGGACAAAAGAACTGTGAAAACTTGCTTAAAACTGCAATGATTGTGATTAAAATATTGTGATTTTGCGGCATGCGTTCTGTTTCTATCCAATGATATCAGAGATGCTTTTTTAATTTAAAAATTAATTTGTCCTTTTAATAGTTAAATGCTCTGTTCTTTCTATTCGTTTGTGAGAGAAGTAAACTTATAAGTAGAAAAGAACGACGATCTTTTCAAAAGATTATACAAAAGTACCTGATTACTCATCTCAAAATCTAATTTTCTAATCCTTATATTTATGCAACCATAGACCGTATTTAATAAATTGCGAGAAGTCGTTGCACTATGTAAAAATGGTTCGACCACGTCTCTTATATGTCATGTTCAACTTGAAGAATTTGAAGTTTAAACTATCCTAGTAACTAAGAACCGAGTTCTGTTCCGGCCATTAGATTGATGATACGATAATTTCGGCATACTCTAAGTTTCGGCAAAGTAATTGAGTCGTTGTCGCAAACTCCAATTTTAATAACACAATATCTTTGCAACCAGATGTTGTAAATCTTTGATATTTTAAACTAAGATTATTTATAGTTTGAATTAATTAAGGTCTGCGCGCCATTGGGTTGCAAAAATGAGAAGTTTTGACAAAGACTCAAATCCTTGTCTGAATCTGCAGACTTAATACTATAGTGTTGGTCAAGATATTGAACTTTAAGTTGCTGATTCAGAATTGGATGCAGTTTAGTTTTTTCAACCCTCGAAAGAAATGCAGGTTTGAAAATGCTTGTGTTTGTAATATTTATTGTTTGAGTTTGTAAAAGTTTAGTGGGGGGGACTCTGTATATCTTTGATGTGAACTTGAAACAGATTCATAAAAATGTGTGAAACTATTATAAAATCTGTTGAAAATGGCAGAAAAATGAAATCTACAAAAAGATCTGCAAAAACATCAAACATAATTTAGGACTTATCAGCGCTAACAGAAAGGTTGGTTTTCATTTTTTGCTTTGGCATTTTTTATTTCCATAATAACATATATATGTGTACTATGTATGTATAAACAGTGAGTAGTAAGATATTATATTAGATTCTAAATTCATAAATATATTCAAATTTAACTTTCCACCATTCTGAATCATAGAAAACTTAATAGAACAATTGTGATCGAAGGAAGTTGTGGATGACGAGTAATATAATACAATTAAATATAATGATTTTAAGAATTAATGGGGTCAGATGGGTTTATTTTAAAAATAAGATTGAAGGAGAAAGAAGAATTTTAAGATAATTATGTTTAAAAAAAAATAAAAAAGTAGGTAATTTGATTATTTCGTATAGCCTAATCTCCTAAAAATGACCTTTATAAAGTAATATGAACTAAGTTGGAATGATTAAGATATATCATAAGAGAAAACAAGATAAAAGATAAATCTATTCCCTTTCGTTCTTACAAATTTACTCCCTCCCTCTCTCAATCAATCATTCATTGACTCCCTCACTCACTTACTTGCTCTCTCACTCACTCACTTGCTCTCTCACTTACTCACTTGCTCGATCTCACTTGCTCTCTAACTCACTCATTTGCTCTCTCACTTACTCACTTACTCTCTCACTTGCAATCTCACTCACTCACTTGCTCTCTCACTTACTCACTTGATCTCTCACTTACTCACTTGCTCGATCTTACTTACTCAATTGTAAGTGGCACACTACGTGTAGACTATACAGAGCTCATTGCTGTATATTTTTAGATAGATTAGAAATACACTTTTTAGATTCCATTTTAGTAATTTAAATATTTCTATTCTTTACCCCGACTCAAACCTACTTTTTTTTTTCAAAACTTACTTTATTGTTCCAGTTTACAACTTTATGCTGAGGTTCAGATTCTGTAATATTATAATAAGTAATAAATAGTCTTTTGAGATGTTAAATACGTTGAATTTTGATAATAATTAAAGTAAATAGTAAAAGAGAGGAAAAAAGTATTATTCATATTTTTCACTTTTTTCATCTGAAGCGATGTTCATCTTTCTTTTCCAGTTTTTTAACAAACGAACATTTTTTCATCAATAAACAAACATGCATGAATTATCCTCATACTCAAGGTTAAGGTGGACATTAGTGTTGTATTATTTTGCATTTAAATCATTTTAAAAATCCGCAAAGAAATTGATAATTCAAAAATGGAAACTCTAGTAAAAACTGATCATTAATCATAGTCCTATTATATATCTTTTTCAGTCGACAATAATGAAGGATAGACAAGCAGCATTATTTTCTATAATAGACTCCGCAATAAACGGTCCAATACAGGTTTCTACAGAGGAGGCATCAACAGTTCTTGGGATCAAAAGGAATATTCAAAATAAAACAAAGCTTCCAAGAATAAAGTTTTAGATAGTTTATAAAAGTAAATTAAAACTTAAATGTTTGAAACAATTCCACTTCAAACAAATTTTTGTTTGACTATTTTCAAACCAGTTCTTTCTTATGTTATACTTATCTTTTTTTTGGAATTTTGAATTTAGATCTTTTAGAGAAACAGTGGAGAAGGTGAGAAAACTGTCAGGTTTATCTAAACCTGGTGGAGCAAGAACAGAAAATAAATATCCTTCAAACGGATCAATGGGATCAAGATCAAGTTCAGGGTCTTACCCTTCATCGTTCCCCCCAGCTAAAACCGGAGTGTTGCATCACTTGCGAGATCAATTCAAAATCTTTTCTCGGCTCGGAGACAGGTTAAATATAATAATATTGAAAACTTAGACATTTGTTTGTTATATTATTGTTTAAATCAGACGGGGGAAGGGTAAACATATAACGCTGACTCAATCTGACAAGTGGTTGAAGCAGGCTCGGGTTGTGGATGGGAGAAATATTACAACTGTAGACACAGGAACCACAGTTATAGTCAACAAATGATCAAAGGGAAAAAAATGTTCAAATTTCAAAACATTCAACTTTTGTATGGCCACTCTTATATTAATTTTAAAGTGAAATGAAAGAGACACCTATTTATTAATTTATTGATGCAAGTTACTGGATCCAACTAATAATGGAAGGTGAAAAGTCCTTTGTCTTTAAATATCTGAGTCAAAAGTATCAAAAAGTTCTTATTTTTTGATAAATATGATTGTGAACCTGTTTTTTGAAAACATTTTCCTGTGAAATATTGACAAGTTGAATGAATACAGTATTAAAAATCTATAAAATGTTCGCAAATGACAATAATATTTGATATATAGGCTATTTTGCTTCTTTTATATATATATGGAAAACCTGCATCCAAAGTTTTCAGTTATCTAACAAACAAAGGGATATCTAAACATTTAAATTAATATTTTTCATAGTTAGGAGCTCATTCTTTATATCTGACAGGTTCATAATCAAAATTTAAAAGCATTTTTATTTACATCTGATTAGTGTTACAGATAATAATATCAATAATTCTTTAAATCCTTAAATATACAATTTAAGAAATAATTCCAATGTAAGATTATTTAGATTTTTTGAATTATTCTCCTTTTTGTGTTTTTGTAAAGATAAAGCGAAACCTTTCTTATCTTTATCATAACATCATATTTCAGTTGAACAAAAAAACTACAAACTCTCAAAGAAAGTTTTTAAAGAGATATCATGGTTTTGAGATAGATAAAATGATCAAAACTCCATTATGTTTGGTTAGTTTTAAAACAGAAACTTTATATAATATGAAATACCATATTGTTCGAATATATACCTAATAATAATGACAAAGAGGGTCTCACTGTTTTATTTTTATAAAGTTTCATTATATAATGTTGTACTAAAATTAAGTATTAACTGTGTAAAACTCTAGCCATTCTTTTCAAAAAAATGAGTAAAAACAATGCATGGATGAACTTCAAAGAGTGGAATAACTACGTGCAGCAAATTTCTGAGGTAAAATTTGTTTTATAAATAAAAAAGAACCTGGCTGTAATAAAAGAACCAAACACATGATGATATCTGTTCTCTTTCATTGTGTGTTCACTCCGCGGTTATTATTCTGCATAATGATTTTATTCAGAAATTCTCATAGAGTATGGAAAATTATCAAAAATATTTATCATTATCCCTTTTTCTCAAGCTATGGGATAAAAAGGGCTTTCCTTTGATCCACCTTTAAAAATATTCAAAATATTTTCTTAACGTGTGTGGTGAAATGAGTAGAAGAGAAGGAGCCTCCTTTTGGCTTAAATAGAAGTTTACTACGTTTTTAACAAAAATATAATCAAACTATGTCTTAGTTTTCTGTGTGAGTCTATTTACATTTTGTAGGAAAAGAATGTAATTATTACTATATTTATGTACATTTATCTTCAGAGCTTCTTGGTATAAATATTTCTTGGTTCCTGCAATATTTGCCTCCTGAGAATATGTAAAATATTTTGGCCAAACCCTATCAAAATCTATACGAATAATAGTCGGTTTATATATAGAACTGCAGAATATAATATACAAATCCTATGAAACAGAAATCAGATGGATTGCATCCCACTTGGCAACAGAAAACTGGATCCATTAAAGACCATTTAAAGTACAACGAGATAAATCTATTGTGCCCAATCCATTGACTCGAAGACGAAGTCAAGCATGGTGTTTTTTAAAGAATAAATGTTTTTTTTGAAAAATTTTTTTGAGTTAAATCTTATTTATACGCCAGCTTCGTTCTAAATCATTGATTACAAAGGAATTGAGTTTTTGCCCCAAACTCAAATTTTCTTATACCTATAACTGAGCAACCTGATGGTATAAAGCTTTGATATTTCAAACTTAGATTATTTAATTTAACAGAAGTCATTGTTTGAAATATCTTAGGATTACACCTTCAAGTTGCAAAGATAAAGGGATTAGAAAATCAGAGTTTGTGGCAAAGACTCAATTCCTTTGCAGGGAAACTATAATAGTCCAATCTCGTAGTTTGATAAGTTCATTACAATGATAATTAAATGTTTAATGTCCAGCAAGGACCATAAAGTAGTCTCAGATCGATTAGACTTAAGTCTCCCGGTTCAAAACCAGTCGGGAAAAGGAAGGAAAATAATAGTAAAAGGATTAAAATATTGATTAATAATATTGAGGAGAAGGATCTTGATCTACAAGATATCCATGAAGCTCTGGTTCTATGTGGTAAACCTCAGCTCCCCATCACCAAGTTTGATACAAGCTCACTTACAACCAGACTAACAGATAGCTCTATGTATGGAGGTACTCATAGGTATAAAATACTTTATTACTTTCCAAAATACATAAAAATACATTAAAAAATATTGTCATCAGTGAAAAAAAGAATTAGCGCACGCAAACATGAAACCAGGAAAAATATAAAGAAAATAAATAAATATATATATCTTGAATACTAAATAACAATCGACAAAACCTTCATAAATAAATGTTCTATTTTATACATTTTTGTTTGTTCTATAATGCAGTAGATCATTTTTTTAATAAAAATATACATTTTCAAATTTTATGGCGGTTATATATTCAAAAGGTTTAAGAATTTTTTCTTTTTAAAAGTTTGGAAATATCTTTATTTTTTCATCTTTAGTATCACTAATTAAATCAAAATGATTAAAATCAAGAGGTTATATTAATTTAAGAATATGTATTAAAATAGATTTTTTTGGAATAACTATGATCATAAATTAAAAACAGATAACCGAATTTATTATTAAAAATTAATTTATTTATTCATTAAAGAAACGATCTTTTTCCAAATAAAGTCAAAAGTAACATAATATTCTAGACAACGGTTTGATTCCAACGGGCATGGTCGAGGTATGGAAGGAAGGCGGGATAAAAGGGACCTCCCTATACTGTGGCCAACACCATCTTCCAATGGATTCTTGATTACATCTCCCTCAGCTGTACCAGTAGGGAGGGAGGGAGCAACATCTCCTCGTAGTCCTAGGTGCAGAATATGTTCGAACTATTATATTTTACTTTTTAAACCTACTCGTCGCTTATTTGACCTGTAATATTGATTAAAACCTAAACCAAAGGGGCAATTTTATACGCAGTGATAAATAGTTTTTATGCAGATTAATAGAAGTAGAAATATTGTGTTAACTGGGAATTATTTATCTTACTATCTACTAATTAGGCTAGACATATTGCAAGCAAATTGCAACCTTTTAAAAGATTTAAAAAGAAAATCTGCACGGCATAACTGAACACTACTGTAGAATTGCTGAATATTACCGTGAATGAAGATTGAGGATAACACCTTCTCTTTGTCCGTGTTCAAGAAATGGTTTTATTTTTGCAAAACATATTCTGGTTTAGGAAACAAAGAAACACATATTCCTTGCAGCATTTGTGTCCAATATAACATAGAAATATAATCCAACCTATTTTTACAATATATGTTTCTAAAAATGACATTATACTGTTATGACACGTTTTAACACTTTAGATTATTAAATAAATGTATAAATTTTGTATGGAATAGATAGACCATGAAATTTCTTTTGAAATAGCTAATACCCTGCCTGGTAAGATGAGTTGATTCACTGAAAGAGAAACTAATGAACCTTAAAAATATTAGAGGGTTTACTAGTATAAATGTAAAAAAATTATTTTTAAAACTGTATCAAACTATATATATATATATTCATAGACACTGAATAAAAGCTGAGATTGATAGCTTTCTAAAATGTATTTTGAATTTTCTGTTTACCCTCTCCGACCACTATTTTATAGTAAATCCCGATCAACAAGTATTAAGTCACTGCACTGGCTGGTTTTAAAGAGAGACACAAGAATAATAAATATAAAGAGCCAGCATTCAGAGCAGGATTGATCAAATCTAATAATTCTTTAACCAATTAGTCCTGCCATCCTAGAGACATTGTGATATTGATTTCAACATAATCAGGTAAAAATTAATCCTTTGAGAGAAAAAAGTATGAAGTTTTTTTTTCAACACCCTTCAGGTGATGGGACCCGACTTGGACCACAGAATGCCCAGGAGGATCCTGGAGGAAATCAGGACATATAAAGGGATGGCTAGATACTAGCCTTATTGAATTTATGTATTTAAAAAAATATCATTACAATTTATACATTTACACGCATTTTTTTTAGACACCGGCCAATTCAACTTTCGGGTACCATTTATATGAATATGGTTAATCAAAACCACGTAGAAGGGATAATACACATTTTGCTCGCGTTATTTTATCATATACAATTTTCAAAGTAACTTAGAAAAAGTTTTAAGATTTTAATTTCGTTTGTATTAAAAATAGTAAATTTGTTTTTACAAGGTTATTTAAATAAAAAAGCATGATTAGAGGGACAATGTGAAACTTAATCTTGTTTTAGGTGAATTAGCTCAAAATTCTTCCCCAGAGCCTATATTTAAACTCAAAAATTCGTTGATTAAAATTAAACTTCAGCATAGGAGCTAAAGATTTCAGAAAAAGGTCATGTCAATTATTTTTAGGCCCGTAGCCCGTAGAAATTTTAAAATAGAAGGGCATAACGTTTTGAAATGATCAGAGAGATAAATGGGGCGCGTCAAAATTTTCAGAATTTAGTTTTTAACTCAAAGGAGGTGGTGTTTCTCCTGACATGGGTATTATGTTCCACTAATTACTTACCTAGGCTGTTTTTATACTTATTCGGCAGGTTTAGTGCAGATTTTTTTTCTAGGGGCAAAGACACTTTTAAAACTTTTTTTTAAAGTTAACACACTTTTATTGAAAAATAGGTTTCTACGTTATAAAATAGCTGTAAAATTCGACAGGCATTCAATAAAATATAATGATTCTGAGGGAGCAGCTTTAGTATAACAATTGTTTCGGACCCCATACACTATAAAGAATGATAACAATTTTTGAATTAAACTTTGAATTGTTCAAGTGAAGANGGGTTCTTTTAGTTGCGTCTAAAAATTATTGCTTATAGAAATTTAATGTTCACAATCTTTAGTGTATTAGGAAAATCCAAATTAGACAATTTCCGGGGCTTGGGGGCTTGGGGTGCGACCGGGTGCTGCGCTCACAAGGTTAACTATCAGGTCTGAAATGTAGTACAGCAGTTGTGCGTAGATTGAAAGATTAGACACCAAACAAATAAATAGACAGTCGACTGGAGCATCTATCTTTCTGAGAAACATTTACTTACTCAACTACACTAAAGGCCCTACATTGATATTATCCCCTCAATTGCACTTCAATCGAAATTCTAATCAACTTTAGGTCACATAAATTAAGGCTCCTAGCTTACGGGTCATCAAAATAAAACCAGGTATCTCGGTTTATAAAATTAAGTCCATAAAAGGTAATAATTTTTTTTTTCAAAGTTAAACCAACGTGGAATCAATCAATCAGTCAGACTTCTAGGGACTATATACTAAGTTGGGATTGAAAAAAGGAATACTTGTTTTATTTAAAACTAACGATTTATGTAAATGTTGTAATTCTTATCTTATGAGCTAGGTAGAAAGGCCGGGCTTGTGAAATCGTTTTTAATTTATGTTGATTATTTACTTTAAACCAGTTTATGAAAAGTCCTAATTCATATTAATGAGAAACAAACCATAATCCCATCATCTTAGATTATACACATTGAGGATTATATGAATTGATGTTAGGACTGGAGTGGGAGTGTGCGTGTGGGTTCGATCTTTGTCTTCCCATGAAGTTTCAAATGCACTCAGGTAACACATAATTTGTATCTACATTGTACAATGTACATTGTACGTATAGTATCTTAAATGATTTTCGATGAAATTTCTATTGACCATCCGATCCATAAAGTTGCCCTTACCCTTCGCCTTAGAAAAATTATAAGAGATATTTTTCCTCTGAAAACTAACAATTTGTGAATACCAGCAGCAGAAACAACATAGAAAATTGACAGTTTTAACCATTTATAAGATAGAAATCCTCAGAGTTACTCAGGAAAGGTAACGGGGATTCCGTTCTGAATCGGGCATGCAAGATTTTAAAATTAAAAAAACTGTATTACCAGGCCGTTCTACTTTCTTGTTCATCCCGACCTCTTCGGTAAACATCCAGAAGCACAAGAACAGAACGAGAAAAGTCTCAAGACCTTGAAGAACTATGTTGACTTTCTGACAGAGAGAAAAATACCCAATCCCAAAGATGTGACGTTTTTCATTAAACCAAGGACACAAGAAGAAAAGGTTTTTTTTTCAAACAACTTTCCATGGTATAAAGAGAAAGATAATTGGTTGAACTTAAAAGAAGAAAACCGAAGGCCGCTTGAGTTGGGAGGGGGGACGTTCGTCTCCTGGAAAATTGGGACACAACAAGAGGGAGCAGGCATCTTGCAATTTTTTGATTTTGTATTTTAAGAATGGTTTAAAATTTTTGCGGTAAACCTTAGTCAGTCAAAAAAGGGTAAGAATGTTCCCCTCCCATCCCCACCCATGTCAGGGGTTTGAGATAAAAATTCCAAAATCCCTACATAAAATTCTAGGTAAAACTTATTTATTCTCCATTGGTTAGCGTTTCTTTTTTCTTTTTCTGGTTGTATGAATGAAGCAAAATGCTTATTTTTTGCTTAAAATTTGTTCACTTTTTAGAGATAAAATAATAATGCCCGTATTTCTTGTAGGACAAGCTTGTATTGAGGTCTGTTAGTATTCGACTAAACGAGAAAAATATTCGGCGAACAGTTCTCACCATTCTCAAACAGGTTGTCAACACTCAACAGTTTCTAACTCATGACATTCTTCCTCCTCCAAACAAAAATGATTATAAAAGTGTTCTTTTTTTAGGCTGCATGTTTTACAATTTTTTTCTACCGTAATTGTTTGCAATAAATGTTTCTTTTTTAAGGCTGGTTTACCTACGGGGTATGTTGATAAAATATCCCAGAAGACTCAGGAAAAGGCTTCCGCAAAAAAGGTAAATTGAATAAACAATGTTTTGATTATTTACCACTACTTTGTTTATATCGTCTTTTAAAATCAAACTGCGCAATTTGTAAGTGAAAATTTAGCAGAGCGGAATGTTATTTTACTTAAGAGACAGTCAAGTACCTGTGAACATCCCGATGTTGGGAGAAGTCTGGGTCGGCAGTGTTGTTCAAAAGACGATTAAAACTAATCGTGACATTGAATTGTACTTATTATACAGATTGTTGACGATGTCTCTGGATTCGAAGAAAGGTTTGATGAGGAGATCAATGACAAGAAGAACGGGTTCGGGTTCTCAGCAACAGACATCAGACAACCCTTCGTCTCATGGCTGAATTATAATATTGACAAGGAAAAAGGAACAGGAGTGAATATACAAAATATAATGTGTCACTGTAAATATAAACTTGTTGGATTGTAACTCAATTTATAGGGTTCTGTCTAAACTAATAGGATATACCAACCTAAGAGAACTTCTTTGTATATAAATTCGGCTTGTTTGTGTCTGATTGTCTGTATCCAATAAACATTTAAACGGCGGAACTGATCAGACCCATTTTTTTGTGCCAACAAGGGAAGGTTTATAAAAGGTTAAAAATTTAAACTTTGCCTGAAAAAAAAGTTATTTGTTTTAAATCAATAAACACTAGTCTCTTTTATTTTAGCTTTTAATTCTAGCTATATCTGTGAGCATTTAATTTGGATTTTCAAAACTTTAATAAAATCGAAATTTGTAGGAGGGCAATGTTTTTATTTGAGACCATGCATAAACCTTTCCTGGGGTTATGTGAGTTGCCACTTAAATTTTTGACTTATAGGTTCAGCCGCTTCGACGTTTATAGGATACAAACAAACTAAAAAACAACATACAACATACAACAACATACAACAACATACAAGTAAACAACAACATACAAGTAAACAACAACATACAAGTAAACAACAAGATACAAGTAAAGTATTTTTAAAGATTAATCAAGTTTTACAATCACAAAAAGAATTACACTTGAAATGCAACCTTTAGGCCAGGGGCGGATACAGGATTTAAGTGAGGGGGGGGGGGCAAGATTTTTTAGGAACAAAAATATTTATAATTAGGAACAAAAAATCGCGCCGCAGGTGAATTTTTTTTTACTTAAGACTCAAAAAAGAGTTAAAATTAATGATTAAAGACTAAAAAACTAGATTTTTAATTTTTCACACATTATAGTTTATTAAGACAGATATTTTTCCTGTTTTGCACTNTTACAAGGTAAACATAGAAACAGAGAGATTACAAGGTAAACATAGAAACAGAGAGATTACAAGGTAAACATAGAAACAGAGAGATTACAAGGTAAACATAGAAACAGAGAGATTACAAGGTAAACATAGAAACAGAGAGATTACAAGGTAAACATAGAAACAGAGAGATTACAAGGTAAACATAGAAACATTGATACATGGCGTATCACATGTGATTATTTGGAATAGTGTAGGAAAGGGGAGAATCATTTTTCTTCTCCTTTCCCCCTTTTGAAAACATTTTTTATGGTTTTTATTCGTTGTATTAATGAAAATAAATTATTTTTTTGGGGAAAATCAATGAATTTTTGGGTAAAAAGTATCAAAAAAGAATTTTAAAATTGCATTCTGATGTTCTTTTTTTTCATTTTTTCCCAAATCATCAAAAATTAGGCCCCCCCCCATTGGGTGAAGGGTAATTCTGAAAAATATACATCCCTGAGGGTAGTGGTTGTGTTAGTTGAAGGATTGGGTTTATCAAGATCGGGCGTATTTTCCAAGACCGTAATGATTGTCATTGTATCCTTTATAGTTGAAGAGGGGAATAGGGCGTTCAGTGGGTACTGTTTTAAATAGAATGAGACATTTATCAAACTTGAAAATTATTTAAATCTAGGTGAAATCTGCTATAGTTTCCAAATGAAGGATATTATTTGGGATTGTGGATGGGACACTTTAAACAGGTAGTTTCCAATAAAAGGGTTTTCATTTTCATAAAAAAAATCATACATTTTTTTTACAAAACTTCGCTAATCCTTTTTGTGATTTTGTAAAATATAAGATCTGTCAAAATTTTATTTCTAATGTGTTTTTTCTTCAATCATTTTATTTGAAGACGAGGATCTATTGAAGCATTCAACTGTCTGGCAACACAACATTCTCATATTCAAGGTGAGCTCTTACGCCCTTTATTTGTTAGAATAATGTATATTGTATATATATATATATATATAGGTGTTAACGGTAATTGACACTGTGAAACCTAATTACCCCTGGAAAATTAAGTGTAGGATAATGATTTACTTGGTCGAAAACTGTTCCATATGCAAATTTTGTATTTAAACACTTTGCTCAGTTCTCCGCTCTATGTCTTCTTATACAGAAAATGAGGAGGGACATTACCAAAGTATAATGACATTTATAGTTTTTATTACCAGAAATCAACCGACGGCAATCTTTTTTGGGTGTTGTGAACTCTGTTCTTGTAAAATTCTACTTACATGAATTGTAAATGCATGACCTTTATTTTTGCTTACTAACCTAAATCGGTATACAGATACAATAGTACATTTACTATCAAGAATACCCGCGCTCGGAGATATTTTTTTAAAAGCTGATTTTAAAAATATTTTCACAAAAAAAAGATCAAATTTGGCGATGAAAACGCTACATTTTTTTTCAAAACTTCCCAACGAATTTGATTTAAAAAAATGACGTAAACTTTTTTAAAAATTTTGAGATTAATATTTATTGAGGAGGGGATGGTGTAAATGATTTTATATTAAATATTCATATATCTTCTTTTCATAAGTTCTAGTACATTGTCTATTGTTTATCAAGATTGGTTATTGCTCGACACATTTAGTCGTCAGAAGCATGATTGCGGATTTTCATAAATACAATTGCGCATTTTAACAATATGCATATATAATATATATAAATATCAGTCTTTACTTGTCACTTGTGTGTCGAGAACTCCGTAGAAATCCTTGGTTTTCTACAATTGAAGATAAATATCGTATAGATAAAAACTAATTTTTAACAGAATCTTTGGTTGGAAGAAAACTAGTCTTCGGTAAGAGGAGTGGAGTCTCAGTCGTAGGAGATATAATTTTGTATAGTGGAGAGGTAACAATTCTTACACACAGTAGATATTGATTTTTATTGAAAGTGATCTTCCGGTTCGATTTTTTATGGAGTACCCGTTCGAAATAATTTTGTTATTACAGAAGTCTTAACTTCACAAGGAGTAAATTAATCTGATTAGATTTTGAAGATTTTGGTAATATTTTAGTATGAAAGTTCAACAGTTTATAGAATAGTTACATTTTTTCTAACTTAACAGTTATTTTTTCATGTATACTTGTACAGCTGAAAAAAATTCAGAACCCTTTGTATTCATTTTCAACATTGATAACTTTCTCCTAACTAGGTAAGAAGTAACTGGTTGAATATTATTAACAATGTTGAAAAGTCTCAGAAGGTGCTTTCCTTTCTTCCCCTCTACCAACGTGCTGTTTCTCAGGTTAATAAATGCATACATTTTACTCTTTTAGACACAACTAGTTAGAGGACCCGGCGTTGCCCGTTGAAAATTTTGAAAAACAAATGTTTAAAAAAATATATTTCGAAACAACCCCCGGCAACCCATGAGTGTCCACAAGAAATTTCATTATCGCGACTATACACAACATGTATATGAATGTCTTGTTTTATTATATTGATAAGACAATATTGAGATTTTACTATTAATTTTTGGTTTGGTTTGTTTTTCATAGTTTTAACGCAAGTAATATTTTATTTCCATTAGTTAAGTATAAGCCAGTGCTCAGGATCTGGATTTGCAATATTTTTGCTTCAAATGGAAAAATTTCAACTGAAATACACATTTAACTATCGTGTTCCCTAAGTTTGACCAACTAGAAATTTTCAAAAATCTTGATCTCTCTTTATACAATTGACAAAGAAATTCAGAAATTTTTCCATAGATAAGTAACGTTGGAAAAAACACGAAATAAAGATTCAGGACTGGGGATCCAAATCCAAAGAATTGTCAAAGACTGATTAATGCTACTCTAAAAATACTCATTGTTAAGATAATATGATAAATGTTTAGTCTTTGCTTGATATACAGTTGGTCCATGATGGTACAACTTTAGTTGAAGAGTACAGAACAAGATTAAGGTAAATTTTCTCCCTTCTTATTTCTTCTTATTTACATTCATATTTAAATGCAGTATGTTCTCCAGCCCCTTCTATAAATACTGTACAGATAATCTTCCGGGTTTAAACCAACGTTTGAACTCAGTTCCTGCTTCATCAGATGCATTTATCGAACTGGTTCACACATCCTCCTCTAATACCCCCCCCCCCGTACTTACAATACAAATCTAATTTTCTTCTTTACTCTCTTTACACGATTCTTCAAACACTTAATCATTGACAAATCTCTACTTCTGTCTGCAGGCTTCTCATCATTTTTATCACCCTAAAACCGTTTTTCGATCTCAATTATAAATTTAAATAATTGGTTCAGTTAACATTTTTTTTTCTGTTATATACGGAAATTCCGACTAAGTTATTATTAATATTATATATTGTCTGTTTTAAGTTTTCAGTTATTTGATGTATTCAATTCAATTAAAAAAGCTTGAGAATTCCCTTGGACTCCCTGATCTAACCGCTACGCTATCAGATCTCATTGAGATTAAGGCGCCCTACATAGTTTAGATCTAACGCCGTGGTTTCACGACCAAGTTTTAGTCATTTCTAGTATTTCCTAAATGCTGGTATATTTAGGAAACTTGTGACAACATTAGCTGATTACAAACTTAGAAACAATTTTCCAAGATCCTGGCCTCATGACTTGTCAGGTATAAGTTTGAAAACTCCATTATAAAAGAAATTTGAATTAATTTTTGCTATTAAAATAAAATGTGAAATTCACCGAATAAACCTCGCAAAATATTAAGATATCATTTATTGTTTCAGAGTTTAGTTTGAGTGTTGAGTCTGATGCATGTTCCTTGATGTTAACTCCTGGAGGAGTTTTTAAGATTCCTGCCTCAACCCCAGGCTTTCTCATAGTAGAGTTTATTTCAGGTTAATTACTTCTCCAAAAAAGAATATTTGAAATCATTTCTCCAGTCTTAAAGTCGTCTTCCTATTGGACAGTTTATAAAAAACAAATAAATAATTTCGCTTTTCTGATACAGGGTGTCCCAATAAACATGATAATAGAGAGACGTGTATTTCTGATATTTAATGCATGGCAAAGAAAGTTAAAAAAACGAGGCTGCACGTCTGACGAGTTTTCATTAAGTGCTTGTGACTTCAAATTTGACGAAGATATTAGATATTAAGACAATTTTGATTTCTAAAATAAATTGAAATTTGCACAAATTTTCAATATCTTCGTCAATTTTGAAGATACAAGAATGGTAGACTACATTTCAAAAATCTGAAGACCAGGCATTTTCGATTTCATATGTTTAAGCTGGAATACTTCAATAATTGAGTTCATGAACAAATATCGCCGCATGGATCGAAGATGAAATAAAAGTTGTCACTGAATTCCCATGTTTATTGGACACCCTGTACAAGAAATGGCATCTAAGCGAAACCACCAAAACAATAAATAATTCCTCTGCCAGGGCATTATTCTTTATAGGGGAATGGGGATTTATTTAGTACTGAGAAAACCCCTTTCATTTTATTATTTATCCTGAAAATCTTCTCTTCTTTAACTGGAAACTTTTTAGTTCTGCACCCGTCTTTAATCCCAGTCGTGAGTTCTGACCCTGTAGACTCAGTTTCAGGTTCAAATCTCTCCACTGCACTCCAGGTATACCAGCCATCCGCCATCATTTACATTTACTTTTATCCTTTTTTTCAGCATAAAATCTACCCATGAATTATTCTTTATTATATGTATTGGCGAGATTGGATGTTTTTACGTCCTCCATATTTCTAAATAGTAAATATTCAGGTGTATCGTGTAGATGAGAAGAAATTGATAATTTTCCAGCTCAGATCTGGTATTCTCCCTGGCCAGGTAGCCAATTATCTTGAAGTAGGAAAAAATACACAAATTATTAAATTAAAGGGACAGTAAAGGAAAAATGAAAGGGGGTATAGGCTGAAAGCTAATCACTTTAGCTCTTGATCGCGACCCATGAAAGTCATATCTGATGTTCCTGTCTCGAGAAATTGATATAAAACTGTGTCAAATCTATACGAAAATTAATACATATACAATTTTGTATAAAAGTAGTGGGTTTAAACAGATCATATTCAGCAAATAAGCAACCAATCTGAAAACGATGATATCCCAGAAAAAAGCTAATTGTAATTTAGGTTTACTTTTATATTTGTTGTTTCTATTTTCAATAGATTTCATTCATAATATTATTTTTACGTCCGTATTACTTGACCAGAAATTCCACCAATGGCAGTGCAGTAAAGTGGTCACGTGATACAGGCGGAGACACGTGACCAGTATACTGCTCTGCCATTGNAAACTATAATGTGTGAAAAGTTAAAAATCTAGTTTTTTAGTCTTTAATCATTAATTTTGACTCTTTTTGAGTCTTTTAAGTCAAAAAAAAATTTCGCCTGCGGCACGATTTTTTGTTCCAAATTATTAATTTTTTGGTTCCTAAAAAATCTTGCCCCCCCTCACTCAAATCCTGTATCCGCCCCTGATTACGTACTCTGCTAGCTTGATCAAATAAATTTATAATTTTAAATTTAAACCATGCAAACGTTTAGAAAAACGATTGCTCCGAGTTTATCCTGCTTGGAAGTTCTCATTCACATGAGAGAATTGATTCACAGATATTAGGTGGGAAGCTTAGAATAATTATAGTTTTATAAAGTTAGAAAAGTTACTTAACTAAAATTAAAATTTTGACCTTTCCTACATACTTGAGACATGATTAAATGGTGACATGTTTTTACCACTGTACAGTGTACTGTAGACCCTCCATTTTGTAGAGTGGCATGTCCAATTTTAATGGAATACAGGGTGGCCAAAATGGGATTTTTTATTTTACCAAATAATGTTACGGAATGTACGGATATTGTTTCATAGTATAGGGACTTTTAGCCCTGAAAAACATTTTTTTTCGATTATGACTTTTTTCGCATGAACATTTTTTTCTTTTTTTTGTATGGATTTATTTTTAAAATGTACGGATTGTGCGGATTTTAAAAAAATGTACGGAAATAGGGATATTTTCGAAAATGAAATCAAACATCATCAAAAACTAATTCTCACACCTTATTGGTTTAAGTTGACATATTTTGTTTGTTTTGTTCAACTCGGCTTGAAAGATATTTACACTTGGAAAAGATAACTTTGCAGACTTGGTCCATTTCTAGTGTTAGAAATGGACCAAGTGTTAGTTTTGGAACTAATTTTCCCTGAAATTAGAAAATCAATGAAAAGAAATTATCTATTTTCGTATTAAAATGAGACGAATTCCACTTAATATTCAGCTAGGAAAAAAAATATTTCCGTCTTCGATGATCAGATTAACGGTAAATGGATACAGTTCTGAAATCTATAAATGGAGGGTCACGCGAAGTTACGTCTATGAGGTCACTTTATATGTCTAAATTGAATTAATTTTAGGATCTCCGTTAAGATATCTGACTTCATGGGATAGAAAAGTTCCAACAGAATTCATCAAACTTGAACTAAGAGATAGATTTCCAGGAATATGTCAATTTGTAACAAACTGAAACAGATCCATTTTCTGATTAAATGTAAACAGGGAAAACAAACGAGTAAATGGTATCTATGTATGAGTATTTCTTCCGGTAAAAAATTCAAATTGTCTGCTTTAAAAACAACATTTTTTTAATATGAACTATATTGATATAAAGCCGAGTGTCTAGGAATGAATATAGGAGAGGAAGGCGAGGAAGTATTTATCCCTGGTGGTGGTGTTGCTAAGCGGGTTTATGAAACCTGTCGGAGTCAAGGAATTCATCTATCCGTCCTGCTCAAGTTCTCTTCAGAGGGAGATAATTCCCCTGATGGATTAATGCTGGCTGATTATCTAAACCAGCTGATTGTGTTTAAGGAGACTGATAAGAAGATGAATATTCCTAAATCCTGGAGACATCTGTTTGGTTCTCCGGCTCCAACTCAGATGTTCTGGTGATAAACAACTTTGTTAAAAATTGGATCTTAATAAAATATTTCTTAATTTTCCTTTGATTATCTGTAGTATTGGTAGGATTAAAATGTATTTATTTTCTTCTCAGTTCCGTGCTGTTTATCTATGTATGAAATAAAGCTATTCGCTCATATGCATATACAGGGCTCAAAGGAGTCTTTGCCACAAACTCAAATTTCTAATCCCTATATCTTATGAATCCGATGGTGTATACCTTTGATATTTCAAACTTACATCATTTGATCTAACATAATTCATTATTTGAAATAACTAAGGTGTACGACAATGGGTTGCAAAGATGTAGAGATTTGAAACTCAGAGTTTGTGGCAAAAACTCAATTCCTTCGGTCGTGTGTCCGACGTTAGGATAAAAATATGTCAAGTTGAAAAGCCTTCACCTATAAGGGATTGTGATGGCATACCCCTTGTAGGTCAAGGAGCTGTTGAACGCATCCATAGCTGTATGATATGATATGATATCATATCATAGCCAGAAAGACCCGGAATTAATTGTCAGTTATTCAGACGACTCGGGTAATTTAAACGCATAATAAAGGCAGACCACATTTTGGAATAAGCAGGACTAGGGCTATTCTGTTATTATCGTTTCATTAACTATGTTTGTAAAATTAGATTGTTAAGTTTTCTGATAAATTATAAATCAATTCTGAGTCTTTCTGATTATGTCTGTATATTATAAAAACAATAAACCTAGGAATTATAAGACGAAATCGAAATCGTATTCGTTAAGAATAATAAACTGTTTTTTACTCTGCAAAATGTTGAATGATGTTCTGTAACATTAAAAGGAACAACTGTACTGTGTTTGAATGTATGCAGGAATTCACATTTATTAAGTTTAAAATTATGCAATCAAAACATTAACAAGCACATTCCACCTCCAGCAGACAATATATCTACGGATTATCCACATCCAGCAGACAATATATCTACGGATTATCCACCTCCAGCAGACAATATATCTACGGATTATCCACATCCAGCAGACAATATATCTACGGATTATCCACCTCCAGCAGACAATATATCTACGGATTATCCACCTCCAGCAGACAATATATCTACGGATTCCTAGAAGGCATACTATGTATGAAACTAGTTACAAAGACTTTTAAAATCGTCTTCCAATTCCCATGTTTATTGAGACACACTGTTTAAATATTTATATATATATATGCTCTCGACTCTGTATCTGGCCAGACGACTGGACCGAATTGGCTGAAATTTTTTAAGGAACGCCGGGCACTAAAGCTAAAATTATGATTTAATACCAAAAGCGGGTAAACTGCGGGGTAACTATGCACAGGAATAATAATCTAAACGCCGGGAACAGTTTGTATTTTGTATGAGAAAAGATTATAAAAGTTGAGAAGAAAGCTTTGCGACTTTTTGTAATTCAGACCACTGTCAATGTTGTTGTTGAGACAACTTTATGCTTTTTAGTTGACAATATTTCTTCATTAAAATAATTTTACTTCTAAACCATTGTCATATATATTGTCTATATCATCAATTGAAACATACCCGCCCAATACACATTACAAAGTACCTTAAATTACGTTCTTAAAGCACCCGAAATATTGACGAATCATAGGTATTTGGATAGTCTTAACTCGCAGGCTGTTGTATGTGATAATTTAACTATAACTGTAAATTCAGACCATCGTAAAATGTTACAAAACAAAAAATTTGGAGCTGGTATAAAATCAACTTTTTATTTGACTGATGAGTAAATAAACACAAATTCCAAAACGAAATATAATCTATTCATCTTTGTACGTAATAGTTCATGGGTTTGCAACATTAAATTAGTCGCAGGACTACTTTACTAGTGGTCATGTGTTGTGCAGTGCTAAATAATAACCTACTTCTAGAATTGTCTCTTCATGTGTAGTGCTAGATGATCAGAGGACTACTGGACTAGTTTCTCTTCACGTGTAGTGCTAGATGATCAGAGGACTACTGGACTATTTTCTCTTCATGTGTAGTACTAGATGATCAGAGGACTACTAGACTAGTTTCTCTTCATGTGTAGTACTAGATGATCAGAGGACTACTGAACTAGTTTTTCTACATGTGTATTGCTAGATGATCAGAGAACGACTGGACTAGTTTCTCTTCATGTGTAGTGCTAGATGATCAGAGGACTAATGGACTAGTTTCTGTTCATGTGTAGTACTAGATGATCAGAGGACTACTGAACTAGTTTCTCTACATGTGTATTGCTAGATGATCAGAGGACTACTGAACTAGTTTCTGTTCATGTGTAGTACTAGATGATTAGAGGACTACTGGACTAGTTTCTCTTCATGTGTAGTACTAGATGATCAGAGGACTACTGGACTAGTTTCTCTTCATGCGTAGTGCAAGATGATCAGAGGACTACTGGACTAGCTTCTCTTCATGTTTAGTGCTAGATGATCAGAGGACTACTGGACTAGTTTCTCTTCATGTTTAGTGCTAGATGATCAGAGGACTACTGGACTAGTTTCTCTTCATGTGTAGTGCAAGATTATCAGAGGACTCTAGTGCCTCTTCATGTGTAGTGCTAAATGATCAGATCTTGAGAAGGATCTTGTACAGAGCGGACATTTAAATGGTTTGTTTCCTGTGTGCTTGCGAAAATGTCTGGTTAGCTCGTCAGATCTAAAAGCATAAATATTATCAAATGAAGTTAAATACGCGTGATTAATACTATGTTCGTATTTATAAACATGTACGGCATTAAATGTGGTTTCGTTCAGTGACAGTTCATGCCTTTTAAATTTGTTCAATCGTCTTTGTATCCTAAAGATGAAATTTAGGAAATCTCACCTCGGGAAAATGGGGAAGCCTGAATAGTTATGTATGAAACCACTTTGTGATTATTTTACCAGTTCAGGACTAAAGCAGACACTCCGTACTTATTATAATTATCATATTTCAGAGAAGGGATGGGTGGGGGGGAGGTATGCATAAAGTGCCTAATGAAGAAATAATAGTATTTGACCCTCGAAAAAGGGTGGGGCAGGGTAGAATGNACTTAAAAGTTAGAAACTTCGAAAGCTTGTAGATCATCAATGGATATATTTAAATAAACAAATATTTTCATAAAGGTGGCATTATTTGGCTAAGCAGGAGCAAAAAGGGGGGAAATTGCCTCAAAACACTATCTTTTATCATTTACTTTTGCCATGATGAACTTAAAGATGACACCTTAAAAAAAGTTTTAAAGTTGACTGAGTTTTAACATTTTAGCTGAAAAGGGTAAAAAAAACTTAGTATAGTATAGTGGGACCATACACAAAATTATGCTAAAATGCCAAGTTTTACACTAGAATGCTTCCTAAAAATTTGAAGGTCAAGGATTTTAGGGTCACCCTTAGAAACGTCCATTACTTAACAATATCACGGTAGTTTTAGACTTATTAATGCGGATCAATATTAATCGGGCTCATAAACTGGTTATTTTTATTGAAAGTTATTGAAGTCTGTATATTATGAAATTTTATGAAGTTTTATCCAATGAGACTCTCATCTAATTCATAAATTTTCATCTCAGGAGAAATATTACTCTTCATAGCTCAATGTTTTACAGATGTTGTATAATGTAAGTTGAACAAAAGTTTGAATTAAATTTCCACCTTGAAAACTTCCAATGACATTCTTCCCAGGAGCACCTGTAGGGTTTCTCTCCTGTGTGGCTTCTCTTATGAGCTTTTAAGTGAGAGCTCTTTGTATAAACCTGAATTGAAAAAATTAGTCAACTATATATCGAAAATAATTCAAACATATTTTTTACAAAAGATGAGTAGCTATTAAAAACTTTTATACGTTAAATTAAAATCCATTTTATGGGACCTTAGGAAAAGCTTGTTAACCCAAAAAACTGGTGATCTAGTTCTTACATAGCTTTGTATTTAGAAGGGGGGGGGGATAATGATGGGGGTCTTGAGTCAAAGTATGGTAGAGCAACGCCAATTTTGCAAGACCCGTATATTTTCGAAAATTTGAAAATCTTCACTTCAATGGTTAAGACGCTGGAAATGTATAGAAATAAAAATAAATGTAAAAATTTTGAATGAAACAACTTTAAACCACCAACTAGCCTTTACGCTTTAAAGAAATAAACTACACCTTATCACAGCCGGAGAAATCACATTTATGTTCTTTACGTTGAGAACCAGATCCAGCCAAATCATTCAACGTTAAAACTTGAAGCGAGGACGGATTATCTGAATTCATATCTAAAGATCTCTTGCTGAGGTCTACTGGACCTAGATCGATACAGATAGTATGATCATCCATATCGTCTTCTGGTCCTGGGCTTTCAAAGTTCTTTGTGTTCGCAATGTTTTTAAATTTAATGCTAAGATCCACGGGCTCCTCCTGATCCAATTTTATTTCCTCTTTTAAACATTTAGTTTTATTCAGATCCTGCTTTCCTTCCTTCATTATTATATTGTCGAAGCTGTTAATTAAAGGTTTTAAATTTTTTCTGGATTCCTCGAATTTACAATATATTGGATTGATTGTTAAACCAGAAAAGTTCTACTCTTCTCCACTCCATCTCCTTGCAGATTCTAGATCCCTGAACTACATCCTATCGATAAGATGAATGTTCAGGTTCAGGCCTCAGAACTCTTAGATATTGTTCAACTATCATATTGCAGTTTTTTAGTTTATTGACTAATCAATTCCTTGTGATAAAGGGGTCACAGAGGAGAAAAACTTGAGGCCGACAACTAGAGAAATGGAAACCAGACTCTTCAATTCTGCAATCTAAAATATTTAAGTCGATTAAATTCCTTAATTTAAGGTTTCATACAAATTTCTTTTCACGTACAAACGTAGAAATTAAAATTAATTGTGAATTTAAATGCAAAATTAAATCATCCTCCAGGGGTACTTCAGGTTTTTGCATCAAAATCTTTATAATTTGTAAATACTTATGCCTCTTAAATAATACGACCTTAAGTTCCCTAATTTAACAGATAACAGGTTTATTTTTTAAGCATCAAAATTGCATAAAATTTATAGTTCCACAACGTTTATCTTGACTCCAATTTTCAGAATAAATAAATTATTTCTAATTACAAATATTACTTTCTTAAAAGTTAAATCCATTTTTGCGTATTAATTTAAAAGAAAAACTAATTTATTCCACCTTTATATAATGTTGGGAACTCCATAAGCTGTTTTGATGGGATTCACTGTATGTAGGTTTGAGTATACCCTAGCAACTGTGTAGATCTGTGAAGTGTACCCTCAACTGTAGGGTCTGGTCATCCTTAACCATTCTATCCCATCTTTAGCCCCAGGCCGACACACCCACCTCTAGCCATAGAGTAGAAACGTAACAGAGTTCTCAGTGTTACGTGTTGACTCGAAGATTCATTTATAGAGCGACCATCGTGGATATTTCAGCAATCTTGTGAAAAAACCATGATCGTCAATCATTATTCAAATCTTGGTATATTCTTACCAATTTTCATTTTTCTTTGCGCGTTTGCTTGATTCTTTGACGCCCTTTTCTGTGATGTTTAAACATATAAAATAAAATGATTTTTACATATCATTTGACCGCTTTTAACACTTTACTTACTTTCGGCATAAATCAAGGTAAAAACGAAAGGTCCTGAAGGGAGTGCGGAATCTATGCACACCATAATCACAAGCCCCGTACTTGTCTTTAAGCTGGACTTTCAAACCAATAGCATCAGACCTCAGAAATATTGCGTGAATGCATTATTATATATATACAGGCTATATCTATATTTAGATCCACATCCAGTTAACAATTTCGAGCTCTGTGTAAAGTATACGACAAAAGGAAGTAGAGTGCAAAAGTTTTGCAAAGATTAGCACTATTTCAAGCACAGGCGGCTTTAAAGCATGTCAGTCCTTTAATCAGTTTGTCTTTAACAAATTAATTTTCGATTAATTTGCATTTTTGAGTTCGCTAGTTCAAGGACTTTTCAATAATGTATAAGTTATCGTATTTTCCGCAATTTTTGTAATCGCACATTTTTGCTGAATATCTGTATGCCATAACAAATATTTGGATCTTAGCAATTTTTCTTCATAGATAATGTGTACGGTGGATTAATGGTTCCCGACGAGAGGGTGGAGCTCTGGTAACTCTGCACTTCAGACAGAACGTCGACGAGAAGAAACCCAAGGACCTACCTCCAGTCTCACCCGGATTCTGGAGTTTGCTGAGAACCTGAGAGACACGCAACTCCGACACCTAATCTCTGAAGACTCCTAGTTCAAAATCTTCTAACTTTATCGCCATCTCCTTTGATCCGACATCTAGTCGATTAAATACGCCAGATTGCATTGTTAACAATCCATGTTAACTCATGCACTGACAAAACTCGACTCCAATCTAGTAGAGGAAAAAAACTTCAAATGAACGAGTTTTCCGTTCGTTTTTTTAAATTTGAGCATTTATGCCTTCCTGGCAACCACAGTCCTAAAACAAATGGTTTTGCAATGCTTCGTAATTTCAAATACAACAACTTACTTAAGAGAGCGCTAATCAAGCGCTTTTTCCTAGTCAGCGTCCACTTGACAACCTTATACTGGGAGACCCAATAAACATGGGAATTCAGTGACGAATTTGATATCGTTTTTTAAATAATTCTTTGATCAAGTATAGTGATACCTACTGAGAAAGCTGTAATCTGTAAGAGTTTCGTCTGCTATGTTCACATTTTGTTTGTTTATGTTTTGACCATGCATACGGTTGTACTTAGTAAAACAAGAATATTGCAGTATACAAACAGAGTAAACTTGTCCGTCTTCACTGTTCATCTTGCGGAGACATTATAGACACATCTTTACAGTCTTTTACCCTTTTCATAAAATAAACTCTAGCAGACATAATAATCTTTTATAAATGATTCCTATTTATTTTTCCTGCCAAATTACTGCAGAAAAAATGTTGATAATTGAGACCAGATTTTTTTCGAAACATGGAAAAAAATTGTCAAGATTATACTTTATAAACCAATCGTTTATTTCTCGAATCTTACTAACTATGCAACTAGCTATAGTATTATAACCCATATATATTTGTAAAACATGCATTTTCGTAACCAATAACTATTGTTTATTAAACATGTCAATTTTGTTAAAACCAAGTATCCTTACGAAAATAAAAATTTTTTGTCTAAAAAAAGATAATTTCCGATAATGTATGAGTGCTATGGTAACACAGTAAGAACATAGAGAATTTGAATGCCGCAAAGATTTCAAAGTGCAAGGACGATCTTCCTGTCGTCACTAAATCGTCATGTTTTGTTGGACGACCTGTTTTATACTTTTGTTGGGAGACAGAAATGATTAAGTTAGGACATTTATCCTACATATGTTTATTGGATTAAAATCTTAAAATTTAAAAATTCGGCTCTGTTGTGCTTAATTTGTTGTATAAAGATTGAAGACCTTCGTAGTGCACACAAAAGAAATTGAACCCAATTGTTTCGGTTAATATTAATATTTCACACACAATAAGTTAAACGCCTTTTTAATAGTTTAGTTTTAATTCCGGGAGCGTAAATATATATGCAGGTGGCGACATAATCCACTCCGTACTTTTAAAAACCTGTAGGACTGTTAGAAATTTAAACGTTTATCATGCAACATGATATTCAGAAGAAGAATATTATTTAGCGATGAGAAATATGGACAGACTAAAACTAAGTATATTCTGTGAAAAGGAGTGGGAGTATGTTTGTGTAATTTCTTGTATATAGGAGGGGCCGGATATAGGGTTCGGTTCTGGGTGCGGTTCAAGGAGTGAGAAATCTAGTATTTGATCCATGGTAACTTCCAGTTTCTTCACAAAATTTTTTTTTCAACAATTTGGGCAAACCATAGGCCTGGACGATTACTGGATCAGGATACCCATAAATATTAGAACATGAAATAATTCATAGTCTTGTTTCAAAAGGAAAAAAGAATAGATATTCATTAAATGTCTTGTATTCATCTTACATTACCTATAAAGTTGGTTGGACGTATTTGCATATTCATGACAGGAGTCATGGTTACCTTTTACTTTCTGGCGCCTGTAAATGTAAATAGCTAGTAATTTTGATTTAACAAAAAATGCTTACTAGATACATATTTAATTGAGATAACTTCATACATAGTTTTTTTATTAATACAATTCAAAGATAACTGTTTAGTTAATGCACTTCAGGGGTTTATATTTTTTTTTTTAAATCCCCCCCAGATACTTTTTAAAAGGATTAACTCTCTGCTTTGGGGGAAATAAATGAATTATTTGGGGAAAAGATTATGTTACATTCTAAATTTTTACCCCTAGAGCATAATGAATTATTATATATATATATATATATACATATATATATATATACAAGATACAATAAACTTCAATAGTTTGAATACTTATTTTAATATATATTATTGAGTCTAAATGAAACTAACTAATAACAATTTAACATAACAAATGTATGAGTAACAGTTTCAAATAATCACAGAGAATAGAGTATATATTAGAGGGGAATTTTCTAGAAAAAAGTGTAAAACGGCCATTTTGTTATACAATTTTCATACTGCAGGTGTACTTCACATATTTATGCTTTATAGTATATAACCTTTTGGGCCCTGGAATATCATTTTATAGAAAATCCCAAAATGATGTTAAAAGAAAACCAAATTATGTAATAGGCTAGTTTCATAATTGACCAATGATCATTTCACATAGACTCTATGCCTTTCACTTTACAAACGATGATTTCCGTTATAACTATAAATCAAATGATGTTTTTAATTCACCTATTTCATACAAAAGTTTATTTAACAGCTTTAAAAATTGCGAAATTGAAATGAATAGTATAGGCAACATACTGTATTAATGTACTCTACTGCACATAATTTGTGAACATTTACATGATTTGTACACTGAACTGAAAAAATTCATACCGAGAGATTATTTAAATTCCTCTCTAATATATATTCTATTCTCTATGCAAATAATACTAAGTGAGATCAAATTATGATACAAATTAAAAATATTGTGTAAGTATTCACATGTCGTTGGGATTTTAGGCCTTTAATCCACTTCTCCAGTTAGTAAAGCATAAACTGGAAAAATTATCAATATTGAACTAATTGCTAAATTTTCTTTTTCAACACTATTTCAACTATTTCAATATAAAGTAAAAGAAACTATTTCAATACTATTACTTTATAGTAGAAACTATTTCAATACTAAATAAAGTAGTTCTACATTTAGGATTCTAAGTATCGAACTTATAAGTCTCCACAGGGTACTTTGTCAGACTACTGCAATGTTTATTAATCACATTTACCAATTGGTTTGATTCACAGAATTAAAGCAGTTCCCTTCCTTACATAAGTAATCCGGAAAACAGTTTGTGGCTTAAAATCATTGTTTATTCTCTCATTAAAGGGACTGTAAAGGAAAAATGAAAGGGAGTATAGGCTAAAAGCTAATCACTTCAGCTCTTGATCGCGACCCATGCATGAAAGTTTGATCTGATGTTCCTGTCTCGAGAAATTGATGTAAAATTGTTTTAAAATTATACGAAAGTTCATATATGTAAAATTTAGAAAATCTTAAACTTAAATCATGTGACCAGAACTATCACCATAATGGCAGAGTAGTATACTGGTCACGTGTCTCCGCCTGTATCACTTGACCACTTTACTGCACTGCCATTGGTGGAATTTCTGGTCAAGCAATACGGACGTATAAATAATATTATGAATTGAATCTATAAAAAATAGAAATAACAAAAATAAAATTAGAATTGGAATAAACCTAAGTTACAATTAGCTTTCTCTGGGATATCATCGTTTTCAGATTGGTTGCATATTTGCTGAATTTGATCTTTTTAAACCCACTACTTTTATACAAAATTGTATATATATTAATTTTCGCATAAATTTGACAAAGTTGTAAATCAGTTTCTCGAGATAGAACATCAGATATAACTTTTATGGGTCGCGATCAAGAGCTAAAGTGATTAGCTTTCAGCCTATACCCCCTTTCATTTTTCCTTTACAGTCCCTTTAACACTTTAAAGCTAAAGCCTCAAACTGGATGCACATTTAAACCAGCTGGTTCAATTGTTTTTTAGTTTCCAGGAGATCCAAGTTCCTTCTTTGTTCTAATTTCAGTTCGAATTCTACAGCCTGAAACAAATATTGCAATCAATTCACTTAATTTCGCTATCTTGCTACATTAAAGGGAGATTTTATTAGAAGTCGAGGGGTCCCCTTTTAATTATGCAGCTGTTAAAAAAACCTTTATTCTAGTTAAACATTATTAAGAATATTTAAGACTGACCTGGAGAGTGCGTTGAAGAACAAGACAATGCTTCTTTGCTGCTGTCAGGATTCTTATCTTGGAAGTCCCGCTCCTATCCTAACATAAATCATTATTAGATAAATTGCAGTTTTATTTGGACATTTTTTGCTTTCTTCTTTCTACTTTTAAATCGTGATCTATGTACACAGTTTAATTAAACAAAAAATTCAAATCTTACTTTTAGACCAAACGAAACAACAAAAGTTTCACGTTTAAATATAAATTAGGTCTTAACGAAGGCTTTTTATTGTTATTTGTCAAACTCAAGTACATAACTTTTTGAGTTGAGTGAGCGGGGAAGGCAGGCGGTCATGATAAATAAATTATTTCTTTTCATCCTACATATTAGCTTTTTTGTCTCCCGGCAGCCATGACTGCGTTTTTCAAAAATCTGGCCACGCTAACAAAAGATATTTATTTTTAACGTACTTTTAAAGGTTTAACTAGAAATAAAAATGTTTATTTTTACTGATAAGAACACAACTTTTTCCCCCAGATATAAATTCAGTTCTACCTATCAAATGGCTGATTTTTTAAAGCAAACTAAAGAAACCAAATAATGCACCATAACACAAACTATAAGTCTGAATGTTGCAATGAACTAAGAATTTGCACTATTTATGGAGAACTGAAACAAAGTCTATATGTTTTTTTACCAAACTTATAGTGTATAGAGTGATGATGTACGCTAATCCTTTACTAATTGTATAGGCCAGGAACTATACAGAGAGCGTAGTGCATATTTGTTTATTATAAGTTGATTCTGGCCTAACCTATAGTATATCAATAATAGTAAACAGTCGTAAGTGTACAGTACAGCTAACTGAGCACACAGGTAGAGAACTATCATCCCCCCCTGACTTTACGACATCAAATTAACACACTGTTCAGCGAGATCAGTCAAAATGTCAAAATATCATTGCCTTCTGAAAATTGCAGTTAAAAACATTGACTTTTCTTTATACTTTAAATAAAAATGGCTGGGAGACAAAAAAAAACTGACTTTGAAGAGCAAAAAATTGTGGCTCATGGCCGCCTGCCTTACCTTGCTTGTTGAGAAGGGAATATTTGCATCGTCTGTATGATAATTGTTTGTTCCTAATGGGGGGGGGGGTTTCCCGCGCAATATTTCAATTATCCCTCCCCCCTGGAAAATATCATAAGCCGGCCATGTCAACACGTTTAGTTTTTTGATGATTTTTAGAACATAGTAAGCAGAAAAATTAACAAAATGGCAAAAATCCGGATATTTATTGCGAAATCCAGTTTCTCGGCAAAAAAGCGAGGAAAAAATCCGCGGAAAACCCTTCACCCAGCAAATTCAACTATGTAAAAATATTAGCTAAATTTTGAAACCCTTAAGAAAATATTCCCATTAAAGGTGTCTGCGCTAAATGTTTGTTTGCAAAACTTTCGCAATCTGCTAATTCGATAGTCTCCGTCCTTACAGTGTTCAAATTGCATCTTTGTCTTTGTCCCTCACTGTTCTATAACTATACCTTTCCACTGTTGTAGAAGTCTGGTATTAGACAGCTTAGATCTTTAAAAGATTTAGCCTGTTGAATCCTAAAATAGAGCGCGTTAACAACAGTCATAAAGCACTTATCCTAAGGGAGTGTTAGCGAAAAATTAAATTACAAAAAAGCTAGTTTTTCCTGACAATTCCAGACTGAACTAAATTACATAAAACATTTTCTTTGAAATGCTAACAAGTTTGTGGAGATTGAGGCAGGAATTGATTAGGGGTGATATTAGTTACCCCACCAGCAGTACGTTCCTTGATTTTAAAAATCACCTTCTAATTTTCTCCGCATTATTATGCTCTTTCCTTTTCGACTTCTGTTCTCTGTCCCTAGTTTCGTCTCCGCACTTCCTTATCTCGTCTGGCCTGAACCCATCCGCTATTCTTACCCAGGTATCATATAGAATTAAAGGGACAGACCGGCTAGTTAAACTGAGTATGCAGTGTTGTGGACAGATTCTTTAGGATTCATTTGAGACATAAAAATTTTTAAAGATCGGTAAATCCTGAGTTTGTGAGCAAAGTCGACGTTCAAAATCGTACTATTGGGTGGATAAGTTTTCAGAAATGTTTTTTTTTTTAATTATTAGATAACGACGACAAAAAATGTAACCAAAAATTCTACAATAAACTAATTAGTTGTTTAGGAACAGGTTGAGAAAATAAAAATCGACTCTTTATCATCAAAAACAAGTAATCTTATTCAATTATTAGTTCCTATAATCTCACTTTATCAAAGATTTTCTGCAGATTTTCTGAAATTTTTATTAAAACGACGACATTTGAAGAATTTGAAGAAATCTGCGAACAAATTCACAGAAAATAAGAAATTCAATATAATGATGAAAAAGGAAATAATTAATTCTAACTTCGATTTATTGACAAATTTCTTGAGAAATATTTTCCTTAACATCCAATTAGTTTACTATAGAATTTTTACTATATTTTTCGTCGACGTTATTTAATAATTTAAAAAAAACTATTCTGAAATCGTACTCATCCAAATTAGGGATTTTGAACGTCGACTTTGCGCTCAAACTCCGTAATAATACATCGCGGAAACGTTTTATATGTCTCAAATGAACCCTAAAGAATTTGTCCACAACACTGGATTCTCAGTTTAACTACCTTACATAGCCGGCCTGTCCCTTTTATTACATAAAATAACAAACATATTATCTTCATCAGTTCATGATAAAACCTTAGGAATGTCCGAAATAAAGAGGGAAGGATTTTCGGGGCCCTTTTTTGCATTTAAAATTCTAATACAACTGTTAATTCTTGAGAAGTTCATTCGAAGCCTTCTTTTTCTTGAGGGTCAAAATATCAGTTATGGAGTTTAAATGTAGCCAATATGACAACAAATTTACAATAATAAATTTATTACTTTCAAAACTACTCACTAATTAGGTCAACAGAGGGCTGTTAAAAGTCGACATGGCTTAATTTATAGTTTCCTATAGGACAAAGAAGCTTCCTTCATAGTTCTTTAGAGTATTAAGAGAGAAGGAACTCGGAATTTTAAAACTTCATACACAACTTTTCTTGGAGTAAGTTTGTGGGTCAACAATTTGCAAAAAAAATTGATAATGAAATATTTTGTGACTTTTCAAAAAAATCTTTTAATCGCTTAGTCATTAACGGCATGAATTTGTTTTAAGAACAACCATAATTCCTATATCTTAAACTTCTTTATAATAGAATTAATTGGGTTTAAAATAAAAAAAATCTCGAAAAAACACCCCAGTCCAGACGCAAAAAAGGCCTCAAAAACCCTACCAATCATACTTTTTTCTGTGACAGGCTGTACTATTACTTATATTGTTTATATTACTTCCACCCAACTATTTCTCAGTGAACTTGTGAAAGAAACAAAATTACCTGGAGATCTGCTCACGGATTGATTCCTGTTTGTCATACTCCGGAGAACTTGGTGCATTATTGTATTGCTGGAGCAAACTCTCTATGTTCCTCAACTTATTTAAGTACAATATTTGAATAAATAATAAATATGTATGTTGAAGGGACTGTGGATATTATTTTAAGCGACCCTCCATTATAATTATTTCATCTGCAGAACCGCTTGTAAATGTTGACAAGGTTTATCATACTTTAAAGATATTATTATCTATTTTCCAAGTGTAAAATAAAACATTTTTTTTCATTGCAATTTTTAAGAACAGCGTAGGATGTAGAATTTTGATATTTTTTGTAAATATATTGAGTCATTTGCTTGGTGTTTACTGTTCACACTGTACACTAGTGTGAACCGGTATTGTTTACTGTTCACACTGTACACTAGTGTGAACCGGTATTGTTTGCAATTTGCACACGATGTTTAGTGAGAAAAACATAAATTTCTTTACAGTCGATGATCAAACAAAAATTAAAGAGTAACGTTGTCAATCGAATATGCCACTCTAAATATGGAGGGACACTGACTATTACATCCGTCGTTCATGACAATAAAAATCCATAAACCCATTTAAAAGAAACCCTGATTCAAATTAAAGAGATTATAATTTTTTCAATTCTGTTTTTTAACAAAAATAATTGTACACCCAAAAATGGAAACTCGGATTTTCAATGGCAGGTAAAAGTTTCTCCTAAACTTCCGTCACTGAATTGAAAATGAGAAAATCCTCAAAACTGTTTACCTGAAATTTTCTGGGATTGTCCGAGGGATTATATGCCTGATTTCTGTACAACAAGTCTTTATAAACACAAAATCAATTGTATATTTATAACAAAAATATTTTTGCTCGCATGTCTGTTTTGTTTGTTTGTATCCAATTAACGTCAAACCGGCCGAACCGATTAGGCCCAAATTTTAACTTATCTGTGTGTATTCTTTGCTTTTCTGTTTGTTTTTGTATCTAAAAAACGTTCAAACGGCTGAACCGACCCGGACCAAATATTTTGTAGGACCCCGCATGACCCCAGGTAGACCAACAATTAAAAGTTAAAATTGAGTGTTAAAATTTAAGCTCTAGTTGTTCCTTGGTTCTGAGCCAGAGAGAAGATTCATGTCAGAAGATTTGCGATTGTACTCCAGGTTTCCCTGGTTCTCCTTCAAGTCTCTACTCTGTTTACTCATCTCAAACTGAAGATATTGAAAATTGAATATTATTTAATTCTAATATTTTCTTTCGCATAAAAAAAGGCATTCTTTTTTATTGTAATTAATATGCTCAAAATAAAAAAATTCCTATTTTTGGCTTTATTATTTCAGATCAAAAAGATAACAAATTTTTATGTAAATATTTTTGTTGAAAAAAATTCTTTTTTCTACTGTACCATGTGTTCAGGTTCCTTTGTCAACTTCTTTTTCTTGGATCGATGATATCTCGAGTGATCAATTTTATTGACTTCCGTCGATCCAACCGAGCACATACCATCATTTTTTATTACCAACCGCATAAACTGCCGACCTGGGTCAACCGCTGATGTTTTATTTCTGTTAAAAGGACAGCAAGCAGCCTGGTTCGGCATCATCGCGTCACATCTAATATCATTTTATACTTTTATATCAAAAACAAATATCTTTTAAGTACTGTAGCAAGATTTATGCAGGTCCATGCTTTTCACAAAGGAATGTCATTTACTTTAATGACAATTTCCATTGATTAGAATATTTCTGAGATTAAATGATCCAATCATCATAGTTCCTTAATTCTTAATTGACAAATTCTATTTGCATTTTTGAAAACGTGTCCTTAGAACTTTAAATTCAAAACTTAAGCCAAAATCTTAAACAAAACTTTCATTTGAAATTTATAACCATTTTTTAACTTTTCGTAACTGGTTTAAAAAGATATTCCTTAGAGGATTTATTCCTTGCTTCATCCACGCTTCTTTAATCAAAACTGATTCTCGAGTCATAACTCCGTCTAAATAAAAATAAGACTAAAAATTGGACTTATCCATAAAAAAATGAAGAAAAACCTTACAATTTCCTGGTAAGGATTAAAAAAACAATTAAACAAAAGAACTGAGTGTTTGCCACAACCTCAAATTGTCTAATCCCTTTATGCAACTAGATCAGGGGCGGATTTAACCATTATCTCAGGGGGGGGGCCTACGCGCTCAAAAAATATGTCGTGCCCCCCCCCCTTAAAAATTAAACAAAAAGCCGTAAATTCCTATTTCTTATTTGTTCAAAAAATATATTTACAAACTCCAGTTCTTACACTTCCTGTCTGTAAACTCTAGTTCTCCTACTTTCTATCTGTAAACTCCAGTTCTCCCACTTTCTATCCTAGTTTCTGTCTGTATAATCTAGTTCTCTCCTACTTTCTATCTGCAAACTCTAGTTCTCCTACTTTCTATCTGTAAAGTCCAGTTCTCCCACTTTCTATCCTAGTTTCTGTCTGTATAATCTAGTTCTCTCCTACTTTCTATCTGTTAACTCCAGTTCTCCTACTTTCTAATTGTAAACTCCAGATCTCCTACTTTCCATCTGTAAACTCCAGCTCTTATACTCTCTATCTGTAAAACCCAGTTCTCTTACTTTATATTTGTAAACTCCAGTTCTTCTACTTTCTATCTGTAAACTTTAGTTCTCCTACGTTCTATAATCTAGTTCTATCTTACTTTCTATTTGTAAACTCTAGTTCTCAAACTTTTTATCTGTATGTAGTGCCTGCCCTACTCCAATAAATCCATTTAGACCGGTATCAATCCAAGTGCAACTCAATTCCTCTCGTTTGTCCAAAAGCCTAGTCTATATATAAATTTAGCTTGTCTGTCTGTCTGTTGCTTGTTTGTTTGTGTCCAATAAACGTCTAAACAGCTGAACTGATCGGGCCCAAATTTTTTCTGTGACCTAACGTGACCCCAGGGAAGGTTTATAAATGATCAAAATTTTAAAAATTTGTGTAAAAAGTTTTTTATTTTTGTAAAATTTTGAAAATGCGCGAAAAATATTATGAAATCCGCAAACTTATTTTGATTTTGTTTAAACTATACAAAGAGAAGATGATCACGGATAAAGCCACAATTAAAAGTTGAAATAGAAGATGCGCTTTATTAGTATAAATAATAAGATTAGAAAAACAATTTAACGGGTATTTCGGGTCATTTATTCAATTATATTTTCTTTGTGTCTTTCATCTCTTGATGCTTTTATTTCAAATCATAAATTTCCTCAGAGAGAGCCGGCTCTCAGTTTGGGGCCTATGGACCAAGCCCCCCCCCCCCCCCC